TGTCTTCAGCAACTAGCTCAAGACAATGTACAAATAAGTCCGATCGCATCTAACACTATTTCACATGATTTCTATGTAGACGACTTCATTTCGGGAGGAAATTCCGTTGATGAAGTCATACAATTATCGACCGAGGTGTCCTCGATTCTGAAAAAGGCTTCTTTCAACCTGAGAAAGTGGTCATCAAATAACCGAAAAGTGCTTGAGAATGTCGACACAGCCAATTTGTCGACGAGTAAGTTATCACTTGGTGAAAAATCCAATATGAAAATCCTAGGGTTATTTTGGTCATGCGAACGTGACATCTTAACCTATTCTGTGAAACCATCAAAAATCCAAGCTGTGACAAAACGTTCAATATTATCCGAAGTTTCACAGATATTTGATCCATTGGGCTTGCTCACACCCTGTATAATACTAGCAAAGATAATGCTACAAAACCTGTGGACTCTAAAAGTGACCTGGGATGAGACATTACCGCAAAGCTTATCATCTCAATGGCGTCAATTTAGAGAACAACTTTGTGACTTCAACGCAGTCGAAATACAGAGACGAGTGATTTGTGACGAGCCTATAAGCATTCAGTTACATGGTTTCGCAGATGCATCTCAAGTGGCCTATGGGGCATGTATATACATTCGAAGCAAAAATAAACGTGGTGAAGTGAATGTGACACTTTTATGCGCGAAAAGTAAAGTGGCACCCCTAAAATCACAAACGATAAATAAACTCGAATTGTGTGGTGCCCTACTTCTCACACACCTTACAAAAAAGGTACTCTCTTCAATGAGTTGTACATTTGATAAAATCTTTCTATGGTCAGATTCATCAGTAGTGTTATGTTGGATAAATAAATCTCCTCATGAACTACAACAGTTTGTTGCAAATCGAGTGTCAGAAATCCAGACACACACAAATGTTAGTGATTGGCATCATGTGCGTACACATTGTAATCCAGCAGACCTGATATCTCGAGGCGTAAATCCAAATAAAATTGCAGAATGTCCACTTTGGTGGGCTGGACCGGAATGGTTGTGTTTTGACGAATCTGATTGGCCTAGCTCTACAATTCCTGTGCTAGAACAAATCCCTGATTTGAAGACGAATGTTAATACCTTTATTGCAAGCACGGCCAATTGGTTTCCATTTGAAAGATTTTCGAACTTTGTGAGACTGAAACGAACATTTGCATGGTGTAATCGTTTCATATTCAATTGCAAAAATCCTAAAAATCCATTATCCGGAACTTTGAGAGCACAAGAGCTGTCAGACGCTACAATCTGCTTAGCAAAAATTTCACAGAAAGAGTGTTTTCTTGATGAAATCACTAGACTGTCTTCGGACAAATTAGCTAAATCCTCTAGTATTATTAGATTAAATCCGTTTCTCGATTCACAAGGTTTGATTCGGGTGGGAGGCAGATTGCGACTGTCTCAATTTCCTTATGAAAAACAACATCCTCTTTTATTAAGCGGCAAACACCCAATTTCAAAGCTTCTACTGATTCATGAACACAAAATCCTATTTCATGCTGCACCTCAGCATATTTTGTCGTCAATTCGTGAGAAATACTGGATAACTTCCGGTAAAAATTTATCAAAGCGAGTTGTTCATGAATGCATGCGCTGCCAGAGAATGAAGCCTAATCAAATAACTCCTATCATGGGATTATTACCAAAATCTAGAGTCACTCCATCTCCACCTTTTTATGTGACAGGTGTCGATTATGCGGGACCTTTTCAATTATTAAACAAAAAGGGGAGGGGAGCGAGATTGCATAAATGCTATATAGCCTTATTTGTTTGTTTTTCCACTAAAGCAATTCATTTAGAGCTCGTGTCGGAGCTCACCTCAGAAGCATTTTTGGCAACATTTCGAAGGTTTGTGTCTCGGAGGGGCAAACCACACGATATCTACTCAGATAACGGCACTAATTTTGTCGGTGCCAAAGCCGAATTGATTGAATTAAGCGAGTTTTTTAAAGAACAAGGTAATTCAATTGAGCAAACAATGTGTAATGACGGATTGAATTGGCATTTCATTCCAACTCATTCGCCCCACTTTGGGGGATTATGGGAAGCGGGGGTAAAAAGTACAAAATATCATTTGAAGCGAGTGTTGGGGGAAGCTCATTTGACCTTCGAAGAGTTCTACACAGTGTTAGTCCAAATCGAAGCTATCCTAAATTCCCGTCCAATAACTCCATTATCCACGGACCCCAATGATTTCGATATCCTGACACCTGCTCACTTTCTGATTGGAAGACGTTTAACCAGTATTCCGGATCATGATTATTCCTCAGTAAGAATGAACCGATTGTCACGCTTCCAATACTTCCAAAAGTTGCAGCGAGATTTCTGGACCAGGTGGTCCAAAGAGTTCATTGGGGAACTACAAACGCGCACCAAGTGGACTAAAAACCTTGGGCAATTAGAAAATGATACTCTCGTGCTGATTCGCGAAGATAATCATCCACCTTCTAGATGGCGCTTAGGGCGCATCGAAAGCCTGATTCCTGGACCTGATGGAATCTCCAGAGTTGCCAACGTCAGAACAGCGAATGGAATTGTAAAACGGTCATTTTCTAAACTGTGTCCGTTAGTGTCGAACGAACAATGACTAGATGTTGAAAGACTGACTGTCTTCCAAGGGGGGGACATGTTACGTAAATTTAGTGCTGATACGCCACTGGCGAACTTTCAGTGTCCGTATTCATAGACTCGGTGTGGTGAGGTGGTCCTGTCAACCGAGGTGATGATGACATGAAACAATGCACCTTATCTGCAGGGAACAGTAAACATAGCTGAAGCCACATGCAGAAAAAGGGACGAAAGTGTGAAACCAAAACCAGACATTCTTTAGTACCAATTGGGATTAGGCCGAGTTCTGATCTTCAGTTGACTGCTCATTTTACTGTATTCTATAATTCATTATTCTTATTCCTTTTGTGTAATTTCGACGAATATACATATTGTTCAAAAGTTACGCCTTGTTCAGTGTGTATACTTCAAATCCTATAGAAGAAAGTGTATTACCAGAATCAGTAACCTATCAAAATACAGTCCACTAAAACCATCTATCGAAACATCAAAACGAAATAACATGCAGAGTGGGCTAAAAATGTACCTTACTCAATGTTTCCAAATTTTCTGCAAATCCCATATTAGCAACTTTCTCCCTACTTTTTGATCTAGATTTGCATTGAAAAAAAAAACGTGAAATCTTCCAAGAATGATTTTCACTCATTACTTATTGGTATAGATAGACGATAATTCATGATTCCTGAATCTCCCTGTAGATAATTCAGATAGACTGCCTGACGGCATCTCCATCTCGGTTTTTCTAGGAAACGTTTAATGGACACATTTCGAAGAAAAGTAGTAATTTTTATGGACACAAAACATCTAATATCTAATGTTGCCTCTATAACCGATGACGTATATCAGGAGATATTGAACAAACAGTAGCGTAACACAAAAGTTTTCGCGCCGTGATATAACTGAAAAAACAAAACTCAAGTTACCGCAGTGAAGAAAGAATGGTATTATGATACAATTCATATATTTCTTTTTCCAATCTAAATCTGATTCTGAATAAATAGTTTTTCATTTTTTTTGTCTCTATACCTTTTCAACTTCAATTTCGGAATCGGCGGAAAATGTAATCTCGATTTCAGAATTGGTTAGTTCCATTTCAGAAATGGTAAACTCAATTTCAGAATCGGTGAGATGAATTTCAGAAAAAGTCCATTCAATTTCAGAAATGGTAAGTTGTTTTTCAGAATTGGTAGGTTCAATATCATGAAAAAAATATTTGTTCGAAATGTTTCCAATTGCATGTGAGATTAACAAACCATATTTAAAATATTCAACTTTTCAAAAACAATTTAATCCACAGATGCCTTCCATCTGAATCGCTGGAAGATAGTGGCGTTGCACATGATTATAAGAATGCGAACACATTTGAGGTGTTATCATTTTCATTGAATGATCTGCACATTCTTCAAGACATCGCAGTCTGAATTCTATCTGGTTGAGCAATCTGTTCGGATCTCCAGCTATGACCCTTAGGCGATGCTCTTGCAAGAAGCTCTGCACTTCTGACTTGAAGGCACCCCATATATGTTCAATCTGATTCAACATAGGGCTCTCAAACACCGTTCCATCCACTGTAAACAATCTTCTCTTTTGCAATTAAAATCTTTTCAAACATATAAAAGGATTTCATCTTCTGATATTGAACCTACCAATAATAATTCTGAAATACAACCTACCATTTATGAAATTGAATGGACTTTTTCTGAAATTCATCTCACTGATTCTGAAATTGAGTTTACCATTTCTGAAATCGAACCAATTAATTCTAAAATCAAGATTACTTTTTCCGAAATATAACTCACCGATTCCGAAATTGAAGTTGATGCATTATCCACTTGTATTTCAGAAAGCATCAATTGTATTTCTAAATAGTCGATTGAATTCCAGAAAGCGTCATTTGTATTTCAGAGAATATCATTTAAAATACAAAGGACGCTTTTTGAAATTCAATTGACCTTTCTGAAATACAATTGACGTTTCCTGAAAAACAAGGGACTATTTTAAAATACAATTGACGCTTTCTTAAATTCAATTGACTATATATTCTGAAATGCAATTGATGCATTCTGAAATACAGCTGGAAAAGGTGTACTGAATTATTTCAGTTAGTTGAGAACGGAAGAATATCACTAATATAAAGTTATAATAATATTGAATATCCATTGACAACAGTACGAAAAAGTTCCCGCCCAGTAATTTTTAATATTTGGCCAATAGGAAAATTTTGAAATCATCATATCGGTCGTCGTATGACAGATGAATGATGGAAATACAAGAAATAATTAGAAATATTTTCCAGATTATATTTTATTTTTTATAAATGTATCACATCTACGGCAGTACAGTAGATTTCATCGAGCAAACCACTATAGAGTGACCAAGCAAAAACCAATTTTCAGAAACTCAGTCTTTTTTTATGAAATTATTAGCGTTACTGACTGCCCTGGCCTTCCTGCACAATTTGCCTGCACGTTTCTTCTTCTTTTTCTTCTTCTCGAGCTTTTCCTCATCGCCACTCACCGTGCCTTTGGATTTTTCTCTTGAAATTTCAAAAACAGAAGTGTCAGGCAGGCTCTTCGACTTCAGTACCCTAGGTTTTTCCAATGGCTGGGACAAAGATGGATATTCTACAGCAGTTTGCCTCCTTAACCTGAAAATTCACTTTATGATAACTTCCAAAAAGTTTGCCATTCTGTTTTCAACACCGCCAAACGTGCAGGACCGGATCCAGGCGAGGATAGCAAAAAAGAGAGGAATTTTCATTGGTACCTTCTGAAAATAGTCATTTTTGTATCTAGAGTGCAAAATTCTACATTGGTGATCGAGATCTAATTTTTTTAACGAGGTGCAAACGGCTACTTTCAATTCAGTGAGTAAAAAAAAAATATTTTAGCAGAAATGATGGTTGGACACAAAATGTCCAACAATCAGACATGAAACTCTATACTTCGGTACCTTAGATATTAATTATTTTTATAGGTACGTCTTTTGGGACTCGTGAGTCTCGGATTATCCAGATGATGTAATAAAAATGACAAATATCCAACCAAACATCAGGTGGGCACTTCGAAGGCGCAAATTCATTATTGCATGGGAGATACCCTTCAGATTTTTTGCTATTCAGTGACTTGACCACGAATTACATTGAAAGAGCGCAACAAATAATCCATGCAGAAACAATATAGGTATTTTTGTTGTAGTGAAATACATTTCAATAGTGAATTATTTCAACAAAGCATGTATTCAGTTTTTGAAACTTCATTGTACGTCGTAATTATTATAATTACTGAATCAAATTGATTCAGTTCTATTGGAATGTAATGATGATTTCAATGATATTGACTGTCACAATTAATGACTCATCCAACATTTTATGAAAATATCTATTCCTTGTCAACGGAGCATTTATTTTTTATTTGAACTGATTCTGTTCGAAAGACATCTTCTCATACATCACTGGTATTTCGAACGAAATCTATAACAGAAAAATAATAAAAACAACATACTATGCATGGCGCCATTTGAAATAAAAGTTGACAGTCGCTGACGTTACTTTTGGAATTAATAAAATATCAGAGCCTACTCATAATAATTATGTGATGAGTAATTTCATTTGTTTTTTGTTCCAAAATCGGATCATTAATGGCAGCGTTATGGGTTGGGGTGTTTTTCATCAGTCAGTCTGTATGTATTAGATTTCTTAAATACTCGATATTGAATAAAAAAAGGAAGTTCTCTCAAAATTATTGTTATTCGATATATTTAATGTGCGTCGTGGGTGGATGGCTATAACGACATACACAGAATTTTTCTGGCGTTCAGTATTCCTACATTTTTACATATTCATGAGGTTCGCGAAGGGGGGCCATGGCCACTATATGCCCCCCTTCCTGGGGATCCGCCCCTGCCACAGTGTGAATCAAATAACACACAAGACGAAAGGTAGATCAATATAAACAATAATTGGTGATTTGTGACTAGTTTGTGACTGGTATAACATGTTGACTCTTGTTGCTGAGCAGTTGACAACTTCTTCGATTGAAATGATGGTGGCAATAAACTAATATACACTAGGTACACTGTTTTACCAATAACCAAACTGATTTTTTGAACGACTCGACACGTGTTTCGCTAATTATGTTAGCATCTTCAGGAGAAGATTGAGACTGTTTTAATCTTCTCCTGAAGATGCTAACGTAGTTAACGAATCACGTGTCGAGGCGTTTAAAAATCGGTTTGGTAAGTGGTAAAACAGTGTAGTTTATTATCGTGCCAAAGGTTCCAGTCTTCGATATACAGTGTGACCCATTTCTAATGGAACACCTCTATATCTTACGTAATCGTTGGGTAAGGATCCTGAAATTTGCTAGAGCGAGAGATATACCGAAAATCCACTCTATGACCAAGTGGGGTCATCTTCAGTGATATACACTGCTGGCCAACAGCGATGGAACCACTCCAATTTCCGGAAAATTACCTATATTAGAAGTCAAAATAGGTTGAAAATAATTTCGGATTCGGAATCAGGACGCCCAGTTCACTAACAATAATTCATATTTTTCCTGAAAAATTTTCAGTTCTGAAAAATTAAATTTTGTCTCACTTTTTACGGAAGCATCCCCGTAATTGACTTTATCTTTGGATTTTCCCTTCCTCCTGCAAATTTCAGAATTCTATCTCAATAATTACGTGAGATACGGGATGCTTCCAAAATTTTCTAGGAAAACTATGAATAGTTAGAGAATTGGGCGTCCTGATTCCGAATCCGAAGTGATTTTCAACCTAATATCCTAATATTATTTTCCGGAAATTGGGGTTGTTCTGTGGCTGTTGGCGAGCAGTGTATGACACTGAAGATGACTTGGTCATAAAGTGCATTCTTGTTATATCTCTTGCAACAGCAAATTTCAGGATCCTTACCCAACGATTACGTAAGATACAGGGGTAATTCCATTAGAAGAGGGTCACACTGTATAAGACTAGTATACGTTTACTGTGCCAATGCTAATGACTAACTTAGTTTCTTGCTGAAATACTGTGTAGGTATGTCAACGTCAATACTCAATAGTTATAAGTCCCTAATCTCTCTGAACTAACTTTGAATCGGGGGGAATTTCAAAGTGATTATATTATACCCATTATTATGTTTCGCCGATTTTTCCTTAGCATCTGATTTTGACTTTCCCTCCTTGAAGCATATTCTCTTCTCATTTTTCTGCTGTTTTTTCGAATGTTTCACATGACTTTTCCTGAAATAAACAAACAATATTTCGTTCTTGTACCATCAGTGACAATACTCACTTGAGTGGAGAGCAGCTTCTTGAATCCGTGATGAGGACTCCACTACCTTCTCCCCAAGAAAGGGGAACATCCCCATTACCTACCCCAAACCACAATTTATTTTTCAAACTGTATAGTTTGGCTTGCACCTCAGCAAGTTGTCTTGTGATCTGAGGTTTTTTTTCCATCTGATGTCTACAAAATTCAAACCATAAATGTATAAAGCTGATTCTAGTTGGGGTTCTAGGACTCGTTCGAGGATATACTGGCTGATTCAACAAAAAAAGTGTGAGCAAAAGATCTTTGGTAAAGGGAGTATCTATTGTTTTCGTGGAACATCATGTGTATCTAGGTAAAATAGGGAAGAAATGTAGTGAGATATCAGATATTGTTTGAACTTTTGGAACTTATAAACCCATGGGGCTACTTCCCTAGGCAATGAATTATAAAGCTTGGCCGTTCTATAGACAAACGAATATTGGTAGAGGGTTTGTGATGTAGGTGATCATTTAATTTATTTATTTATTTATTTATTTATTGAACAAATAACTTCCAGACAGAATAGGCTCTGGTATAAGGAAGTACATAATTATATACCTATAGGTAAACATATCATTATACAAAATATATCAACAACTGTAAATTGACAAACAAAGAATAATATTTGTAAAAAAAAATGGCATGTTCAATTTTATCCAGTTCGATCAGAAATAATCAATTTTTTCACTTCATTTTTGAATGAACCTATATTTCTGCAATTTTTTATATTGTCAGGTCTGAATGAGTGAATCTTTTTTGTCCGATAATGGAGCTAGTGGCGTCAAGATGAAACAAGTTATATTGTCTTGTTTCATGATTATGAATTTCAGAATTCCGTATCAACATAAAATTCGATTTCAATTTTTTATTTATGATGATGATATTTTGAGAGTTTCAATCCTATATATTTCATCTAAAGAATACGTATTTGTTATTTCAAACAATTGATTGGTTGGTGTATCAAATGGAAGACGATACAATACTTTTAACAATTTTCTATATAATGTTGATATTTTATTGAAATTGTTCTTTGAACAAGTTCCCCAAACATTTATTAAATAGTTGATAAGACTCAGTATATGAGAGTAGAGAATCATGTTTGCAATTTTAATATCAAGTTTGGGACATCTTCTCAATGCACCAATAATTGGAGATATTTTTTTTGTCAGAACATCAATATGTTTGTCCCACTTCAACCTGTCATCAAACCAAATTCCAAGATATTTTATCTGGTCAGTTTGTTTTAAGAGTTCATTTCTCATTTTAAGGTTGAGGTAAATTTTTTTTTTTTTTTTTGGTGAAAAATCATATATTCTGTTTTTTTAGTATTCATCGATTAAAGGTTAGAGTGGAGCCATTTTTCAAATATTTTCAAGTCTTCATTTATCATATTTTCTAAATTTGAAGGATTCTTGCCTTCATATAAAAGTACTGTATCATCTGCATACATGGTATATTTACTCGTGAGACCAATTACACTGATATTTTGAACATAAAGTAAATATAGTATAGGTCCTAAAACAGAGCCCTGTGGGACACCCTTATTGATTAATAGTTTATTTGACACAGAGTTGGTTGATTTTGTATTGATTGTCCTATTTTCAAGATATGAATTCAAAATATTTCTCACATATCTCGAAATTGACGACAGAAGCATTTACTAAAAGGGCTTATCAAGTTCGCTGGACTGGCATTGCTAGTAATGGCATTTCTGAAGGAAATTTTTCCGTGAAAGTATCTATAGAAAAGTGAAAGGTTGCTGACTTTCGTTGTTTTTCCCAATGATGGCGAGGGATAAGTGACTAAGTGAGTGTGGCATCAAGAGTTTGATGTTGAATGGCTTGCCTCTGGATGGGATCAAAGAACCTCAGAGTATATTTGGATCATTAGATCTGTGTTGAGGTGTTCGCTGGAATGAGAATCGGAAGCAGCTTTCGCGTAGGATCTGACATATACGGTTGTCTCTTCAATATTGGTTGTTATTGATAAATGTCAATTCACAGGGTGATACAAGGGCAGATTTACCAGCGAACTGAGTAGGCTCTGGAGCCTAGGGCAACAAATTTGGCCCAAAAATGATTACATAATTATACATAGAGAAAACGAGTCTTGAAAATTCACCAAAAAATATCAATATTGTAGTTCTGCACAGTATACTGAACACTCTAACGTATGTATATGAAAACTTACTAAATTCTCTGTGAAATATACTTTCGTCTTGTAAAAATAAATGAAATTCGGTTGTAAAAATAATCTAGAAACTGAGACAACGGAACTCTAGTTCAAAATCATGCAAGGTAATAGAGAGAAAACACTGATGTATTGAAGACGATAGAGCATAAATCAGAAAAATGCAATGTTATTGACAAAATGAATGTGATTAATATAATTTCCTAGGATTGGATTGGTATTTTTCAAAATGTTTAGGGATTATACATACGCATGACTTACTTTTGTTGAGGAGTTCTAGATCGTCTCGTGACTAGCTGCGATTTCAAAGAATCATTTGGTATCAGATCGAAAACTGATATGCTCCTTTGGGTTTTGTTCGTTTGAATTTCAGTTTCAAAATAATCTGGAACTGACTAAAATACATAGTTTAGAAATTGAATTACTCACAAAGAATAATGAAAAAATGTGCTCTTTTGTCTTTACCTCTACTTCTATCACAAGAACTTTCTCAAAATCTTCCCAGGAATCAGTTTTTTTCTAGAGAAAACGAAATAAAATGAAAAAAATAAAAAAACAGAACGTAAGCAAGAGACATTCTACCTTTTTCTTCCTGAGGCATTTCTTTTTTCTTCGTCTCTTCAGGATCCTTACTTTTTCTTTAACTTTTTCAGATTCTGATTCGTTTTCTGAGCTGCTAGAATCTGTACTATCTTTATCAGACAACGATAACTTCAAAGTTGCTTTACAAATCTAAAAAAAGGATCTTTCAGTATGACATATTTATAGTACGGAGTAATTCAAATTATGATCTATGCATCATGGTAATTTCAGAAACGAATTTATTTTGTTGTAAACGGGTAAATATCTCTCAAGTCAACACCCTATCTCAAAAACTACCTATATACAGGCTGTCAAAAAATTACTGAGACACAGAGCTACCACGTGTAATACCAGTCAGAATAAGTTGGTTGGACCCAATTTATTTATATAACAAAATGTACCGTTTGTCCGTGAGACGAGTTCAAAGTTTACATGAAAATCACATTTTTGTACTGGGTGATTGACTATGGATTTCTCGACTTCAACAGCTGATATCTCGAAAACGAAAAAAGATATTTGAAATTTGGAAAAAGTTACTTGAATGAGATGTCATTTCCTTCTGGAAAATGTGTTCTCTGCTTGATTTTATTATTTCATATACAGGGTATGTAAAAAAAAAACATTTTTTTCAAATGGAACCCCCTGTTTATTATCGCATATTTCGAAAGAGCTATCTTTCCTGATTTTGAAAATATATACTTTTTATATATTCTATCGAGTGCTTGACGAAATATCAGCAAAATTAAATATTAATATTTGGTCCAAGTTAGCTATGGTTGAAATAGAATGAGATGATGAATAAGTGAATTGACATTTGGTAAACATTTCAGTGACATAAGTGCGCAAAATTTCGAAAATTTTTTCACGATGCCATATCCACTGGAACAAAGAAGGGATATTTTGGAGTGCTATTTTTCAGTTAATAAAAATCTTGCTGAAACACTTCATAAGTTTATGAGGAATTATCCAGGCAGGAGATTATCAAGTAAGAATTATGTAAAGTATTTGGCTGCTAAATTTGACAGAACTTCCAGTTTGTCGAATATCAAGAAAATAGTTTGAATGCAAAACAACGAAGACGACGAACTTCTTGTAATCCAGTATTTTGTTGAGGATCCTTCACGGTCAATAAGAAATGCAGTGAGAGAGTTTGGTTTCAGCTATTATTTTGTTCAACATACCTTAAGGAAATATAAATATAGGGATTACAGAATTAGACCATGCCACAAACTCAATTATGATGATAATGAGAAGCGGATTTAATTTTGTCTTGTCATATCTGAAAGATTAAATTTAAGTAAGTATAAGTGTAAGTGTTTCAGCAAGATTTTCATTAACTGAAAAATAGCACTCCAAAATATCTCTTCTTTGTTCCAGTGGATATGGCATCGTAAGAAAATTGTCGAAATTTTGCGCACTTATGTCACTGGAATGTTGGCCAAATGTCAATTCACTTATTCATCATCTCATTCTATTTCAACCATATATAACTTGGACCAAATAATGCCAAATATTAATATTTAATTCTGTTGATATTCCGTCAAACCCTCGATAGAATATATGAACAGTATATATCTACGGAATCAGGAAAGATAGCTCTTTCGAAATATGCGATAATATACAGGGGGTTCCATTTGAAAAAAAAAATTTTTTTTCACGAACCCTGTATATGAAATGATAAAATCAAGCAGAGAACACATTTTCTCGAAGGATGACATCTCATTCAAATAACTTTCTCCAAATTTCAAATATTTTTTTTCGTTTTCGAGATATTAGCTGTTGAAGTCGAGAAATCCATAGTCAATCACCCTGTACGTCTTGCTAAAGAATTTGAGAATCGTTTTATCACCCCTTAATAAGTTTTTTTATGTGAACTTTGAACTCGTCTCACGGACAAACGGTACATTTTTTTGTATAAATAAGTTGGGTCCGATCAACTTATTTTGAACTGGTTTACACGTGGTAGCTCTGCTCAATCGCATATTAAATATTAACGATAAAAATCTGGAACACCCTGTATATATGATGCATAAGCTGTAACACTTATTATTAGGAAAACCCACTCAGTTCAAACTTTATCTCAAGCTGTTCTAAAATGTTATGTATGACATCTTGATACGAAAATCATATAATAGGAATATGGATTTTTTCTTCACATAATTTATATTTAACATTTCAAATTAGACAAATTAGATGTACTTGGTATCCAGAAGGGGTGGCTCGACCCTATTACCCTTGTTCCATATAAAAAATTAGGAAATGTCAGATCTTTTTATCCGTCCATACGTCCATACGTTTTCATCTGCCAAACTTTGTCATAGAGCTCGTAGAATACTCTATAATATTATATTCTGATTTTTTTCTAAAATACTTATTCTTGGATGCAATGAAATGAAATGAATATCCGTGCTTAAGTTTTGTGAAAATAAAATTCTTAATAGTATATACTCTTTGTACATACATTAACATGCATTAACTAACAAAAATAAGTTCATGAAATCGGTCAAAAAATAAATCAACGTCGACACCCTGTAAAAATCAAATGTTGAAGTATTTTTATGATAAATCTGAAATTAAAAAGTTCTGTACTTTGTCAAATAATGCACGTATGTGTTTTGTCTTTTTACATCCTCTAAATATCATTGCCTCATCTTTGAAAACAGAAAAGTTATAACGGCTAGCCCCAACTGCGACACCCGGTATACATAATAGATTCTAATTCACGTTTGCACCAAATTATGTGCAGAAATAACCAATATTTGAGAATAATAGTATCAAGACGTCGTAGTATTATTAGTTTGCTTAAGGTCACTAATCAGCATATTTGCTTACCAAAAAATGTAACACACCAGAACTAAAAGTAGGTAATATATAGGAGAAGGTAGTTATTACCTATTTTACCCACTGCTAATAACATATATAATAATTAAACAATTCAGAACACTTGATAAAACATTATTGACATCAAAAACAAACCCTCCATAGCACATATTATGAGTAGTATACGACATTTAGTTATTTACTGGTAATATTTTCCTAGGAACGGTAGCTGCAGCTACAGCTTTAATCTTTGCAGTTGCAGATGAAGCTTTTGATTTCTTCTTCTTTGTTACCAGTACTGGGGAGGGTGGTGGTACACAAGGTATAGATACTTCCACTTCGTCCTCATCCCTCCCCACTTCATCACTGCTACTCGACGTATCGCCCTCATCACTGCAAGAAAATAATCATTTGGACAGCTGCTGCACCTGATACTGAAGCTGAAGATGCGTACCTCGAGTAGTCACTTAAAGGGATATTCAAAGGTTCATCTGCATTCGAACCTTCTTTCACCAACCTATCAACTATTTTAACCCTCAGTCTCTCCTAAAAATGAAACGCTTACAGAACAGTAGGTTTTATTTTCCAATTATCAAAAACTGTATAAAACACGAAAGGAATAAAACGAGAAGTGCAAACTTGAACAGTCCCCATGGGATCGTGCTTCGCGAGCTGCGTACCTTTTTGGGATCTTCGTCATAGAAGTCCAACAGAGTTTGGCAGAAAGATCGACCCATTTGTTCGTAATCTTGCATGGAGAAATGGGTGTCGGCTCTGTTACCCAAGGTAGAACCAGCGAAAGAGGCTTCCATGGTGTAACTGTTCGCTATTCCCATCATCCACATGACTACCCGACCAGTGCCTTCCTTGGACTTATGGATACGGAACTTACAGCTCTCGAAAGAAAACTGAAAAAGAGTCGTTACACCGGAATAGTGTTATGTTGATGCTCTCAAATTAGATGTCTATTATGCAATGCATGGGTGCCGGTACACATATTAACAAACCCTACCAGACGACGGTACCAGCGTGCTGAAATCTGTGAGCCTGTGAAGCTACATTTGCCCATTGATTTGGGCACCTGCGCGTATTATGAATCGTTTCTTCATATTAGGTTCATTCGGGTTCTGATTTCAGAACTGTTCAAGAATCGTTCTCGAACTGCGTAGAACTAGTGCGCAGTCATTTCGAATCCTAGGACTGTTCCAGAACGGTTCACAAATTATGAACACCCGAACGAGGCAGAAGAGAACCTCTGAGAACATAACCTCTATTCAGAATTTGCGAATGAAACAGTAATTTGGAACCTGTATCTTTATTCGAATAATATTCTGAAGCTTCAAACTCTCCTTTGAGTCTATTCACAATATCTCTGGAAACCCTCTGTGCCCAACGAGCACAAACATCCCTGGGATGTTTTGGGATGTTTTGAAAATGTTGGCATGAAGATGTTATTTTGAGACGTAATATGCACTGACCAAAGAGGTCTATGAAGGATATTGAAGTATTGTTTTTGTTCTTCTGTGCCCTTTCTTTGTTTGCCCCACCACAACGTCTCATGCTTACGTCACAATACGATGCATTCTGATTTGTTTTCGATTTCGTTCTTCTTGTTCGCAATTGGCATTCGCGTTTGCAGCGTGTCACGCTTACATCACGCTGCTAACGAACAGAAAGGAATTTGGTGAAGTTTATTGTGTTAGAACACTTATTTAGTTTGTAATAATGACCATCAGATGCAAGATGTGTTGTTCGGTGCCTCAGTGTAATCAATATATAAAAGTACGAATTCATCAATACACAGCTTCTCCGCAGTTGCAAAATTATGCATTGTGGAGAACATTTAAAAAATTGGGAAACCTCTATTTCCAATTATATATGTCTGTGTGTAGTGAGCACTACTCAGAAACCGATTAAGAAGGTAATTTAATATCAAGAAAATATTTTTATGTTCAATCTATTTTTAATTCATTTTTTCATTCAAGGGAAATGGAATCCTAATGCAAAAGTTCATTTTGACAAAAGGCTTCAGAAAAGTACCTCGAAAATGGTTTTTTTACAGCGATTTAATGTGCGCAAGACGCGTTGAAAATGTTCTGTTGTGTCCATGAAAAGGCTTTAAAAATAACTAGGGAGAAGGTAGTTTTGTGACATATCAAGGACATCTCGATAATTGCCGCCTGCGGCGGACATTGGCTGTTCTATAATAGTTCTATTCATGTGTGAACAGAACATCGCAGTGGCGGTTCAATGTTTCGAAATCTCGTACTTTCAACATCTTTGAGATGTTTTTGTGCTCGCTGGGTGGAGGAATGGTGAATATATTCGATCATAGCATGCGTAGCTAGATGGTAGCTAGATTTTCAATATGTTTTGTCCCTTAGTCCCTTGTACCTAGATGAATTTCGACACCCACCTGAAATGTTCAATGAATTGTGTATCTGAATATAATGGCAAAGTCTCCCCAACATAATCCTCCATTTTTCGGTTTATCTAACAACAGTTAGGTACAATATTTTCAGCGACTTCAGCAAGTAACTCCTTCACCACTGCTTCCTGAAGATGAAGAACTACTATTATCAAATGAATATAGACAGAATCGAAAACTAAATGAAATGAGCATGCGCCAAAAATGATCCTAGAACGGTTCATGCTCGAGAGCAGGTACTGGTTTCGGATAGTTTTAGGACCGTCCCAGGACGGTACAAAGGGACAAAACATACTGAAAATCTAGCTACAGAGGGCTTCCAGAGATATTGTGAATAGGCTTGAAGAATAGTTTGAAGCTTCAGAATATTATTCGAATAAAGATACAGATTCCAAACTATTGTTTCTTTCGCAAATTCTTAATAGAGGTTATGTTCTCAGAGGTTCTCTTCAGCCGTGTTCGAGTTTTCATAATTTGTGAACCGTTCTGAAACAGTCCTTGGATTCAAAACGACTGCGCACTAGTTCTACGCAGTTCGAGAACGATTCTTGAACAGTTCTGAAACCGGAATGAACCTATTATAACTTTCAAGATAGTTCATTTAGGTCGAGTAAGGTTAGAATGTTTAGAAAAGTAGTCTCCTTTCTTACGCAGAAGTAAGGGTTTGATGTTTAGTATTGTTGGCATATACTTTGTCCTGATTTATGAATGAATCCAAGTGTATATATCTATTTTTCTTTAGTCTGAGGTCTTACCAACCTTATCGGCAGTGTTCTTATGAAGCATCAGCGGAAACACTTGCTCCTGCAGCCTTCTATCCGAACCCCTCCTATTCTCACAACCATAGATGAAGATATTGTGTCTCCTCGAATGAGCATGGAGATCACAATACATAGCAACACCGCATTCCTCCAGTAACCTATAAAACACATGGCAACAAGTAATAGCATGTGATCATATACATGGTCCATCATAGTTCCATAAGTTCAGCAGCATTTTCATGACATATAAGTTCAAAATCTTAACCACCGCTGCAGTAGAAGCGCTCATACCGTCCAACCGCAACATGTTCACTGAAGACTAGTGTACATACTATATCATCGTATAGTACGGCCGTTGAAATATTTTTCTATATACAGTGTGACCCACTTCTAATGGAAATAACACCCCTGTATCTCACGTAATCGTTGGGTACGGATCCTGAAATTTGCTAGAGCGAGAGATATACCGAAAATGCACTCTATAACCAAGTGGAGCCATCTTCAGTGATATACACTGCTCGCCAACAGCCATGGAACCAATCCAATTTCCAGAAAATGATATTTGGAGTCAAAATAGGTCAAAAATAACTTCAGATTCGGAATCAGGACGCCCAATTCACTAACAATAATTCATATTTTTCCTGAAAAATTTTCAGTTCCGAAAAATTAAATTTTGTCGCATTTTTTACGGAAGCACCCCTGTATCTTACGTTATTGACTTTATCTTTGGATTTTTCCTTCCTCCTGCACATTTCAGAACTCTATCTCAATAATTACGTGAGATACGGGGGGTGCTTCCATGAGAAGTGAGACAAAATTTAATTCTTCTGAACTAAAAATTTTCTAGGAAAACTATGAGTAGTTGAGTGTACTGGGCGTCCTGATTCCGAATCCGAAATTATTTTCAACCTATTTTGACTTCTAATATAGGTTATGTTCCGGAAATTGGAGTGGTTCCATCGCTGTTGGCCAGCAGTGTATATCACTGAAGATAACCTCACTTGGTCATAGAGTGCATTTTCGGTATACCTCTCGCTCCAGCAAATATCAGGATCCTTACTCAACGATTACGTAAGATACAGAGCAAGGTTGGTAGAACTGATGACTATTTTGTAGAGGAAGGTTGCCTCGATCGCACCCCGCGAGTAACCTTGAGTAACTCATGACGTAATAGGCCCTTTCTTTTGAACGAAAAGTGTAGCACTCTCGTACACTTCGTGTATGATACGTACGCCGGCGATTGGCCGGCGCATGTATTGAGTTGACAGTTGTCAGTATTTTCGAATATTTGAACCATTTTGAACTTAAAAATGTGAAAATGATAATTTGTTCGGTCAATTCGTACAAGTGTAATGAGACTAGTGAATTTAGTTTGTGTTTCCATTAATTTCCATAAGATGAGTCTATTCGTGAGAAATGGATTCAATTTTGTGGACGTAATTTTAATTCATTTAATACCAAAACTTGGCGAATATGTTCTGCCCATTTCGATGCCGAGGATTTTGAACAGCACAAGCAGAATTGCTAAATCACACACCAAAGAGAAGAAAACTCAAGGTAGGAATCCCATCAATAATACCAAATACTACAAGAGAAACACCATAAGTATGGAAGTTTGGAAAAATGATCAGAACCAGACCAGTTGTGAATGTTGAGATTCTTGCTGAACTGGTAAAATGGACATCAGAAGATATCACACGTGTTTTCAAGTTGAGATATTTGAGCAAGAGTACGTTACCCAACGAAGAGGAGCTATGTTTATTTGAGAGATTCCTTGAACTATCCTTTATTATAGGTTCACTTATAATAGTAGTGTTATTTTTCATTAACACGTTGGCTACCATATGAGTCTCATGTGATGCACACTCTCATTTGCTCTACAAACCACCGTAAAAAATCGCATACTTCCTCTCTGTACCAAGTGAAGAATCAAACTCAAAACGTAGCCTTTCGCTACAAGATGTCGCTATATTGTATTTTGAAGCAGATGCCTTCATCTCGATAGAGTTTGCTGAAAGATCACCGGTGATTCACATGGTACATAAATAAACCATTTCATCATATGATTATAGGGAACTCCTTATATTTTGTTGTTTCTTCTTCGATTATAAGCGCCTTTATTCAAACCTTCATGAGAAAATAATGGACAATTAAGACGAAAAACGTATTTCGAGGAGTACGCAAAAATTCAAAGATGGCAGCAAAACATACAAAATTGGTAACCACCTTATACGCGGAATGCCCCGAGAAACCTTCATACTGTTTGGACTGTTTTCAAAAAAAAAAACATTAGTATTTTCCTTGTACAATGATTATTGATGAGATTATTTTTTACTTATGAGTGTAACAATTTCAATAAAAAATTGACAAGAGAGTGAGCGGTGCGTCTTTTCATCGGAATAATCCAGTCAATTTCTATAGGCAATTTCCAGATCTATGTGTATCACTGGTGATACCCACTTCAACCCGATATTATTTGGTTCATACCTGTACCATACCCACAATCTAATTCCTTCGTTTATACACTAGGCTTCTCTACAAGCATTCAAATAATATGTTTTCATTATCACTGGTGATACATAAAGTACAGAAGTGAACTATGAAAAAGCATCACCGGTGATACATATGGTACCCTGGGTCAGAATGTTGAATTCAGGCTTGGTAGTCAACGTGTTAATTTTGTTCAGAATCATATTTTGTTATTTTTTCATGCTCAAATACTTCGATCAATTGCTCTGTTTTTGACTACAATATAATCAAACAATGAAATACTATTTCCTCTTGTATTTTCTATAGGTATCTAGGAAAGTTTGTTAATTTTTCAGAATACAGAGTTATATTGATAAAATAAGTGATCTGTTGTGTACGAATATTGGTCCACTGCTATTACTTCTGGATCATCGGTTGATTATTCTTATATTTTCTGTAGTTTCTTGTTCACATTATCTGATTTGCAGGATATTTATAGCATGAGTAGGTTCATAATCAATGCATAAGTAATCACTGGCTCCATAATTATGCTCCATACCTCAAAACACACATACCTGGTACCACGACCTGGTAAATAGCCCCTGGAACAAAATTTCAGATAGGTATTCCTCTCTGTACTATTGATCCATCCAAAATTGCCTTCTCATTTCGAAGATTGAAGGTATTATACAGAAGTATATGTAAATACGATACCCATATTTTATAATGGTACTTACTTATATATATACTATAAATTAATATAATTATGCTGAGCAGACCAAAAAGTTTGTATCATGTTTGTATACTCTATTTGGTAAACATTTCATGACATGTCGCTTTAAGGTTGACAACTTGTCGTCTTACTGCCTGTGACGTCACGAGTGACCGTTTCCCCCCTTGCCGCACTATCGATCGAGGCAACCTTCCTATACAAATTATAATCAGTTCTACCAACCTTGATACAGAGGTGTTTTCATTAGAAGTGGGTCACACTGTATGTTGCTTCCTGTCAGTTTTGATGGAACTAGAAATTGAGAGGAACACACAACAAACTTTCAATTGATTTAGCAGAAATAGATTTCGGAATTATTTTGTAACTGTGAGCTCTGGTTCGTATTTCAAGCAAAAAATAGGAGACATGAATTATTAGAGGATTAGAAAGTGCTGTTCTTGACAAAAATTTTCTCTTTTGACTACAAAATAATATGAAAAATGTCGAAATTTCGAGTTGATATCTCGACTTATTTTTATTCTGCATTGGCCTTCCAGAGCCATCGTCATAAGTTTTTAGTAACAAGGTTTGAGTCATTAGGAAAATCTATGATTTGTGCAGGAGTTATAAGGACTTGCATATCAAAAGAAATACACTCCTTCAGAGGACAATCTCTCATATTATATCAATTTCTATCATGTATTTTTTTCAATTGATTCGATGAAAATTAATATTAACAAACCTAACATTTCGGAAGATACCACTCACACGAGGGGGAAACAACTACCCAAAATGTGCACACCATATTCAAATATCTGGTCATAAAAAAATACTTAAAATACTTAAAACTTGTACTTAAGATACACTTGAAACGAGACTTTAAAGCTTATTAAATTGTACTTAATGTATTAAAAATGATACTTAAAATACACCTATTTAAAGAATTGTTTCCCCCTCGACGGCACATATGCAAATGAGTCTTTCCTAACTACTAAAAATCCATTACTGAACTTTCTACAATGACCAACTCATTCATTAAACTCAAAAACTCACTACTTTTGATAAAAACTATTGCATAAATGCCATAAATCCACCATTAGCTCTACCAATTGGTGATAGCCATTTTATGCTGGTAAGGATGCCTGAAGAATTTTTACGACAAATAAGGAAGAATTAAAATTGGTTGTGGCACCTGCGCAGTATGTATCACGGTCAGCACAGGTTTCATTATCAATCTTGAGAAGCTTGTTTATATATCCGCTGCTATATGCATACGGCATATTATTGTAGCAACATCGATGATATATGGTTTGTTTTGAATTATCACTAGCATTGCTCTTCCATTTTGTTATTTATGGGTCATCATTAGCAATATTCTTTTTACCTTGTTACATTCTCACTACTGAGATCAATTGAGTTAGGAGGAGGTGAGACGGATCTGAGTTGTCGTTTGAATAAAAAGAACACGTTTTTATCAGTCAGGAAGGGTAAGGGAAGAAAACATAACCCAACAAAATTCAACCAAATTGTAAAATGGCTGAGGAATTTAATGAGGAGCATAGAAATATTATTGTAATGGGTATTCAAAGGATTCAACCTGTGGACTGAAACTTCAAAGGTAAAAGCATGTCAAAATGAAAATATAACCTCACAATTTTCAGCACAGAACCACAGAATTACTAGAATTAATCCAGTCTCACCTTTAGTCTCAATAATTTCTTAAGACAACTCACATCAGACTAACATAGAAACATGTAATAAAACTGAGCTATTGAGCTGCACTGAGAATCTTGGTTAATCTCAGTCAAAGTTGGTAAAAAGAATATTACAAAAGATACCGACTCGACGGTTATATTCGAAAGAAAATGTTACAACAACTATGCCAAACCTTCTAACCATTAGCTTGGTATACCAGATGGAAGGATAAGCGTCTCGTATGACAGTCCTGTACTGTCTGTTCAGATCCTTGGCAGACAGTGAACACCGGTTGTTGCCTACTATCACGCCATCTGGGTTCAACATTGGCACTATTTTGAAGATGAACTTGTCTCGAAGCTCCTTGGCAGGACCACAATCGCTAGTAAGGAAATCCAGAATTCCTTTCATCACCCAAGAAGATGGCGTTTCTCCTGGATGGACTCTGGCAGTTATTATGATGGCTCTTTTTTTCTGTGAAATGAGACGAATGTTACGAAATTATGAATTCTTTAGGAATTAACAATACTTTTCTAGATAGTTTTATTGCAGAAACTTTGAAGCAACAGGAAACCTCCGGAGATCATTATTTTATTTTCAAATATGCTCTACCCAAATAGATGTTGTTGTTGTTATTGATATTGTGGTTTCATTGTTTATTGAGAAACTAGCTTCAAGTAAAGAATCATCTGTATTGAAAATTGTCAAGATTATGCAGATTCAATAGTATATTTTATTTGGATCCTCTGTGTGTAATGTTTTTGAAGTACTTGTCATCATTGGTTAATACAAGAGTCAGATAATTAAAACTCTACTTTGACATTCTTCGAATTATTAAGCCATTTTATATATTTAGTAATCAATTCCATTGGAATCCTTTTGGATACGTATTCTTCACCGGTTAGGTGCTGTAGTACGAAATTATAACAATCTGCATATATAGTATAATTACCTGACAATCCAATTTTAGAAATATTTTGAGTATATAATAAATACAAGATGGGCCCTAAAACATATCCCTGTGGAACACCTTTACTTATTGGAAGAGTATTAGACTCTGACATTTTACATTTAGTGCTGATTGTCCTATTCGCAAGATAAGATTCTGAAAGATTTTTATCTGAGTCCTATCGATTCCAAGTATTCTAAGAGATTCTCATTGTCAACTGTATCAAATGCCTTTTTGAGGTCAATGAAAATAGCTACAACGTAATTTTCCGTATCAAGTCATTCTTGAATTTTTTGTACTACTTGTAGTACTTCTGCTTGTGTACCACTATTTTCTTGAAAACCGAACTGATTATTATCACAACCATATTTTTTGTTTATGAAATTTTTTCAAATATTTTCGAAAATATGCTCAATATAGCTATTGTTATGTAATTTACTGGATCTTCAGCATCCGCACTTTTGAATATTGGTCTTAGTGAAGCATGTTTCAATTCATATGGAAAAATACCTTAGTAAAGCATTTTTCAATTCATATGGAATAATACCTAACACAAAATAATAATTATTGATTAATTTTGTCAAGGGTTCAGCCAGAATATTTTTTAATTCAAATATATCTTTTGTTGATAAACCTTCAGAGTCAGGACATGTTTTCTTCAGAGTATGAATTATTTCAACAACTTCATTTTCATCGGTTGGAAACAGGATCATTGTAGAACCATTGTATTCTGGAATGTTTTTTTCTTGTAGAATGTTGTCATAATATGTATTAATTTCATTGGCTAAATTATTACCAATACTCGAGAAATGATCGTTCATAGCACTGGCTATTTCCAGATCGTCAGTAATTATTCTACTTTTGATTTTTAATGGTTGGTTTTCTTTTCGGAAGTTTGAAGGCAAGAGTTGAATGTTTATCATAATTTAGATTGAAACATAATGCTTTCATGAATCTGGTAAAAAACACAGTTTATTTCCGCTTCTACACCTATCACCATATTTGATGACGTTATCTGCCGAGAGCGGCCATCTTGGGTTCTCTTTCAATCGACGAATCATGATTTACGTTTGATGTACAGTGTGTCCAGTTTTCGATGCTTTTGCTTGATATCTCAGTTATCTTTCGAGATAGAACCTTGCGGTTTTCGCAGTCCTGTACCACTTTTCTGTGAAACTCAAGATGGCCTAATCAGATTTTGCATAACTGTTTGCGTTTATGAGATACAGGGCGATTTTGAAAATTTATAATTTTTGGACCCCCTCTATATCTACGAAGTTTCTCAGCGAAAATGTCAAATTGGAATCTTATCCCATACAGAATTTTGCGCAGAATTTAGTGGCGCACTAAAATTTTTTTTTCTGGGTATGGTTTCGGAGATACGACTCAAACTTATGATTTTTCAAATGGAACACCCTATATTTTATAAGCTCATTAAATTCCTTATTTTTTCCCCATCAAAATGAAATATGATGAATAGGTATAAAATTTTCAAAAATGCTCCAAAATCACTAAAACGTTGAATTTTAATAGTGGGCTATGGATTTTTCTTTCAAAAAAGTTTCAATTGAAGGAATATTTCATTTGATTCTTCCATGAAAAGGACAAAAACAATCGCAATACTAGTTAATTGAGATAACACAAAAATTAGGTACCTGATAGCAACAAATGAATGGTAATAAGAAGTTCATATTCTAGAATAAGCACCTGATTTAATATTCACTAAGACAATTGAATTTCGAAATTGATCAGTAACTTATTCATTGAATTGTTTTAATTGATGTCCACTTTCTCTCACACGCTTTCTCAATACGTCTTAATGCATTCAAAATCATGAAAGGGTGTCTTTGTGATTCCTGGAAAACTGCCTCTGTTGTTGTACGAAGGTCTTCAAGATATTTGTGACTCTTACTGTATGAAGACGTATTGAGAAACTCTCAATTGTGTGTTATGGGAAATGGACATCAATTTGAACAATTCAGTGAATAAGTTATTGAATAATTCCGAAATTCAATTGTATTTGTAAATATTTAATCTGGTGCTTATTCTACATTATGAACTTTTTATTACTATTTATTTGTTGCTATCAGGTACATAATTTTTGTGTTTTCTCACTTAATTAGTGTTGGTATTGTTTTTGTCCTCTTTATGGAAAAATCAGAATGAATATTCCTTCAATTGGAACTTTTTTATAAGAAAAATCCATAGCCCACTATTAAAATTCAATGTTTCAGTGATTTCAGAGCATTTTTGAAAATTTCATATACATACATTATAAATCATTTTGAAGAGGAAAAAATGAGGAATTTTATGAGCTTATGAAATACAGGGTGTTCCATTTAAAAAATCATAAGTTTGAGTCGTATCTCCAAAACCATACCCCGAAAGAAAATGTTGAGTGCGCCACTGGATTTTGCGTAAACTTTCATATGGGATGAGATTATAATTTGACATTTTTGCTGAGAAACTTCGTAGATATAGAGGGGGTCCAAAAAGTATAAATTTTCAAAATCGCCCTGTATCTCATAAACGGAAACAGTTATGCAAAATCTGATTAGGCCATCTTGAGTTTCACAAAAAAGTGGCACACGACCGCGAAACCCGCAAGGTTCTATCTCGAAAGATAACTGAGATATCACACAAAAGCATCGAAAACTGGACACACTGTACAATCAATATTATGAGTTAAAGTTGAAGGGAATCGAATCTATATCGTTTTGAAATCAGCATATTTCATTCGATATTTCAAACAGCCAAATATGATGGTGGAGTCGTGACGTATTAGTCCCGAACTGTAGCTATCTCTCTCTGATACCTCGTCATTCTGCAGTGTTGCAGTGTGATTGGTCAGTTCAAGGACAATAGGCGTGTTGGGAATAAGACGTCGCACCAGTCACACCAATGAATTGACAAAATTTCAAATGGCGCAGGAATTGTGTGTTTTGAAATGGGCATATTCTAATTTATTTTTTTCATCGTCTTAGCATGAATGACAAAATTCAAAATTAATTCGCTGGTAGTTTTTCAGTATAGAGTTCACGATAATGTCATTTTAAAAAATCAGTGGTCTCCCCCACAGGGTGCGACGTCACAAGGAGTTTCTGGACGGGTTCTTCTACTCACAGTGGTATCTCCTTGAACAGCAGGAGTGGTGATTGTCACGTAGTATACATTGTTACCAGCCAGACTTCGGCATAACAGCCTCACAGTGCTGAAGATTGATTTAACGGGATGGGAAGACAGTTCTGAAAGGTGGTCCTGAAGGTCCGAATAGGTGTAAGGATAACAGTTGGCAAGGAAAATCTCGTCGTCATCATGAGGAAATTTCACGGTGAAAGTTAACGTATACGTCATTTGCTGGTCGGGCTCTTCAGGCGTCCTTCAAAAAGGCAATAGAAAGGTGAAATCGGGTGAAGAGTCACGATAGGGTTTACCTTACACGTTTTCGTTGCAGAAATAGGAAATGTTGTGACCGCATCTCCTCCAGCCAATAGAGTGGAGTTGAGAATCTTTCACAGAGTACATAAGCGGTCTCATACCCTCATTGTACAGGCTGTTTTCTTTGGAGCAATTGGTGATTGAGAATCTGTAAAGGCACCCTTTTTTCACGTTGGTTATCTGGAAATAGAACCATTGCATATGCCTATTCGTATAGAGGTCGGACCTCAGATGCAATTCATAAAAATTTGGCGTTATCATTATTGCTCTGGCAAGGTTTCCTGACTCGAATCTGGATTCGAACTTCAGAGTATCCTCTTCCGGGCATACATTGGCCGATAGGAGGTACTTGCTACCCCCTACACTTGATCTACTGAACTGAAAGATGAGATTCTTAGGATTCGTGATGTTTTGTATCTAGTCACTTACATAATTGACGGCACTTATCGGTGAATATTGAAAAACGACAAGCCCACATTCTTCCCCTGTAGGTTTAGGTTGGCATTCGTTGCCTGTAGGAACATAGTATGGTTCAAATGTGGGCGGTACATCGTATATATGCTGCATTCGCGTATCCAGTACCTATAAAATCAAATTTATGCAGTATATGGCAATAAAGCGGCCCCAGAATGGAACCTTGATGTATACACATGATACTCCAACGAATCAAACTGTATAAGGAAACAAACACATTTTCTTTGGAAGAGCACTTTTTAATCAATACTCTCAAAATTTCCTATTATATCATCAATTATAATAATTAGGAATTCCAAATTCATGGTCATCACACTAGACAATATAACTTGTTTCATCTTGAAGCTGCAAATTCTAAACTTGGACAAAAAAAGTTTACGCATGAGATGATTTCGAAATTCAATAAATTACCAGATGATATCAAAAACAACCCAAATATTATAAACGATTCAAATAAAGTGAAGAAATATATTTAAATGCAAATGAATGATCAAAGCTGAAAGACTATGAATTTCCTTTTTTTTCTCCACTGTTTTTTCCCTTCTTGTTCACTATAATATGACTGTTATTTTGAGATATCTTAATGATATGTAAGTTTTGTTCAATTTTTGTAATTCCAATTATACAACAGTCGATAATTCATGAAGGAATGATCTTATACCAGGAATTACTGTCTGATCATTCATGTCATTCCTACTAGAAAATTAATTATACTTTATATATTATTTGTATAGAATATATCAATGAAGGAAAGAATGTAATGCAATAACTGAAATAAATAAATAAGTGGATAAAATCTCCTATTTAGACTGATGAGGTGTATATACAGTATAATTGGTGTACTTTACAAAATCATTTATTATTTCTTGATGATTTATTCTGAATTTCAATACTCGATTTCTGTTTCTGGGACGACAAGTTCTTCGAATCCTTCAAAATGAAGTTATCAAATGCTTATTATATATCAAGCAGATCAACTAAAACTGACAAGAAATGTATATACAGTGTGACCAATATAAGGTTGCACAGCATGGGAATCTCTAAGACGGTATAGGAGACACGAATTCGATCAAAGGGGAAAAAGTTGGGCATTCAGAGGATCTTTTTAACAATCCTCGGAAAATGTTGAAATTATATTCATAGTTTTTCAGCTATATTGAAGAAAGTGAATCTTTGGAAAATCTATGAAAATTTTTCGTCTTCGTTATTCGAGATGTTGGAGATACAGAAAAACTAAAAAAAAAACTCCTCGGTTGCAACTTTTTGTGAAATCAAAAGGGACAATCAGGGACGTAGCAAGCCGAAACATTATTACACGGAATAAGAGTTCAAATAAGAATGATTTTAATGCATAAAAAAAGTCATGGTGATTCCTATAGTAGGAGGTAACACACATAGTACACGTACAATATAAAACCAATAACTGATGAAACGCGAATGAAAATGCTAATCCAATATTTAGCTAAAATGCAATATGCAATATTGATTAGTCATTTGACCTGTCACAGAGAAAAATAGTGTATTATACACGGTGAAAATATTAGATATTAGCTCGAGGTTGTGTTGTCTCCCGAAGTGCATAGCGATCGAAGGGAGACAACAAACCGTTGTATAATGTATAACCTTGTATAATAAATAATCATTTTTCTCCCAATTCGTTTCTATTTGACGCAAAGAATCTATGATTTTTTTTGCATCCAAAGACATTGTCATTGCCTAGTAAATTAATAGTTATTTATTTTACTAGAAGCAGAAAAGCACAAGATGTAATGTCGCGACTGACGTATCATAGCCGAGGCGTAGCTGAGGCTAATAAACCAGCCAAGGCATTAAATCTTCTTTTCTGCCATGTGAAACAGTTGAATTTTCCTCCAAATTCGTTTCAATTTCACGCAAAGTCCAAATTATCCATTTTGTGTTCACTCAAAGACATTGTCAATTTAATAATTTGATTCAAATTATTACTTTTAGAACGTTGCATAGCAACAAACTCTTTCTGAATAGGCAGTACTTTTTCTGCCTTGGCAGTGAAACTACACATTTTATACTTGTTCAGTGTCATTAAAAAGACACTTTTATAAGGTCAACTTTTTCTTAGGTAATATAATATGATACAAATTGAGTATTGTTGAAGGTGTGTTTAGTACTCTGTAAAACATGTGGTTTACCTGGCACTCTGTAGGCCATCTTGGAGGTTGAACACTGAAAGCGGCTTCTTTGCTGCTTTGGAACCATTCCCTGGAGCTGGATTCTCTGTTTTTGAAGTCATCATCTTCAAATTGAGTCTTCACTAGGAAATTGGCGAAATAGCTCGTAGATGATGTTATTTGGGGAGGAAATAGCGTGGCTTGAAGGGATCTGACTTTATTTGCAATTTCTGAAACTAGAAAAGTCCATGCAGAAGACGACCAGATTCTCTTGTTAGCTCTACTAACCTTTGATGTTACATTCATTCTCCGATTCCATTCTTTCCTAGAACTAACACTGAGAGACCAGTTTGTCTCAACTGCATTTCCCTTGGATTATTTCCATGCGAATTCTTCGCAAACTGCAACAAAGACCCTATCGCCTGCACTGAGACACCTACAGACAGAACCTAATTTTATTCATGACAATATAGAATATTTTCATTTCCATGGGGATATGATTAGTGAGATCGATATTGGAGGAATTTGTTTTCTATGAGGGTTCCCCTTTTTCAGGCAAATTTTCGCGTTCTAAGATCTAAATTTAGAAATCTTGCTCGTATTCGTTTTCTTTTGTCTCGTGTAAGGAAGGGTTCATTATAACATGAAAAATGGGGAAATAAGGGTGTATTTTATGTCGTACTATACTATTGTCATTTCGAAAACAGTAAAATAAATGTTACCAGGTTGATTACCTTATAGGCAAAATCTGCCTATTTTAAAAGCCAATACAATGATGTCGATAAATAATATAATAGTATATACAGGGTGTTTCATTTTTTTGTAGCAGGACTTTAGCAGCTTGAAGAAGACATTTTTTCAAGATGAAAATCTCGAACAAACATATATGCGTGGGAGCTTCGTTTCCGATTCACAGGGTGTCAAAGTTTCAGATTTTTCAAATGTTTTTTGAATTTTCTCCTAGAATTTTCGGAATAATTGATTGAAATTTGGTACAACTAATACACTTCAAAAACTCGATATTTGAGGCTATTGAGCGTTTTCGAATACCTACAGGGTGATAGACTTTCAGGGGTCGTACCCAATTTAACCCTGTAGTTTGCGTGCCACCTCTGCTTTCAATGGGACTAAGATTCAGATTGTCTCTGCAATTAGGAAACTTTTTTCCCAGATGTATGTTTTTCGAAAACTGTATGGATTTCGAGATAAATGAAAGTGGAATCCGAACCACACTGATAAAATTAGAACTGCCGTTCACGAGATTGAATTATTAAAACTCACAACACCTCAACCGTCAGAAGCGATAGTCTAGCGATGTGTGTCATACAGTCCCTGATATCGAAAGTTTAACCAGATTCAGTTTATACAGGGTTTCCTAGAATTTTCTACAATACAATTTCAGATTTTGCAATCCAGTTAGAGAAGTTTTTTTTGTTTCTCCTAGTTTTGATTATAATGGTGGTCAAAAAATTCAATCTAATTTTGCAACTGAATTTCATTTTGTATGGAAGCTTTCGGTCATTCTATTTTCCAATAAAATGTTTGAGAAATGTCAAATAAGTGTGAGAAATAACGGTTTTATTACAAGCAATTTATTTTTGGCATTTATCTCGAGATCCATACAGTTTTCGAAAAATTCACATGAAGGCAAAAAGTTTCCAAATTGAAAGGACAATCTGAATCTTTGTTTCATTGAAAGCAAAGACGGCACGCAAAAAAGTTCTACAGGGTTAAATCGGGTACGACCCCTGGAAGTCTATCACCCTGTAGGTATTCAAAAACGCTCAATAGCCTCAAATATTTAGTTTTCGAAGTGTATTAGGTAAACCAAATTTCAATCAATTATTCCGAAAATTGTAGGAGAAAATCAAAAAATATAAATTAAAAATCTGAAACTTTGACGCACCCTGTAAATCGGAAACGAAGCTTCCACGCATATATGTTTGCATGAAATTTTCTTCTCAAAAAAATGTCTTCTTCAAGCTGTTGAAGTCCTGCTACAAAAAACTGAAACACCCTGTATAAATAAAATAATAATAACAGAAAAAAAACAACAATAATTTTACTTTGTTGAAAATATGATCTTTAGAATGGACGAGGACAATGACTTAAATTCCAGTGTTTTCAAAGGTGTCTTTAGTACTGAGAAATTGGTCATTTCGTTATCATGAATAAATACACTGGATAATTTTTTGGATGATTCCTAAGGGTTTTTATTTTTCCTCAAGGAGTATACGGAGTTCATAGACCGAAGGAAAGGAAAAGTAAATTTGTTAAGTTTTTGGGGAGTACAATGACCTCTGAATATTGTCTGCACTACTCTATTTTATCTAGAAAACGAAACATAAGGCCCTAAAAACTGCCAGGGGAAACATTTTATATTCGGATAATTGATGTAAAACCGTAAAAAAGTCATATTTTGTTCTGCAAAAAACAATAACCGACATGTTCGCTCAGTATGCCCCTGAAAATTCTAATTCAAATCTAAATGGCCAGTGATAATAATTTTTCATGAGCGGCATCTTTCCTATAGGTTCTAGTCCTAAAACCCTGGAAACAACCTTCATATCAACATTCATATATGAGGCCACCTAGTGTATGTGTGCGGACCTAACCTGACTTTACTCGACTTTAGCTTTAGTCAACTTTAGTCTACCATTTAATCATTTTTCTTTACTTGTGAAATATGTAAATTCCTACCCTTCGAAAAAAATATCGTCATATCTAATGCAATTAGCCTATATTAGCATCAAGTCGTCATCATTGCTATATACGGAAATTCATTGAGATTATTTTTCAGCAAGAGCAGAAAATCTAAAGGTTTATAGTCGCACCTCTTATTATTGGGTCACCCCTCCCCCCTCCTGGATCCGATACTGTTTCCATATCGATAAAAAATGTTGTTATGTTATTATTTCATCTGTGTTATGAAAAGACACCATTGTGACCGAAAATAAGATGATCTCATTCCGTTGAAAGACAAAAACATTACTTTTTGCTCGGTTATAAATTTCATTTGAACAATTTCCAAAATATCACCTGTTATGACTATTTGAAAAGTTCTATTTATATCGCTGGACGGGTAATCATTGTTACATATCGAATATTATAATAGTAGTAGTTGGTATAATATATCATTATGTTCTTCGTTGGTATGTATATGTACAGTCGTCTTCAGAGATCATGTCGCACATGGACGGTGTCAGTTCCCTTGATCACCGCTGTAGTAAGAGCGCTCATACCGTCCAACCGCGACATGTTCGTTGAAGACGACTGTACATTACATATGAACTGATGGCCATCGACCTAACGAGATGCCCTTCAGCCCATGTGTGTAGGCTTTTTTACTGACTCCATACGCCACCTTATGAGCAGCACTGTTAATTAGAACGCAAAAGCGAATCGTACTGCATCATATCTGAGGTTTTCGTAGATTTTGAATATTTGGTGCAGTTATTAGGAAGGAGATATGAACAAAAATTGTTATGTGATCGAAATACTGCGTACTGTGTCATCGAATACTCAAAATAAGCTATAAAATTTGAAAATATCACAGAAAAAAAATGTATCTTCATTCACCTATATTTTGAACTTGATATTTCTGGATTCGAGTATTCATTCAAACTCAAACCACTCTGTAAACATGTACACCCAATTCGAATACCTATATCAGAAATATGCTACAAAATCAATATTTAGCAAATTGATTATACCTTTTTATTCATTCGAACCAGTTCGAACCATAAGACATTATTTTCAATGGAGCTTAAACTAAGTAAGAACCTGAGATTTATGTTTCCATATTTCATTTACCTATTTGAAGATGCTACTTACCAGCTGAATGCTAAATGCAGTTTTCACTGTTGCTACAAACACACTGCATCGAAATGATTGAAAATATTCATAAATCCCAAAATTTTGGCAAAATATCTCTTCAATGTTTGGAAAGTTTCCAGAATAATTTCAATAATAATTGTAAAAGGAGCGGAGCGGTGACTTACGATCCTACGAATCATATTCACATTATATTGACAAAACCGACAGAAATCAATTCGATTTTGAAAACCATCCAACTACTATTTATTTCATTATGAGCAAAAGCATGCAAAAGTTAGTGAAACATTTATTAGATACTCCAGATATTCCTTTGAATAATTGATGAATTTATTAAAATATATTCAACAGAATTGCTGGTTGCATAAAAACTGTAGGTCAATTAAAGTGTTTCAGATTTGTTGGTTGCATAAGTTGCATATATTGATCATTCCGATTCATCATCCAACTCTGACCTGTGTTCTGCAATCTTGGAAATCCGTGTTCTGTGACATTTGCACAACGTTATTCTTTTTTTTGTGGGGAGTGCCTCCTATGACGGCGCCAGGCCAGCTACGCTACGAGAAAAGGGTAGCCGTAGAGTGAACACAGTTGAAGGTTTTATCAGTTTACTCTGAGTAAATTCTAATTCCTATTCCTTGTGGTATTTGAACGGAATTTCGAGTCAGTTTATTGACATCTGAGATTGAAGTGAACATGTTTGTTGAAAAGTTTAGTTCAGTCTTCAGTCAGTTCAGGTTCAATTCATTAAGGAGAAGGTAGATCTTATATTCCAGTTGCAATTAAATAATGTAGATTGCCGCAATCAATGTTGTCTTGGGTAGGAATAACTTTGTCGAATCTGCGGAGTAAAATGTACAGACCTACTTTGTGGAGCTCGACGTCAAAGACTCTAGTATTTACGAACGACAATCTAACAAATTTCGAACCCAAATAAGTAAACTCTACTCCACAGAGTACGTATTCGAACGCAACCAGAGATACGCGAAAAGAGTACTTCGCGTTATCTACATAGTCTGGTTAAACTTCGCAGCCCATAGTAACGGGTTTGCAACGGCCGCCAAGCCGAACGTCAATTCCGAATTTGACATTTCTAAATTACGACAATAGCAAGGTTATTATAAGTATATTAAGATGGATTGTTATTTTTTATTTTTTTTTGTATACTTATATCGTATACCATGACTGAATTCCTAGCCTCAGTGACGCTGTTGGGTAGGTACTGTGCTCGACAAAAATATAAATGTGAGATAAATTTTTGGTTCTTCGGGGCCTCCTCAGGATGGGGCCATCATGGTTAAGAAGAAGAAGTGAATCTTCCTGAATCAACCGATCATAATATCACGGTCCTTAATATATTTTCGAGTGTTCTTTAAAAAATGAAATGTACCGCCGGCGGCTGTCCAGGCACTTGCTAATTCTGTCATTGTCATACGTCATACTGTCCAAGTCCAATTTCAAAATAATCGTTTGATAACAAATAACAAGGATTGTTTATGATAAAAAAATAATTAGTTTGTTGTATTTTTGATAATAAAATGGGCGACGAAGCTCAAACTACATCTACCACAGTGTCTAAAGAAATCACATCACAACCCAATCAAGATGAACTGATTCTTGCCCAACAACGCCAAATAGAAAAAGAGGTGAGTTGAGAAAAATACTAGGTTATGTTTATTGAACAAATATAAAAGATTTCAGATTCCACTACCCTAGTAGGTGAACTAGAACCGATTAGTTCCCTCAACAATGAATATTCTTCGGATGAGGTGTATTTGGACAAAGTGAAAGATTTAGGAGAAAAATACAAATTCATTAGGAGAACTAGACCTGATGGAAACTGTTTCTTCAGAGCATTTAGTTATGCCAATATTGAAAGACTGCTAAGTAAAAAAGAGGACTATAACGAGTTCTATAGAATATCTGAAGAGAGTAAAGATGTGTTGGTGTCTTTAGGATTCCAACAATTCACTGTTGAGGATTTTTATGATACAGTGAGTACAGGCTGAAAAAATGTACATAGATGATTTATGTGTTGTTATTGTAGTACATGGAAGTACTAAAGAAACTGAAAAATATTGAAAACCTAGATGAAGCTCATAAAGAGTTGCACACAACTTTCAATGAACAAGGATTTTCAGATTATATGGTAGTTTATCTAAGACTTCTAACTAGTGGGCAGTTACAAAAAGATCAGGATTTTTATAGCTGTTTTATTGAAGGAGATAGAACTGTAAGTAAATCCTGAAGTTCAGGAAAAATGCATGTTTATATTTAGGAAAATGTCAGGGATATTACTTGGTTGGATGATATTATTCTGGAAAAAAAAATTGTAATTATCTAGGTCACTGATTTCTGCCACCAAGAAGTAGAACCTATGTACAAGGAAAGTGATCACATCCACATTATAGCAGCCTGTGCTGCTCTCAATACAGGAGTACGAGTAATCTACATGGATAGAGGAACAGAGAAGTCTTGCACTGCCCATGATTTGCCAGAGGGATGTAGCCCCACTGTCCATCTGTTGTACCGCCCTGGGCACTATGACATTTTGTATCTCTAGATATTTTCTATGTTCCAAGGTTTTTCATTAAATGCATTTGTTAAGAAGCTTATCATTTGTGTTGGTCACAAAGAGAAACTACATAATTACTTCTATAGTGCATTCCAATTAACACCAAACCATGAGCAAAAGTACAGGGTGATTATTTATATTTTACTCAATAGCTATCTCAGTTGATATGGAAATTACAGAAACGTTCAAATGGACAAAAGTGAAATATTTTTCATGGACATTCTGAATCTAGTACTAAAAAATGCAAAAAAAGCAAGGTTAACCTAAACATTTAACCTAAATTGGTATTTTTTAAATGCAACACCCTGTATGTTATTATTCCTAATCGTGGAGCTCTTTCTTCTGATTTTTAATATACAGGGTGTCCCAGAATAACGTCCATATACTTCATCAACATGTGTCCAAAAATGTCTCTTAAGGGCACCAGAGCCCTAGAGCTAGAGAGATATTTGTTGAAATAATATGTTAAGTTGGCAATGGAAAGACAAATGTTTCCTGCGTTCTGTCAAGTGTTAAAATAGAAGTCTGTCATTATTGTCAGTTGTCATCAAGGATGTATCATGATTCAGCGTGATTCTTAGACACACAGTTGAAATGTTCAATGTCTGTGAACTATTGTGAACGTAAAATAAAACTAAACTAAACCAGTTAAAAATCATTTACTTCTGCAAAATACAAAAACCTTATCAATATTTGCTCATCAAATCAACATCACAATGAACTCTAATAAAACAAAACTATTAGTGGAAATGTGAAGTTTTTCATCATAGGTCAGGTGCTCAAAATTATTCTGTATTTTTTCAGACTTCAAAATGAAAAATGACACACTCAAAAACGGTTCGTTTTACAGCATTCTGACAAGAATACCTTTTTTATATAAAAGTATTTGGAGAATCATATTTTGGTAGAAGGAATGAGATGAATCTCAAAACAAAAAAAGTTTGGTCATTTTTATAGCATTGGTTGTGAGTTTCACACCTCCCTGTGTAATAAATCATGTTTTTTTACTACAATCCGATTTCTAAGATCGACTCACCCTCAGGTACAAAATTTCGTGATTCTAGGATAAATGAAAACAAAGATAATTGAAGAAAACTGATGCATTCCAGGAACTCCATATAGAGGGCTCTGCCCCTATTAGGAATCATTTTCGTACACATTTTGATGACAATATTTTTTATTATTTCCATCTGAAGGATCACCTTCTGGAGTATAGGAACGTTATTCTGGGACAACCGTATATACTTTATTGAGGTTATCTTTTTTCAGTTTTTGAAAAATATTGTTTTTTTTTGTATAGATAGATCTAAGCAAGGTGTTGAACGCCAGACGACAATGCTGCGATTTCTGGCGTTCTACAACTGCCTTATTAGAATCCATATTTTCCAAAAAACTTAAAGTACAGTCGTATTCAATAAAAAAGCGCACAAGATTTCGGGATCCTAGATCTAGTTGTGTAAAACTGGCTCAGCCAATGCTTTGTGTTTTCGAGGACCTATGACAACTCTACTGTCAACATTTGGTGAACAATCATTCCCGATAGCCCGTTTTATGCAGTATAGGATGACGTTATAATTTCTCTCTGTAATATACTTGTACGCTTTTTTTTAATGCGACTGTATATATCGTTGATGGTTTTATCCACAGATTAAATACTTTTCTGACTAAGCAAGTTTGAGAAACAATGTCATAAACACCATCAAATATTTTTTTACCATCTTCCCATCATCGAGCACAAACATCCCTGGGATGTTTTGGCATGTTTTGAAAATGTTGGCATGAAGATGTTATTTTGAGACGTAATATATATGCACTGACCAAAGAGGTCTTTGAAGGATATTGAAGTATTGTTTTTGTTCTTCTGTGGCATTTCTTTGTTTGCCTACTGAGAGGTATCCCTGGGATGTTTCGGGATGTTTTAGTTATGTAGGCATGAGGATGTTTTTTTGAGGCGTAATATGCACTTCCCAAAGAGGTCTTATAGAAGGATATTGAAAGTATTATTTTTGTTCTTTTGTGCCCTTTCTTTGTTTGTCCCACCACAACGTCTCATGCTTACGTCACAATACGATGAATTCTGATTTGTTTTCGATTTTGTTCTTCTTGTTCGCAATTATTGGTATTCGCGTTTGCAGCGTGTCACGCTTACATCACGCTGCTAACGAACAGAAAGGAATTTGGTGAAGTTTATTGTCTTAGAAGACTTATTTAGTTTGTAATAATGACCATATCAGATGCAAGATGTGTTGTTCGGTGCCTCAGTGTAATCAATATATAAAAGTACGAATTTATCAATACACAGCTTCTCCGCAGTTGCGCAAAATTATGCATTGTGGAGAACATTTCAAAAATTGGGAAACCTATTTCCAATTATATGTCTGTGTGTAGTAAGCACTACTCAGAAACCGATTGAGAAGGTAATTTCATATCAAGAAAAAAATTTTATGTTCAATCTATTTTTAATGCATTTTTTCATTCAAGGGAAATGGAATCCTAATGCGAAAGTTCATTTTGACAAAAGGCTTCAGAAAAGTACCTCGAGAATGTTTTTTTTTACAGCAGCGATTTAATGTGCGCAAGACGCGTTGAAAATGTTTTGTTGTGTCCATGAAAAGGCTTTCAAAAGAACTAGGGAGAAGGTAGTTTTGTGACATATCAAGGACATCTCGATAATTGCCGCCTGCGGCGTACATTTTGGCTGTTCTATAATAGTTCTATTCATGTGTGAACAGAACATCGCAGTGGAGGTTCAATGTCTCGAAATCTCGTACTTTTAATATCTCTGAGATGTTTTTGTGCTCGCTCTGGGTTATTTGTTATATGCTTCCAAATGTTAAGTTTCCGTTTCGTCGCTGGAAAAGTTAGGGCAAATTTTGTTCGTTGTCATGATGACAAAATCGATATTCTCATTAAGAAAAATGTTGTAAGTAAAAATACCTTAGGGGTTGAATATTCCAACCCCTTCTAAGCATATTTCAAGGTTGACAAAATTTCAAAATGTGTAGTTTTATTGACAAATATCATTTACCAAGTTTCGTGTCTAGTTTGATATACAGGGGAATTAAAAAAGAAAAACCATTTTCTTCAATTTTCGGAAAGGTGTAACTTTTCCGGGGAGAGGTTTTTCAAAAAATTTCATACCAAATACCCACCCCAATTTTCATCACAGAATAACCCTTTGAAATTATCCGGTGTTATTCAGATACGAGTATGTTCAAAATCAACATTACCTATACCACCTCCTTCCAGGTATACGTCGGGGAAGAAAATACTGGAAAAACTGTCAAATATTTTTATAGTTTGTTTTTCATTTGTTTGGAGTAGGTACCTACACAATTCTTGTTCCTTTTTCTACCTCTGGTTTTTCATTCATTTGATACCTTTATAATTCTGCCTAAAATAGTTGATTCGTGAATTAACACAATCCTCTAAGTATCTAAATTTATATTTTCAATTTCTTCAAATTATCTGCATCCACACTCAGTTGCTACAATGTCATTATAACTCTTAATAGCAACATTACCATATTTATCGTAATACATTATTACTAAATCTTTGTACTCCACTGGTATGCAACAAGTGGTCCTTTTCTGCAAAGTATGCACTAATTTGGCATGGTTACTGTTTTCATCTACATTTTTCACGCATCGCCCTGTACAGTCGAAGGCGTTGAAATATTCCGGGGCAATAATAAATTTATTCCAACCCATACTGAGGAAATCGATGGTCCATTCTTGCTTACGACATTGCCGCACGCCACTGTGTTCAGTGTGGTCGGGGTGGGTTACAATATCAGAACTTTTTGTGCCTACAAAAAAATAAAAATCAGTCAAAGCCACTTTTCACTGTCGGTAGACCGAGTGCAACTGATGACGCCTGATGGGCCGAGTTATCTACGGGCAATATAGGGGGAATAATTTCTATAATGATGATAATGGAATATATATAAACTAATCATCCTTTATCAAGAACCATAGGCGCCGGAATTTCAACCATTTTGGATTTGATCACATTACAATTCAATATATGGCGGACTTCCGGTTTTTCTGGAAATGCCAGCAACTTGGTTTTTTCGAATGGAACACCCTGTATATTTTTACATATTCAAGCTCAACAGGTCAAAACAAGTGCGATCTTTACGGAAAATGTGATTTTTTCGAAATTTAAATTAAATTTGAATTAGAATAAGTTTTATTTTATTTTACCTAGGCTCATAATTACATCATTTTTTTGGAAACATAATTTTTGGTTTCACTTATCGATGCATCAATACAGTCACATCACATTTTGATAAAACATTATGGGCCACCTTAATGACATATCATTTTTGCATTTCGGTGCAGTAACAAATTGTATACATTCGAAAAACCAACAACTATGAAATTCATGAATTTCGTTGCAATTTTAAATTTTTTCGAAAAAATGACATTTGACATGCACTTGTATCCACCTGTTGAACTCAAATATGTAAAAATGTACAGGGTGTTTCATTTGAAAAAACTATAGTTTGTTAGCATTCCCAGAAAAACCGTAAGTCCGCAATATTGGATTTTAATGTGATCAAATCCGAAAAGGTTGCTCATATAGTATAGGTTAAGATGCGACCAAATGGTTGATTTTTATATTTTATTTCTCAAGATGAAGCAAGATTTTAGGGTGGTCAGAAGAATACCTTCGATTTGAAAGTTTCAGGATTATTGACGGGTATGAGCATCTACATATTTTGAATATCTTCAAGCGAAAAAAGAAACATCAATTATTATACAGAATATCGATATTTACTGTTTGTAGGTAATGGGAGTTGGAATTTAATGTTTTTTTGGGATTTCCTCTCGTATCTATAAGTAAAAATATTATTCCAAGATATGTGTGGTAAGGACGAAATGAGATGATTTTCCCCAAAATATCACACTGCCTTTATGAATTTTACTTTTAGAAAACCTAAAAAAAAACTCAATCGATAGGCATCTCTTTTTTTGAAAAATGTCCGAAGAAGAGGAATATATATACATATATCGAAACAATATCAAATTCTCACTCAGCTTTGGACGAGATATAGAAAAAAAAATTTGTGACTTTTTGTTTCCAGAATACCGTTCGTATAAACCGGAAGGTAATTCTGCTGATAAAAATATAAAAAAATCTTCCTATCAACATGTCCTGTCCGAAAATGCTCCCTTTATTTTTTTATCATAAGAACACACACTCGAAATCATTTTGCATTTTTCCAAACATCATAACAAAAAGTGACACTTTTCTCCTAAACGGAACCTACGTTTTACGGCGTTCTAACAAGAATATCTATTTCAGGTGAAAGTGTTCGAAGAATCATATTCTGGTAGTACAAATGATATAAATCTGGAAACAAAAAAAACTTGAAGCATTTTTATTGCATCGGTTAGGAGTTTCTCTTCGCTCTGTATAAATATTAAATAATGTTTTCCGTACCATTAAACGATTTGCAGGCCACCTGAAGGTACCATTTCGTGATTCTAGGATGATAAAAAAGATTTTTAAAGAACACTGCATTTGAAGCGTTACCTTCAAATGGCTCTAGCACGCCAAATTTCGTGATTCTAGAATCAATGATAACAAAGATAATTGAAGAAAACTGCATTTAATGACCTACTTTTAAAGGGCTCTATAGCGCCCTTAGCCATTTTGGGACACATGTTGATACATTTTTTTTAATTTTCATCTGCAGAATAACCTTCCGGAGAATACGAACGTTATTCTGGGACATCCTGTATAAGTGTATAAAAATAAAGTGAAAACATATTATTATGTTAGGTACAAAAGTTTGATTTTGGAACTCACTGTTAGTTTGTACATTTGCTATAATGAATGTACTTATATTTCCGGAGTTGGTGTCATTGAAGACTTCAATCAGAGTGTTATTTTCATAATACGATATGGTGAGGAGTAACCCTAGATTTTCTTCGCCACCCAACCAGTTGTCTATGGGTTTCTTCACTTTGAAAGTCTGAAAAAACGTTGAATGAGATATAATATCATAATCATATGGGGAGCGAAAGAATTTCTATACAGGCTGCCATTTTTCTTCAAAAAAATTCAACTTATTCTTTGGGTTGTTGAATTCATTTTTTTCTGATATACCGAGTGTGTACGAAACTATTAGACAGGTCATGATTTCTAGAATAGTATTGTTTACTTCTCGGCCACTTTCGATTTCACCAGAAATTATTCTGTTTTTGAATTTTTAAATGACACATCCTGTATATGCTGACATTTCTGGATTTCAGAGACAATTCTGGATCAAAATGTGACATTCTCAAACGCTTTAACGCCTACTTCATTCTTCAGAGTCACTTTTGATATTGTAAATTAGGTGTTTTGAAAAAAATAGTAGATTGTTTTATTAGGATCAAAAGTGACACTTTGTTTGACAAGCGAATTTTGCATTTGCGAGGCGGAGCGTTTAGCAACCGAAGCCAATTAACTCAAATAAACATGTGAAGTAACCACCAATATGCCGTGCCATATGTATGCAATGCAACAAATATTGACAAATAAATCCATGTGGTGAGAATATTCTACCTGCATTAACAGCAGGTTAGGTTTTCTAGGATGTTCGAATTGTAGTTTCAATATAAATACAACCACAGAGTGACATATTTGTGTATGGACCAGGTGCTCGAATGGCAAATATCAACAATGATAATAGTGATTATTTATTCCTCTCCATTCTACACTGTGTTTGACTTGATAATCAAATGAAGCTAAACAATATCGTTGTTTGAGACAAAAAAACTATTGCTTGCCGTGATTATTCAAAAACAAGTTATCCATCCCGAGAATAACGAATGAAATACAGATCAAGCAAGTATTTGAATCTTGAAGGCTTCCCTGATCAAAACAAAAATACTTGACTGAGATGTTTATAATTCCAATACTAAACTATAATGAGGTGTATTTATATCTCCAGCATGGGTATGAAATGCCAAATCTGCTGAAATCGGAAACAAATCTGGTATATGCGTCTCGACCCAAACAATGTTGTTTATTCTTGATGACGTCCAGTACATCCTTTTTAGTTCCTAGGAGCTAAAGTTCAACTTTAGCTCGTAGGAACTAAAATTCAACTTCAGCTCCTAGGAACTAAATAAGTTGCCTAGCAACATACCTATTTTTGTGTCAGTAATAGAAACGTCAATTTAAGAGCTAATTTTGGTATCAAAATGGACGACTTTTGTGTCGGTTGCAGAAAAACTTTTTTTTTTAATTTTCTGATTTACAGTTGCAACTGTACGTTATTTTTTTTTTTGGATCGTGCACTGTTCTGTCTTACCTGCCACCCTTTTTGTGCTTTAGATACATAGATAACATTGAACAACTTGTGTATATCAGGATTTTCTGTCGGCCCACTTTGGTTCCAAAGATCGTACTGTTTTTCGAACTGGTACAGTCTGAGTACTACTGATTCCTTGTAGATGCTGGAAGAGTTCTCGAGCGGCCAGTAAAAATACAAGTCAGCATCCGAGATGGCCTCTGACTGGAGACTATTCAAATTGAAATACATGATGTTCGACTTGTTTTTATTGTCGTTGAATAATATTCTCTTCGTTGATTTGGGACCCGCAGAGTCCAGGGATTTTTCGTAGAATTTTCGAATGAATAAGGGCAGGTTTGTTCTCGGTAGATGGTTATGGTTGTAGTTCCACTCTTCGTCCAGATAATGTTGGCCTGGATCATTCTGGAAAATTAAATAAGTCGGTCCAAATTTGGTACGAATTGAACTTTTCTCATGAAACTTGGTACAGTTTAACTGAAGTCGAGAATCGGGGACCAGAGGCAGCCGCTTCCAGTGGTGTACGCAGAATTGTTCAGAAAAATCGCTAACATAGATTCTGGATTTTCAGCTTCTGAATGTGATCTAGTAGGCCATGGTTTTTAAAAAAGGTGAACGCCGCTTTGCTCCAGAATACACCTTTCCTCCTTTTACATTTCGAAAAAATAATTGCAAAATCGTTCCACAAATAAAATATTCATGAGAGTGACACGGTTTCAAAAAATAGGTAACTCTGTATGTACAATATCCAGGGTTCGAATAAGTCATGACTTTTATAAAAAAGTCATCAAAGTCCGACTTCATGAATTAAGTCAGACTTTTTTGAATTAATTCATTTGAAAAAAAAACAAATTTCATTTACCCAAAGCGAAATAGAAAAAAAGAAACAAAAAAACTATGTTTTTATTCCCTTCAGAAATCTTGTAGAATAACATCATAATATAACATGTCATTTTTTCAAAACAAAATCAAAAGTGATGATAGAATACAAAATAATAGATACATACATATAGATCCAGTATCATCCATAAAGTTCGTAACACATGGAGAAAAAGTTTATTAGTAGAATATCGAAACATTTTTTCTCGGGGATCTTATGCATGTCTGACTACCCAAAAGTCGATTTTCACACATGTCACTTGATCACTGGTATGGCGGTAAATTCAAAAAATTACGATGGCAAAAAGTGGGGTTGGATGATGGGAAGATGAAGTTATTTAAAAAAAATAAAAATAGCTATTTTCAGTTTCCTCACATAATGGCTGGAAACTCCATATGTGAGCATGGAATTGAATTCTATTCAACTTGTACATCATCAACATCACTACTGTCAGAAAAAAAAAATTGTAACAAAATTGAAGAATATTCGAAAAAATATAGCTATTTCCAATTCTCCTCCAAAAATTGCTCGAAACTGAATGTGGAATAGCAACTTAATAAGAAATGTTTATGGATATTTTGTTATCTAACCCCACTTTTTGTCGCTTTATAGTATTGTTTTTGTTTATCACCATACCAGTGATCACGTGAACATGTGTCAAAATCGATTTTCAAGTTATCGGATATGCATAATGGATCGCCGAGAGAAAAAAATTCGATGCTGTGATAATAAACCTGTTCTCATATGTTATGGACTTCATGGATGATACTTGATACTGTATATATCTGTTAGTGAAAATCTCTGTCATGCTTGAAATAACAAAGTCTTGCCAAAATACGATCAAATTTTTCAGTTTAAACTAGTTAAAATCAAAGGTAATAGTGCAATTTGTCTAATTTTTTAAAATTTGAATGAATTCATGACTTTTTCGAAAAAAGTCAATGGAATTAATTCACGAATTGAATCACTGATTCAATTCGTATGAATTAATTCATGCCAACCCTGCAATATACTCACCAGTATTGGGTTCTGTTGTTCATTCTTCAAAACATTCAGGTTGTTGTTACCCAAACTGTTGCCAATCTTAGCATGAGGATTAACGGAATCTGTTATATTGTGATTGAGATAAAATATCCTGTTGTGCACCCTGTATTCATTATTTCTTCCCATTTTGAAGTAATATTGTTTTCCTGCATGACTGGTAGCGTTTTCCGAGCACACCAAATTGAAAACCGCAAGGAAAACTAACGAACAGAACATCTTGACTTTACCACCAATTGTGCCAATGTACAGCTCAGATCTAGTGAGATATGCCCACTTGTATAATTTCAGAATTGAGATTAATTGAATAATTCACAGAATTGTATAATTTATATTTTTTGTAATTCTTGGCGATTAACTTGTTGATAATATTTTGGTGGCGTCACGGTTTTTATATAAAGAAAGAAACAATATTGAAATTACCAACCTATGTAAGATGTAAGCATTTTCAAAGATGGTGCAAGGTGCAAACTCGAGGTTTTTCACAGAAAACCTAATAATTCGAGAGTATTGCTGATGGTATGTATGTATGTATGTATGTGTGTGGGCGGTCCGGGACCTGACGCACTTAGGCCTCTCTTTTCGGGCCCATTGTGCACCCAAGTTCCTGGGATCGCAAGTCAGCCATGGAGAAGGCCGATCTCGCGAGCAAAAGAGACCAACTTTCTAGGCCAAATCTTTTTAACATCCTCTGGGGTCCATGATACTGCTCCCAAAATGGATATCCCTTGCTGTCACTATTGCCGGGCATTCAGTGAGAATGTGAGTAGAAGTCTCTTCATCCTCTAGGCACCATCTGCATTCAGGATCCTCCACAATCCCGATCATGCTGAGATGTTTGTTCAGGTGGCAGTGCCCTGTCAGAAGGCCCACCACCAGTTTCAGCTCCTTCCTGTTCAAAGCCAAAAAGGCATTGGTCTGTCTTCGTGACGGGTTTCCTATATGGAGTTTGGACTGCCTTATTCGAGGAGCCCTTCTCCAGCTGTCCTGAAACCTTTCCGTCAGGATTTCCTTCATCTTGAAGTTGCTCCAGGATCGAGTGACCCCTAAGATTGGCTCTGGGCCAATCACTGAACCCTTCGCCCCCTTTCTGGCCAGACCATCGGCCATTTCGTTACCTGGTACCCCTGAGTGTCCAGGGAATTGTTGATGGTAATACCTAGCATAGATATTGTGGTCTTGGTGGTACCAGACATTGTTATATCGGGCATTCTGAATGTGAGTCCCGCCTTTCTAGAGAAAATACAGGCTTGAGTTTTGGTGGCGTTGAATTCAACTAGGTTGTTGGTTCCCCACTCCTTCTTCGTAAGTTCTTAGTTTCCTTGACAGAAATAGAACGCAGTATGGAGAGTACTATCGTCTGCAAAGCTGTTGTCCACCTTCCGGTTTCACCGATTGTACTGCACCCTTGGCGATATTTCACATGGATTGTTATAATGCTGATTTATAAATTAATTCTCAGAATTTTATTCGAATGGAAACATCGAAAACTTCTGACGACCGCGTTACCGTATAGAGTAAGCACTGTGGATAGACCCTTTACCCTTTATGAGTGCAATCTTCGATCAGACTGTAGAATTTCATTTTGATAAATCCTTGTTTTCCCCCCTTCCCCTGGGATTTTGAAATTCCCGCTCTTATGCTCCAGACAGGAAAATGATCTTTGATCCGAAACTACAATTATTGATCAAGTTGCACTATAGTTGTTGTAGTGCACTTTGTTTTTCAAACTAGAACATAACAAAAACAAATCGATAAACGCAACTGCAAATAACATGCTCCTATTGTCTCTATAGTAAATAGGTACTGGTCTTTCTTATCGTTATTGAAATGTTTATAATGCAGTGACGTTTTTGGAAATTGGTTATTAGGTAGGTGAAGCTCAAAATCAATCCCAGAATAGTGTTCAATACAATGTACAACTGGTAGATGATGAGTATATGACGGGAGAAAAATAACTACTTTTCTGGCCAACGCCACGTTGAACAGAACAAATTTGTGTACAAATATACAGAGTGTTATTTAAATATAATGATGAAGATGGAAAGCCCTGATTTCGGAAAGTCGAACTCACAACCTCTGGGTTACATGCCCAACCACCAACGCTCTGCCAATTGAGCTAACGGGACATCCGTCGATCAATCGGCAGAAAGGTCGATACCCAGTGAGCCCAACCTCCCTGGGATGTTGGCATGAAGATGTTATTTTGGGACGTAATATGCACTGACCAAAGAGGTCTTTGAAGGATATTGAAGTATTGTTTTTGTTCTTCTGTGGCATTTCTTTGTTTGCCTACTGAGGGGTATCCCTGGAATGTTTTGGGATGTTTTAGAAATGTAGGCATGAGTATGTCTTTTTGAGGCGTAATATGCACTTCCCAAAGAGGTCTTAGAAGGATATTGAAAGTATTGATTTTGTTCTTTTGTGCCCTTTCTTTGTTTGCCCCACCACAACGTCTCATGCTTACGTCACAATACGATGAATTCTGATTTGTTTTCGATTTTGTTCTTCTTGTTCGCAATTGGCATTCGCGTTTGCAGCGTGTCACGCTTACATCACGCTGCTAACGAACAGAAAGGAATTTGGTGAAGTTTATTGTGTTAGAAGACTTATTTAGTTTGTAATAATGACCATCAGATGCAAGATGTGTTGTTCGGTGCCTCAGTGTAATCAATATATAAAAGTACGAATTTATCAATACACAGCTTCTCCGCAGTTGCAAAATTATGCATTGTGGAGAACATTTCAATAATTGGGAAACCTATTTCCAATTATATGTCTGTGTGTAGTAAGCACTACTCAGTAACCGATTAAGAAGGTAATTTCATATCAAGAAAATATTTTTATATTCAATCTATTTTTAATGCATTTTTTCATTCAAGGGAAATGGAATCCTAATGCAAAAGTTCATTTTGACAAAAGGCTTCAGAAAAGTACCTCGAAAATGTTTTTTTTACAGCGATTTAATGTGCGCAAGACGCGTTGAAAATGTTTTGTTGTGTCCACGAAAAGGCTTTAAAAAGAACTAGGGAGAAGGTAGTTTTGTGACATATCAAGGACATCTCGATAATTGCCGCCTGCGGCGGACATTGGCTGTTCTATAATAGTTCTATTCATGCGTGTGAACAGAACATCGCAGTGGAGGTTCAATGTCTCGAAATCTCGTAAATCTCTGAGATGTTTTTGTGCTCGCTGGGTAGTTCTCAAGACACCCTAGGCGGCAGGATCCTTCCAATTCCCGAAGTTACTCGAAATTATGCACTATACGAAGCTTCGCTGGCAGGATGACTATACAGTCTCCATAGTTACTATGTTTGATTGCCTTCGGACATTTCCGTATACAAGGAAAGACAATGCCAGAGGACGAACGGGGAAAATGGAGACTGTCTAGTACCATCCTGCCAGCGATACTTCGTATAGTGCAATCGAAATGTGATTGAATTTTTGGCACAACGAGATGTTCCTGCTGGCTCTCCTGTCCTTTCCTGTTTCCTCATTGCGCACGCCCCTGTTTCTATGGCGATTGATTTGCTTGGTACCAGTGTTGCCAACTTAGTGGTTTTCACACTAGAACTGGTGGTTTGAGTTTTCGTTTTGTGACAAACTATGAAATCTAGTGGATAGTGTTTATTTTGGTGATTTTTCGAAAAATAAATGGTGAAATCTGATGGTTGAGGACGCATCCAAAATTTCCCTTGTTTTATGAAAGAAATCTAATCTCAGCAATGTGAAACTAGAGAAGAGTTTTTAGAGAAATACTGCTTCCAACTGAAATCACTGTCCAACTGTTATATACACATTTCAGCTGTTTTTTGTAAGATATCGAATGTTGTTTTTTTTTTCATTTCTCTTGTTTTATACGTAGTATACTATACAGGTATGTCATTGGTGTTATGAACCATTTGTTTAACTTCCTTTTTTTATGTTCTGGTTCCCATGAAAAGGGATATCCTGTTATGTTCAGAGAACATCGTGACAACCAAGGGAAATGAAGTAGGAATTGGTATTCTTCTTAAATTTCTGAAGGTTATATGCCTCGGGGAACACCTCCCTTGGCAATGTGTTCCAGAGCCTCGCTGTTCGTTGGATGAACGAGTCTTTGGAAAGAGATGTTCTGCGGGTCTCCAAACTGATGCCCACGAAGGGGTGCGAAGCCTCAACTCGACGGGTTAATCTCGCGGGGACTGCCAAGAGAGGAACAATAGTTGATATTTCAGAAGAGAATTGTCCATGAAAATATCTATAAAATAGAGCCAGATCGCCAACTTGTCTACGGTGTTCCAGAGAAGTGAGTGAGTTTGTGAGCGAGGCATCACCCACGAGACGAATTGTCCTTTTTGGACAGAATCCAACAGTTTCATGGTATGTATGGGTGCTGTTGGGAAAACAACTTTTTTCACATTCATTTATATATCGTTAAGCCAAGATGCGTTGACCAGCTATATAGACTCCCATTATCTAGTGTAATCTAGTGATCTAAACTGAATTTAAAACCACAAAAAAATCACTAGATTCGCAAAAAATGTTCGCTTGCGGCTCATTGCTCTTCGGTTCCGTCAGGTTTGGTGTTTTTTTTGGTGTTGCCATTCTGCGACTTTTGAAAATCTGAGTTGGCAACACTGCTTGGTACTGCATGGCTGCAGCAGACAGGCAGCCGGTAATCGAACAAACGGCAATAATATAAAACTGATAAGTAGGATGGATAGGAGCGATAGGACTGCTTGATCGTCACGTGACCGAAAGGCAGAGCCTATCTCTGCTCATTTGGATTCGGAATCTCGTTACATTCCACATTCTCATTCGATTTCAGTACAGTCACTCACGCTTTCGCCTATTCCAGTATTCGCTTTGCCGGATTCGCCGGGCATTCATGCAAGCCGCGTTGCCAAATCTGCATTTTCATCACGTGTTTATTTGCATTTCAGATACGATGTTATAATTAGTTGAACATCAACACACATTAATTTGTTTCGAAGAGTTGTTTGTGTTTTTTTAGCGCCAGCAACATGGACTCCAGCAAGAAGCACGTGAGAGAGTCGCCAGAAGTGAAAGCGAATTTTTTGTCCAAACTTTTTTTCTGGTGAGTCCATATATGTGTAGGTAGGTATTTAGTTATGAACAAATAATCAATAGAAAACTATTTGATCGATACAGTTGAGTAGGTACCTATAACCTCGCTTCATCACGCTTATTTGAACTGCGTGTGTCAGATTATAGTAATTTTATTGAATTCCTACATATATACAGAGTGGTTCAGATTTAAACAATGAATATTTTGGCAAGATGTACCTACTTACTTATTTTGCCCATCGTTTGTTATCATCTTACCAAAGTCTTTGTTTATAAATGATAAATGATTTTCAGAAACCTCCAGCGGCAATTAATAAGTATAGCCTTGGCTGTGAGTGACCTTTAAGACACTATGTATGATATTCAAAACATGTATTCATTCTCTTTCAAAAGAACGAGGATTTTTTAAACTTGAGAAAGTTGCAGTGGTATACGGTATTTTCTTGTATAATGATTGACGAATAAAAAATTTGATAAACTAATGCAAAATGCACATTTTTATAAACATTACTAGCCGATCCGGCAAACGTTATTTTGCCATAAACATTAGTATTTATAGAAAATATATTTTTAGTTAAATATTTCTCAACACACCTTTAGTATTTTATTTTCTTTTCATTTTCAGTGTGACTATCCATAAAAGCGTGTTTATTCAGTTATCAAACTATTCTATTTTTTTTTTCAGAAGATTTTGTTTTCAAATTCTTATCGTGTGTGTTCAATAGATGTAATTCAATATTCGTCTTGGCATATAGCCAGGAAAATAGTTGTTTTCTGTTGAATAAACCGGGAAAGAATTAATATTTTCATCACATGCAGAATGCGAATTCTCAATGTATTTCTTTATATACATATATCATTTTTTTTTGTTTATAAATATATCTGAGAATGTTCCTTTTCAATATTCTATTTATTTTCAATATCTTTTCAGTTTAAAATATATCTCTTCATTTTCCCAAACGTTTCTATATTTTCTACTTCTTTTTAGTTTGGTCTATCTATAAAAGCGTGTTTGGTTAGTTTTTCAAATTACTATTTATTACAATAGCTGACCCGGCAAACGTTGTTTTACTATTAATACCTACATTTATTTCCATAAAATAATTTTTAGTTAACCAACATGTTTCTATAGGTTTTCAAACTACTATCTATTGATTTTCCATTTCTTTTTAGTTCGACAATCTATCTCTTTAGTTTTTTAAACTATACTATAGTTTTTCAAATTATTATTCAAAACAAAGCTCGTTCGCCATATTTGTTCCACCATATTGGATCTGCCATTTTGAATCTCCTAATTTTGACAACGGTATCATAATCTCCGACCCCAAAAAAACCCCAGTTACCGATTTTGAATAGAATCGGACGATAATAAAAAACTCGTCCGCCATATTCGATCCTCAATCCTTAATTTCGGAATTCTGATGAAAATATCCTGATCTCCGACCACAAAAACCACCAGATACCAATTTTGAATAAAATCGGATTACAAAACTCGTTCGCCATATTGGATCCGCCATCTTGAAATTTTATTTTGAAAAATAGCTCATACCTACCTATTGCTGATATACTCCTAGACGGATAGGAAATAATGAATACCTACGATAATGAAATTACGGAAAATGGTAGATATATTTTTTTATATGGAGTTGAGTGACAGAAGCCCACATGAAGACAGATCCTGAAAATGGAAAAATATACAGGGAGAGATCCATTTAAAAAAATATCAAAATGTTCTGTCCTCGAATTATGGTCAATCATTTTTTGAAGAGTAGCCCATCAAGTCTCCAATAATTTTCTTTAAGACTTTTTCTCTATTTTAAGTATATGGTCCTAGCGAGCATAAGTGGGATTCATACAGAATGATATCATCATGTTATCATATTTCTCAGTTATAATAATTTTGTTTTTCAATCGTGGAACAAATGATATTGATCAATATTTGCATATAAAACTGCATAGAACTATATTTCGGTAGTTCCAAGTAATTTCAATGATATTCAATCATATTGTATTTATTCTATATTGAAACCACAGCTTGTTTATGTAGGATTAAGATAAGTGGGATTTAGATAATGTCCTCATTTTTATCTAAGAATTGTTTCCATCTATTTGTATAGGACCCATTCCTTCATATAACAATATGCAAAAAGTTGATACTTAAGCTTTATGTTTGTGATTTGTATATAATCGAGGGCAGTATTCATGTGTCTATTAATTATATATTGTTCAAAAATTCGAATCTTGATATACATATATACAGTGTGTCCCGCTTTAATTCCAGTTATGTAGTATAATAGGTTGTCTCATTTAATAGCTCACTGTGTTCAAAATTAATATCACATAAATCAGGAAACTATATGAGGCATCATTCGAGATTGCCAATACGAAGTTTCGAAAAATATCAGGTATGTCCCTATCCCTATACCTACATTAGGGTTGGAAACTTTCAAAGGGGAAGGCAAATGATGGTGGAAGCCGCATATCAATCCTATTACCCGTTTTCCCTTAGGAAAGAAGTATTTTCCCGCGGAAGAAGTAGCGTATGTTCATCAGGGATAAGGTCGGCTTCTGATGATATGAAAAAATTTTTCAAATCGGTCAAGTATATTTTCGAAGCCTATTTAATACGAATAAACAAATAAATCAAATCTTTCCTCTTTATAATGTTAGTATAGAAGAAGTATAGATATGCTAGGAGGTATTCATTTTTCGAGGTATTTTTTTTAAATCCTTTGTTTTTATGAAAACATATCCAAAATGTTAGAATTGTTATGAAAACATGATATAGTTAGATCTATAGCAATCGAAAATGATTTAACAAACCTTAACATTCCTAAAATAAAACACATATCATAAGGTGCTGACCTCACAAACTAACATTTTCGATAAAAAATTAATTCCAAAAAACTGAACAGTTCTGGTGGGAGTTCTGAGTAGCGCTCGACGAGTTCTTCTAAATATTCTCGTGACAAATCGATACTTTTTCATCTATCAGCTGTCATAAGGTGCTGACTTCAAAAAAACTAACATATTCGATCCACAATTAATTTCAAAGAACAGAACAGTTCTGATCGAAGTTCTGAGTAGCGCTCAACGAGTTCTTCAAAATATTCTAATTGTGTTTTAGATACTAATCGAGGGCTCTCATCAGAACTGTTTCGTTCTTTGAAATTAATTTTTCATCGAATATGTTGTTTTTTGAGATCGGCACCTTATGACAGCTGATAAATGAAAAAGTATCGATTTGCCAATAAAACACGATGTGAATATTTTGAAAAACTCGTCGAGCGCTACTCAGAACTTCCATCAGAACTGTTCTGTTCTTTGGAATTCGTCAGATTTTTTATTTATCAATGATTTTTCTCTTTTTTTCTCGAGTGCTTTTTCTTCAATACCAAAGAGAACGGAATAGTATTCCACCAAGAAATGCCGCCTGTAGGAACACATTTCTGTATTTTATTTCCTTGAATTATTCAATAATTTGCTTACTTCACCAGAACTGTTGATGAAATAGGTTTAAAACTCCAAAACTCTTCATAATACAATAACAAGATATATCAGAACTTATTTTCTCGAAAAGAAAACGGGACTGCGTGAAGTTGACGCACGAATTAATTTTTCTCGATTTTCATCTACGATTTGCTAGAACTATTGAAAATTTCAGTCAGGGACTCTGAACACATAGGTAGGTAGGTTCACCAACAGTGGTCAATAATAAAAAAAAACATTATTGCAACCAACATCAAGAAAATGATATTGATAAATAATCGATAATTTTAATGAAATATTCATCATTTTGAATGAAATTAAGATAATGTCCTCATTTATCTGAGAAATAGTTCCTATCTACTGCATATGATCTCAATTCAGATCTGTTTACTCATAATAATATGCAGAATGTTAATTATAGCATTCATGTAAGTATCTAGTTGTTATCTTTCAACTTATTGGAATGATATTACATTAAAGTAGTTGCTCCTACAAATGGATACCTAATACAGGGTGTGTCAGAGTTGTTTAGAAAATGCGTTGAAGTTCAAGATGCACATATTGGAAAACCATTTTTGACAATCTTTTTGTCTTTACTGATGACATTAAATAGGTAAATGGAGCTTTCATCACCTCTGAAACAGTTTGAATATATATGTTTTGAAATGTGATTTTCTCTATAGAACGGTACAAGGAAATTTGTCAGAAATGCCTTCATCAAACGGGAAAAATTCGTTCCATCCAGTATAAAACATATTCACTGAAAAGCCGTTTACGTAAGGAAAGAAGCATTAGTATTATTTCATTTACCTGCCCGAATATCATTGATACCATTGCAACCGTTTGAAAGTTATACATGAAATTCATTTTTTCATTATAACTTTCAAGGTCAATTTCTCCGTAACCAAGCGCGATAGACATTTTTTTTTATATGATGTACTAACATTATTTCCGGAGACCCTTCGTATATGGTGAAATCAATAACGGTATAGACGAGGTAAGGTACAATGAGCCAATAGACCTAAGTCACTTGTAAGAATCCTAAGTGTCATCGGAGTCTTCGGACAGACGAGCCTTCGAAAGAGAGTGGGTAAAGCCTAGGCATTCCCACACTATACCGTGAACGAAATTGGTCCTTCGTGATGACCATAAAGAATTTCAACAAACTCCGTATACAGAAAAAAAACACTGTGACGCCACTAGAAATATATTATTTTGAATCTAATCACACCAAAAGAAGCTGTAACTACTAACAAAACCAACAAGTTTAATTGAAATTGGTAAAATAAGGACATTTGAGTAATGATAAAATAGATTTTTCATGAAAATATTAACACATATTTATTCATTTCCTAAAATATCAAATGGAAATTGTAAAAATTGCAAAAATCGCTAAAATTCCTAATAATTGCAAATTCCTGAAAATTGCAAAAATTGCAAAAATTCCTGAAAATTGCAAAAATCGCAAAAATTGCAAAATTTTTAAGATTGCAAAAATTCCTGAAAATTGCAGAAATCGCAAAAATTCCTGAAAATTGTAAAAATTGCATAAATCGCTAAAATTCCTGGAAATTGCAAAAATTACTGAAAATTGCAAAAATTCCTGAAAATTGCAAAAATTGCAGAAATTGCAAAAACTGAAAATTGGAAAAATTCCTGAAAATTGCAAAAATTGCAAAAATCGCAGAAATTCCTGAAAATTGCAAAAATCGCAAAAATGCCTGAAAATTGCAAAATTCACAAAAATGCCTGAAAATTGAAAAAATTGCTAAAATCGCTGAAATTCCTGAAAATTGCAAAAATTCCTGAAAAATTGCAAAAATTGCAAAAATTCCTGAAATTTGCAAAAATTGCAGGAATTGCAAAAATTGCAAAAATTCCTTAATATTGCAACAATTCCTGAAAATTGTAAAAATTGCTAAAATTGCAAAAATTGCAAAAATTCCTGAAAATTGCAAAAACTACAAAAAATCTGCAAAAATTTCTGAAAATTGCAAAAATTCCAAAAATTCCTAACAATTGCAAAAATTACAGAAATTCCTGAAAATTGGAAAAATTCCTGAAAATTGCAAAAATTGCAAAATTTGCAAAAATTCCTGAAAATTGCAAAAATTGCAAAAATTGCAAAAATTGCAAAAATTGCAAAAATTGCAAAAATTGCAAAAATTGCAAAAATTGCAAAAATTGCAAAAATTCCTGAAAATTGGAAAAATTCCTGAAAATTGCAGAAATCGCAAAAATTCCTGAAAATTGTGAGAATTGCAAAAATCGCTTAAATTCCTAAAAATTGCAAATTCCTGAAAATTGCAAAAATTCCTGAAAATTAAAAAATCTGCAAAAATTTTTAAAATTGCAAAAATTGCAAAAATTGCAAAAATTGCAAAAATTGCAAAAATTGCAAAAATTGCAAAAATTGCAAAAATTGCAAAAATTGCAAAAATTGCAAAAATTCCTGAAAATTGGAAAAATTCCTGAAAATTGCAGAAATCGCAAAAATTCCTGAAAATTGTGAGAATTGCAAAAATCGCTTAAATTCCTAAAAATTGCAAATTCCTGAAAATTGCAAAAATTCCTGAAAATTAAAAAATCTGCAAAAATTTTTAAAATTGCAAAAATTGCAGAAATTGCAATAACTGAAAATTGGAAAAATTCCTGAAAATTGCAAAAATTGCAAAAATCGCAGAAATTCCTGAAAATTGCAAAAATCGCAAAAATGCTTGAGAATTGCAAAATTCACAAAAATGCCTGAAAATTGCAAAAATTGCAAGAATTCCTGAAAATTGCAAAAATCGCAAAAATGCCTGAAAATTGCAGAAATTCCTGAAAATTGCAAAAATTCCTGAAAATTAAAAAAATTTCTGAAAATTGCAAAAATTCCTAAAAATTGCAAAAATTGCAGAAATTGCAAATACTGAAAATTGCAAAAATCGCAGAAATTCCTGAAAATTGCAAAAATCGCAAAAATGCCTGAAAATTGCAATATTCACAAAAATGCCTGGAAATTGAAAAAATTGCTAAAATCGCTAAAATTCCTGAAAATTGCAAAAATTCCTGAAAAATTGCAAAAATTGCAAAAGTTCCTGAAAATTGCAAAAATTGCAGAAATTGCATGAATTGCAAAAATTCTTAAATATTGCAACAATTCCTGAAAATTGCAAAAATTGCAAAAATTGCAAAAATTCCTAAAAATTACAAAAATTCCTGAAAATTGGAAAAATTCCTGAAAATTGCAAGAATTGCAAAAATTCCTGGAAATTGTAAAAATTGCAAAAATTGCAAAAATTGCAAAAATTGCAAAAATTGCAAAAATTGCAAAAATTGCAGAAATTGCAAAAATTGCAAAAATTCCTGAAAATTGCAAAAATTGCAAAAATTCGTGTGGATTGCAGAAATTGCAGATATTGCAAAAATTGCAAAAATTACTAAAAATTGCAAAAATTCCTGAAAATTGCAAAAATTCCTGAAAATTGCAGAAATCGCAAAAATTCCTGAAAATTGTAAAAATTGCAAAAATCGCTAAAATTCCTAAAAATTGCAAATTCCTGAAAATTGCAAAAATTCCTGAAAATTAAAAAATCTGCAAAAATTTTTAAAATTGCAAAAATTGCAGAAATTGCAAAAGCAGAAAATTGGAAAAATTCCTGAAAATTGCAAAAATTGCAAAAATCGCAGAAATTCCTGAAAATTGCAAAAATCGCAAAAATGCCTGAAAATTGCAAAAATTCCTGAAAATTAAAAAAATTTCTGGAAATTGCAAAAATTCCTGAAAATTGCAAAATTCGCAAAAATGCTTGAAAATTTGCAAAAATAGCAAAAATCGCAGAAATGCCTGAAAATTGCGAAATAGCAAAAATTCCTGAAAATTGAAAAATTTACTGAAAATTCCTGAAAATTGCAAAATTCGCAAAAATGCTTGAAAATTTGCAAAAATAGCAAAAATCGCAGAAATGCCTGAAAATTGCGAAATAGCAAAAATTCCTGAAAATTGAAAAATTTACTGAAAATTCCTGAAAATTGCAAAAATCGCAAAAATGCCTGAAAATTGCAAAATTCACGAAAATGCGAAAATTGCAAAAATTGCAAAAATTCCTGAAAATTGCAAAAATCGCAAAAATTTCCGATTATTGTAAAGATTGGAAAAACCGCTAAAATTCCTGAAAATTGCAAAAATTGCAAAAGTTGCAAGAATTCCTGAAAATTGCAAGAATTGCAGAAATTGCAAAAATTGCAAAAACTCCTAAATATTGCAAAAATTCCTGAAAATTGGAAAAATTCCTGAAAATTGCAAGAATTGCGAAAATTCCTGAAAATCGTGAAAATTGCAAAAATCGCTAAAATTCCTGAAAATTGCAAAAATTGCAGAAGTTCCTGAAAATTGTAAAATTACCATACTCCTTGAAGTTTGTCGCGCATATTCACTAACATATTGTATAAGCCTCGGTATAAGCATTTGGAATTAACCATATCCAAAGGAAATGACGAACTAATAAAATACGTGTGAAAAATTAATGATTATGTGATCTGACGATTTTCATTTTTCGGTTATTGACATGGTCGTAACGATGGTGATTCATTGAAATGAAAAACATCTGAATTAATGGACAACAACATCGACAACAAAACGAATAGCGCCATGCGCTAAGCATTAAGTTACATCTATTTTATTATTCTAAAGTATCTGAAGAATACATAATAATTATAATTATGTATATACAATACGTCCATAAAGTGACGCTTACACGCGCTTATACATTCATTATTTTAGCTGAATAATTAATTCTATGCATTCAGAATTGCTGGAACTGGTCGAATATCGATTTGAATTTACTGTTTTTTTAAATAATAATGTAATATACCGGGTGTCAACCTCGGTGTCAATAAATCTATTCTCGTATCTTTTCTGAAAGAAGATATTGACGAGAATCAAAAACATCACACCTCAATCCAAAGCATTCACTCATTTTTGCCACAGGGCGTTAAGAATTCAAAACAGTAACTTTTGTTTTCCCTGTATAATGAATCTGAATTCAGGATCACATAAATCTACGAGTTGGTCGGATTTCACCAAAATCGTACAAGAAATAATAAAGTTACAGCGATCGATTAATTTCGCCATTTTTTTTGCTGGTCGGTTTTTCTGTCGGTGAGTGTATTTTTGTGTGTAAGTGACAAATATAACATTATGTACTTGAATATTCGATTCGATTGGCAAAGCAATTTTTTAACAAACATACATTTCCCACAAATCGCCCTTGAGACAACCATACCCGGTCTTCCCTACTGGGTGAACTATATCCGCATATGATGATGTCATCTGTAGTTTTTTAAATGGAACACTGAATTTTTTTCCGATTTCAGGATTTTCATTGCCGAACTAATTTCAAAAATGTATTATCCCCCTTGTCGATGAAGCCAAAACTAACCTCGTGATGATATTTTGCGACCTTGAGAAACCAAGTGACTAAAATTTCATCTATATCTGTATAATTACTGGACCAGATATTGAATTCTCTTATCCATTCTTCTTTCAGTTGGATTCTCCCATTTTTCAAAATTGGCTACCAGAAAGACTTAGATGTGCAAGACCTGTATAACGCCACAAAGGGTGATTTATCTGGAACTTTGGGAGATGAATTGGAAAAGTGAGTTGGGAAATATTTGACCAATTACGGATCCACGAATTCTTTAGACAAACCATGGTTTCCAGAGCTCGGAAGGTATGAGATACTTTGACAGGGGTGTGGATTTGAGAATTGAAAAATTTTGCAATATTCCATACACTCCCATCACTTCCGGTTTCACCGGTAACGGCCCCAACTTCTGATTTCCGAATGGGACACCCTGTAATTTATTCCATAATCGGTTATAGGGATTATCACAACGAATTCAACGATACTGGGTTTGATATGGTTTTTCCAGATGATTACGAAGGTATTTCCATATATGCTCAATGAGTGTGGTAAAGAAAGGAGTTTTGCTAATGAAAACTTGGAACACAAATATATTCCTAATCGTTTAAAAGAATCCTATCAAACCCAAATTCTTTATGATAATCCCTAACTGATTATGAAAATCATAAGTTGGGGTCGTTTTCGGTGAAACCAGCACTGATAAGAGAGTATGGAACATCGAAAAGTTTTACAATTCCTAAATCTAACACCACCCAGCTATATTTGATTATCATTTATAGTTTCAGAACTCTGGAAACTATGGCTTGTCTGATGAATACGTGTTGATATCCGCTATACGGAGAAAATAACTTTTTTCTACAGTGTGTCCCACTTACCATGCTCACCATGGGTATTTTTTTAACGGTGAGAGATACGAGGTCGGTTAAATGACATCAAATGTGGAGTTTGTCAAGGCCAACTATAATGTGAAAAAATATTTTCATAAAATCTATTCGTTTTTGTTTTATACGCAAAAACAGATTTTCATAATTTTCATGTCACATCCGTAACTTCTTTAATTATGAAAATATTCAAATAGAAATTTCACATTGTCTTGGCCGTTTTTCAAAGTGATTTCGGAAAAAATATGAAATTCATACCAACTCTTCTAGAATTTGAGATATCAGCACCAACTTCAGTTTTTCAAATGTAGGTCATAGCTCACTATGACTTAGTTAGAAATAACTTTTTTTTCTCTTACAGATGATATGTCGCAGTAATAGTTTTGTGTTAATAACAACGGAGTTATCGTCATTTATACAAAGACAAAAAATTATTTGGAAGCTACCATCTTGAATTTATAAATTTTAACAAAAAAATCATGATCTCCGACCTCAAAAACCCCCACTTACCAATTTTGAATGGAATCGGACCAAATCTTGTCCGCCATCTTGGAGCAGCCATTTTTTTTTAATATCAACAAAAATTCCATAATGTATTGTCACCGAAATTATGAACACCTGCCAAATTTCAATTTAATCGGTGTCATGGAATTTTTGTTGACATTAAAAAAAATGGCTGCTCCAAGATGGCGGACAAGATTTGGTGCGATCCCATTCAAAATTGGTAAGTGGAGGTTTTTGAGGTCGGAGATCATGATTTTTTGTTAAAATTTATAAATTCAAGATGGCGGCTTCCAAATAATTTTTTGTTTTTGTATAAACGACGATAACTCCGTTGGTTTCAACACAAAACTATCACTGCGACACATCATCTGTAAGAGAAAAAAAAGCTATTTGTAACTGAGTCATAGTGAGCTATGACCTACATTTGAAAAACTAAAGTTGGTGCTGATATCTCAAATTCTAGAAGAGTTGGTATAAATTTCATGTTTTTGTCGAAATCACTTTGAAAAACTGCCATGAGAATGTGAAATTCCTATTTGAATATTTTCATAAATAAAGAAGTTACGGAGGGGACATGGAAATGATCAAAATCTGTTTTTTTGCGTATAAAACAAAAACGAATAGATTTTATCGAAATATTTTTTCACATTATAGTTGGTCTTGACAAACTCCACATTTGGTGTCATTTAACCGACCTCGTATCTCTCACCGTTAAAAAGATACCCATGGTGAGCATGGTAAGTGGGACACACACTGTATATCTGCAGATATTGGAAGGAAGAATTACAAAAATGTAAAGGAAAACAAAACAAAGCCAGTCTGAAATCAGCGATTTGGAAGGCATTCTGGAAATCCTATGCGATATATGGGGTGTATTTTTTTATACAAGTTATTTTCTTGAGGTGAGTGAAAGTGAGAATATGATGAAAAAAAGTCGGTTTATCGCATCAATTGTTGAATTTTTTTCCAGATCTCTTCAACCTATTTTATTAGCAGTGTATATAGACTATTTCGGACATACTAAAGAGTCCTACCAAGTAGGATCATGGATTATCAACAAAAAAGAGTATGGATGGATATTAGCAGTGGGGGTGATATTGTTAGCTTTCGTAAATATGGTTATATTCCACTATTGTTCCCTGGGATGTCAAAGGGTGGGGATGAGGGTCAGGATAGCCTGTTGCTCACTAGTTTACAGAAAAGTAAGTAGTGATCCTTTCAACAGCCATTCAAAATAAAGGTTTCATTGTCCGTGATCGCGCGTACTATACAGGGTGTTATTTAAGTACGTGGCCAAACTTGAAGGGGTGATTCTTTGAGTGATTCTAAGACGAAAAGTTCATATAAACATAGGTCTGGTAATGCTTCGTTTTCAAGATACAGGGTGTCAAAATTTTTAAAAGAAATCGTTTTTTTCGTAAATATCTTAATAACCCTTCAACTGATTTCATTGAAATTTGGTAGGTTTATTCAAGGTCGTAAAGGGCTAATTTAACCCTAACTATATCAAAATTATCATGTCCAGTGGCGTCCCGGAAGGCACTGTAACTAATATTTTTGACAGAAAAAATGTGCGCCACTGATTTTTTTGCAATTTTCGTATTTGTTTCACATTGAGCAACTAAAATTACAACTTTTTCATATCTAGAATTTTTTTCGTATCTTGCTTTGTTTTTGAGAAAAAACATAAAAATCACTTCATTGCACATCCCTGTGACAACACAATAAAACATTTCAACTACCAAACCATCAAAAACTAGGGTCTTACTAATATTTTTGATATAGTTAATGTTAAATTAGCCCTTTACGACCATGAATAACACTGCCAAATTTCAATAAAATCGGTTGAAGGGTTATTAAGATATTTACGAAAAAAACGATTTCTTTTAAAAATTTTGACACCCTGTATCTTGAAAACGAAGCATTACCGGACCTATGTTTATATGAACTTTTCGTCTTAGAATCACCCAAAGAATCACCCCTTCAAGTTTGGCCACGTACTTGAATAACACCCTGTATTTACCGTTAGTGATTTTTATCTTTTTTATCTCCATATATTATACCGTTTTGAAAAGAATTTGGACGTATGCGTTCTTTAAACCATAATTTGAATTCATGAATATTATTGTTTCATGGATAACGATATCAAACCACACTGTTACCACTAACCAAATTTTCACACTTCAACAGTCAACACATGTTTTGTTAACTATATTTTGACAATATGTTGCCTATACAGAGTGGGCCTTTGAAAACGAAAGAGAGGCTCTGTAAGTCGCCAAAACCGGATTATCAAAAAAAACTGAAACAGGTCAACTACATTTTCGAGGGGGACATCTTTCTAAAATATTTTCAGCCCTGCGGCGTTGCCGCTTCTAAAGAAAAGAAGCAACAACTTTGTTATTTCAAATGGAACACCTTGTATTTTATTGCATTTTTAGATTCTCCCCGAAGAGCTGATTTCATCAATGCATCACACTTAGGGTCTAGCTGTAATGGTTTCAGGGATATAAAGTGTTCAAAATCGAGATTTTTCAACTTTAACATTTTTTTGTGTCGAAACTATTCATTATTGGTCAAAACGGCTTTCATGTCCCGATCTCAACTTGTGATTTACTATCTACTGACATTTATTCGAAACAAATACAGGGTGGTTCAAGATTCAGAATTCTGATCACCCTGTATCTGTTCCAATTAAATGTTAGTAGATAGTAAATCACGAGTTGAGATAGGGACATGAGAGCCGTTTCGACCAATAATGAATATTTAATGTATATGACAAACAAGCCAGCGGCTATAGTACATAGACTAAAATCATTAAAATCAAATCTCGAACGTTTTCGGCAACATTGCCATCATCAGGAGATTTTTGTCAGAAATCTGTACAAAAGATTACATAAGAGGTGATCATTTCGTCAATATTTGTTGTTATCCAGTTTAATATACTATAAATTACCGTGTAATTATAAAACCAAATGGCAGCCAAGCTGCCTCCACTGTAAAACCAGTGTTTACAGTGGAGGCAGCTTGGCTGCCATTTGGTTTTATAATTACACGGTAATTTATAGTATATTAAACTGGATAACAACAAATATTGACGAAATGATCACCTCTTATGTAATCTTTTGTACAGATTTCTGACAAAAATCTCCTGATGATGGCAATGTTGCCGAAAACGTTCGAGATTTGATTTTAATGATTTTAGTCTATGTACTATAGCCGCTGGCTTGTTTGTCATATACATTAAATATTACAAGTACATACAACCTTTCTTTGAATAATGAATAGTTTCGACACAAAAAAATGTTAAAGTTGAAAAATCTCGATTTTGAACACTTAATATCCCTGAAACCATTACAGCTAGACCCCAAGTGTGATGCATTGATGAAATCAGCTCTTCTGGGAAAATCTAAAAATGCAATAAAATACAGGGTGTTCCATTTGAAATAACAAAGTTGTTGCTTCTTTTCTTTAGAAGCGGCAACGCCGCAGGGCTGAAAATATTTTAGAAAGATGTCCCCCTCGAAAATGTAGTTGACCGGTTTCAGTTTTTCTTTATAATCCGGTTTTGGCGACCTACAGAGCCTCTGTTTCGTTTTCAAAGGCCCACTCTGTATGTCAGCTATACACCGGGTGACACTGACTCTCACATTTCAGTAAATGTTTTTCATCTTCTGGTTTTCCTGGAAATTACATCAACTTTCGTTTTTCGAATTTCGAATGTATTTATTCCTTAATATAATGAATTCAACAATAATGGGTTTGATTGGGTTATTTCAAACGATTGCGAAGATATTCGCGTTCGAAGTTTCAATAAGCTCAAAGAGTGTGACAGAGAAAAATGTTTATATATTGCGCCGTCACACCCATTGAGCTTATGAAAAGGACCCCGCACGAAAACACGGTAAATTGGCTCTCGGTCGAATTGGCTGAAATTTAACTATGTTATTGTTTGATGGAAAAATTTTGTATGTTTAGTTTCTGAGATATAAGCCTACAAAGTTCGTAAAAACGTCGTATCGGGGTAGGATTGACGAAGAAAAAAACTGTTTTTTTTAGTATAAATAAGACAAAATAAGCTAGAAAATGTATTGATCGGAACTTAAATACATGTCTAGTTATGATCACATGAATTATAGTAAATCAGGGTGTATACGAGGCACGGTCAAAAAATTCATTTTTCGGAAACAAAATTCGAGTACTATTCCAAAACCAACAAGTTATATTCTGGTGAGACATTATAGTTTCAGTCTATTGTAGGCTTCGGAAACGTATTTTGATTCTTAATAACTATCTCTGTTCGAAATATGAATTCTTTGAATTTTGTGTTATACCCCATTTTGAAAACAATTGAAAGCTTGTTTTCGATCACGAAGAAAGAGATTGATTGATACTGTTGATTTAATGAAAGCTGAGGAAACTCACTAGCGAATTCAGTTGTTCAATATTTAGATACAGGGTGTGCTAGATTTTGTTGAAGATTACTTAACATGTTTCAATTGTATATCTCGAAAACAGTTCCGTTAATTTGGATCTCATTTTACACACACTATTTTGAATATGTTTTGATTATCATATGCGAAACGTTTTTTAATTTTTTATGTTTCGTTTCTGAAATATATAAATAACAATCACCTGTTTTGGTTCACCCTGTTAGGAACCCGTTCCTAGTTCATTGACATGATGGTACTCGAAATACTCCTGAGTAATTTCATAATTCAGAACCCAAATATTGAAAATAAATAATGGAAACATGTGTAATAGACGATATTTGACTTCTGTCAATAATACCTATCTTACGAAACCCCATTGAAATATCATTATCAGATCCAGATATTAGCTAATGTTTTATTTATTCGAGTATTATCAATATCAAGAGACAGCCTTGTAGGATTGTTGATATTAATAGGATGAAAACTCTAAGGTACAGTTAGCGTATTTTCCGAATTAATTTCAAATTCATGCCATCAAATTTTCTTGAATGCGAATGCATTCATTATAGTATTTTATGCATGATCGGGCGTAAAGTACTTTATTTTATCAATGATATTCCTCATTGCAGCCATGATGTATTTTTATCGTTCTTGCATAAAATGTTGTATATGTATTTCGGGCCTAACTTGCTCTTATATGAAAGCCTACTTAACGCCCTTGTGATTGGCACGCAGGACATTAGACTTTACTTGTTCTGTTTTTTTAGTAAACAGGTATTTACTTATTACTATGTTCCATCGTATTTTTTTCGATAACTGTTCAGTGTACCAGTGCAGAAAGTTGAAAAATATAATACAGAACAGGTGTTTTCATTTTGAAAAATGAAGTTGGAGGTTGTAATTTCTCTTTGGGCTACCCTGTTTGCAGGAATTTTGCATCAAAATAAAAACACATCAAGAAATAAAATAACTCATGATAGATGATTTTTATCTCTTCCAATTTATCGATTTTTGATTATTCCAATCATGTACGTGTTGCTTGAGAATTAAAATGAAAAAAATTACATTATTTTGAAATTGTGCAATGCAAAGCTCAACTTCAGGTACCTGTAAACGTAGCTTTTGTCCAACATAAACATTGATACTTAATTTCTCTCAGATGCTCAGACTGAGTCAAGCTTCGCTAGGCGAGACAGCGGCTGGTCAGTTGGTCAATTTGATGTCAAATGATGTCCAGAGGTTTGACTTGGCATCTAGCCAGCTACATTATATCTGGATCATGCCATTTTTGTTCGTCACTGCTTTCTACATCATCTATGACAGTGTGGGATGGGCAGCTTTGGCTGCAATGCTCGCCATGACAGTTCAGTCCGTACCACTACAAGGTAAAAAACAATTTTGTACAGGGTGACAGGTTATGAAGTACCACCCACTATGAAACTCTTTTATTTTTGTTATTTATGTTATACCACAAGTGATATTATTCTGGCGGAAATATTCTTCGATTGTTACGATAGCTGTTGCTTTAATCAAAACTGTATCGAACCGTAGGCGAGTCGTTTCGGAACAATGCCATGAGCGAAATTCCAGCAGCAAGTTGGAGGAATATTTTTAGGCAAAATAGTAGCTATCACGAGTTGTATTCGTGACTATGACTATTTCATGATTGAATCAGACAATAAATGATTCTACTGAAAATCCGTGACGTCCAAATTTTATACTAATTATAATTGACGTTTATAAATGTGAAGAATGTTATCGCTGAAAAACGTGATGGTTTGTCGTCGTAGATGTCGATACTTTTCAGTAAACAAAAAATATTGCAATACAGAAAATAGTTTGAATATGGTGGATTCTGATTGGTTCTCGAAAACAAGAGTAATAGTCAGAGGATGTAGAAAAAAAAACAACCTCGCAGGGGATTTTTTTCGCTTCTTGAATCAACAGATACATTTTCACTATCTATAAAGATATTCAGGGAGCCGCAAAAAGAAAGTTTATGAATTGTAAATTGAATGGGTACCCTATATACATATTTTCTCACCTGAAATAAGACCTTTTCATTATCTTTCCAAAAATTCCCCACTCAATATACAGGATGAGTCATAACTATTGGGACATAGGATAAAATATGGCGATATAGGACCGAATATGTCTTGATGAAATATTGCTGTGGAAAAAGATATTGTTTTTCTCGTTTTTTGTTGTTATCATTTACTCTCAAGCTAGGCACAGATGTATAATTTTATACAGGGAATATTATTGTATGTAATATTCTACAGTTTGTTACAGGGAGCCACTGAATAATTCCGGATGATGAAATCGACTGATAACTTTTTTGAATTGTTTAGTGATTTTGATTAGAAAATATGACATAAACATCATTCCTACGTAATATTGGTACTCCTGTTTGAAAACGATATTCTCATCCGTTTTCGAGAAAAACGCAATAGAACAGTTCTCGGAAGGGGATTTCAAATATTATTTCATTTATGAAGAGTGTGCTTTGGACCATCAGATAATTTATTGTTGCTGGTGAATTACATTTTTTGTCAGTGAACGAATTTTGGTGCAAATTTATAGCCAATAATTTTTCGATCTTCGATCTTCTGTATTTCTCAAAATATTATTGAAACTTTTACCGAGTTTGATCGATTTCGAATGATTTTTGAGAGCAGGCCATGACATATAGATTACAATATTGATTTTTAGTGATCACTGCAATCGAAAATTGAATGTCATGGGTAGCGATAAAGCTAATATATCTGACCTAGATTTGCAATCAATATTATCTCGACAATCGTTCAAAAATCGATTAAACTGTTAGTTTTGGATGCCCATACATTGAGAAGGAAGATGATTGTGGGGTAGTTTTGGAAAGCTCATCGTAATATCTTTTCAATGATGAGGAAATATATAGGAGGTTCTATTAAAACTCGTACACTTTTTTCTGGTCTGTGTATACAGGGTGTTTCAAAAAACCCTAAACCCCTTTCTAGGGTAGGTAGAACATTGCAAAATAAAATGGGTTTGCTCAGTAAAAAAATGTCGTAACGCCATCCGTTTTCAGATAAACCGGAAATGTATGGTATTATATTTGATGTTATTGAGGGTTACTTTGGTTGTGTTGTGGTATATTTTGTTTGTTTTCAATTCAATCGACTGTTCTATCAATACAGTTTTCGAATAAGAGTCGAAAGTTGAAGAACTTTTTTGATGTGGAAGATTTTGTTATTGACATATTGTTGATCAGATTTGGCTCTATCTACCACTTTTCTCAAGTCTTGATATTTTATTGAAAGTTGAGAATCTGTTTGAGTATTTTCACGACATATACTGGTTACGAAACCAGCCAAGGTAATGAATCTTCTTTTCTGCCATGTGAAACATATAATTTTTTCTCCAAATTATAAATCCAATTTTGTTTTATTTTTTTATTGATGAAAATTGTGTTGTTGTGTTCACCCAATGTCATTGTCAATTTTTTCCTTAAAGTTATGTGGCCAAATTATAAAAATATCATTTGTTGAAATTCGTCTAGGATATCTATCCAAGGTCCAAGGAGTTCTACGCTATAAAATAGCTCAGAGGACTGATTTCAGAGTGAAATTGATGAGCGAAATAGTGTCAGGAATCCAAGTCATCAAAATGTACGCATGGGAGAAACCTTTCGAGAAAATGGTGGAAAACTCACGAAAGTAAGTTCACAATTCAGTATAAGAACAAATAGGCGTTTTCATTTAGATGATGTTTCAATGCCAATGTGCTATAGCTATATGTAGATCTCGTTATTAGTACTGGTACAATAAATATACAGGGTTTATCATTTGCATGTGAGATAAAAATAGCACGATTCTGAAAATTTGTAGGAAACATACGGAATCCAACTAAAAGATGTTTGCTATTTTGAAGCTTTCGGTTCCGGTGACGTCATTTTCGTTATTTCCAATAGGACACCCTATATTTTATAACATCTTAGAATTTTTTTAATGATTCTGGTTTATATTAATGCTTTACACTTCAAACAAAATGAACCAATTTCGAGTTATTCGAGTTTTTCTAGAAAAGTAACAACATATTTTATGCCATTTTTCACGTAATTTAAAATTTTTAGTGATATGCAGTGATTGGATCATGAATATTATTGAAGTTTGAACGGATCACTCACCATAGTCACAACCACTGAATAATTTACAGGGTATGTAAAATATTGAACATCCCTTTTTTTTTCAAATGGGAAACCAATTTTTTCTCCTGGATAGACATTTTGCACAGTCTACTAGAAGAATCCAAAATTTAAGGCAAAAGGCAGAATAGTAGATATATATTATTCATAGTATATCTCCAAGAGTTATGGGTTTTAGGTATAGATAGGGAAGTTGATTCAAAATATGGTGCATTTTTATAATAGAATACGATCACTTTCTGGACCCGCTTCTGACACCCTGTAATTTATCAAGTGGTTGTTATAATAGTGAGTGATTCAGTCAATCTTCAATATTCATAATTTGTAATTGTACTTCACATAAAAAGGGCGTATGACTGATGGGCTGCATTTTTCTGGAAATAGTCGATTAACTCGAAAATAGTATGTAGGTATAGGGTATGCTACATGAATTTAAACCATAATCGTGAGAGGGATTCAAAAGATGTTGTGAAATTCAGGGTACCCTATTGAAGATGACAAAGATGACGTCATTTCCGGAGAAACAGGTAATTTCACGATTTCGAAAATATATTAATACTAGCTGACCCGGCAAACGTCGTTTTGTCATAAACATTATTTCTAGAAGAAGTCAATTTCATATAGAATCTGATCATAATTGAAAACTCGTCCGCCATATTGGATCCGCCACTTTGAATTCCCCCATTTTGACAAATGATTCCTATCTACGACCTCTAAAACCTCCAGATACCAATTTTGTATAGAATCTGACCATAATTGCAAAATTTGTCCGCAATATTGGATCCGTCATTTTGAATTTCCAAATTATGACGAACGAACCATAATCTCCGATCCCATAATCTTCGACCTCGAAAACCCCCAGATACCAATTTTGAATGGAATCTGACCATAATTACAAAACTCGTTTGCCATATTGGATTCGCCATCTTGAATTTCCAAAATTATTACGCATTAATACGCAAAATCTCCGACCCCGACAACCCCCAAATACCAATGTTGAATGAAATACTCGTCCGCCACATTGGATCCGCCATCTTGAATTTTCGAATAAAAAAATAGATTACGACCGATTCTCATACCTACCGAATACGCACAAAAAATTTCATACGAATCGGTCGAGCCGTTTTGGAGGAGTTCGACCACTAACACCGTGACCGGGACAGGAGAATTTTAAATATTAGATATAGATTGCGTTAACCCATGAATGTATACCCTGTATAAGTAATTTTTTAATTTTTTTCCAGTGACGAAATCAAATTTATAACAAAAACCTCATACATAAAGGGATTCTCACTAGCTCTGATGGTAGTGACAGAACGATTCGCACTATACGTCACCCTCATAGCGTACGTTCTGATAGGCCATCGACTCACCAGTGACACTGTCTTCTCGATGTCCCTGTACATCAACATCGTTCAAATGTACATGTGTATTTTCTTCCCTATGGCTCTTGGGTTTTACGCTGAAGCCAAAGTCACCATCAGAAGGTTAGAAGACTTCTTGGTGCTGGAAGAAAACGTTATAGTTCAGAACAGGGAGGCTACGATTATGGATGAGGAAAAAAGAGGACTTGTGCAGCTGGATGGGGCTACAGCAAGCTGGTTGCCCAATCCAGTGGTCAATACCCTTATAGATGTTACCTTGAAGATATCTCCAGGTAGATACTTTATGAGTAATTTTTTCTTTTTCCACTTTGTATATGACTAGCTATATCTGATGTTTGCTCTGATTTGGGTTTCAATTCTTCCAATATCAATAGAAGTAACTAATAATTTCGAAGTAAACAATGCTCTCGAAGAACTTTTTGTAAGTCATTTGAAATTTTTGGGAGCACGGAAGTTTTTGGATATCAAAGAAAACAATACTCTATGGAAGTCACTCAGAGATTTTAAAGCCACTTGAACTCTGGAGAGCTTACTTGTTTTTTGTGAAAATATATACAGGGTGTTTCCGATTCAAATGTATGTACATACGGTATCTGTAGATAGAGGACACTTTGATGGTTCCAAATCACCCCCCATTGATGTATCAACCGTCTTTAATAACTGAGATACAGGACGTTATCTTGATTTTGGCAGAATCTTCAACTTTTGAACCACTTTGTATATTCTATCCATACTGGGTAGAAATATTTCACTTATATTACCCATCAAAACTAAATGAAAATCGAAATTAGAATCCAGGTCCGTCTCGGGGAAATACAGAAAACTTCTTTTATTTCGATATTTGAAAAGAGCAGGGGTAATTCAAAATCCGATTATTTTATAAAAAATAACTGTCAATAACTCTGATGATGTTAAACTTTGAAGACTGTCATATTTTTGTATTAAAATTGAATTTTGTATTACGAGTTCAATAAAAATGCCTCGAAATGGAGGTGAAAACAAGTTTACTAAATTATTAATTGCACTTTTGATGTTTTAATAACAACTGATGAGAATGTGTATCGATGAAAATGGCCAACATATAATTTTCGAAGTGCAATAATTCAAAAATGATGGTTACGAATATCAATATGGATGTTGGGATGAGAGATGTTCGTGTTGCGATTTCACACCAAATGACCTAAAAATATATTGGGTGTTCCATTTGAAAAACTCGAGACAAATCACTTCCAAAAGTTTCGAATTGTAAAATCATTTTTAGCCACCCTGTATAATTTGAGAGCATGAAAATCTACAAATATATCACACATGTTTCCATAAAAAAATGTAATGATTATTCTCTCTCAAATTTCATAATTGTGACTACGGCAATTTTTTCGGTATGCATCTGCAGATAACATTATTTCGACAAAAAATTTATAACTTTGAAATTATCGAGATATATCCAACAATATTATAGGAGTGGATGGAGGTCACAAGGATGCTTGAAAAAATGTGCTAATATTTAGGGCATTCTATTTAAAAAAAAATGATCCTGATCCTCCAGATATTTTCCGGTGCCCCCTGTATATGTTATTGTCTCATTCACATTCGTTTCAGAATCAAGTTTCTAGCTATCATAGATCTCGAGCAATCGAGCTCCGACGCACTAATGTTCCATCCTGTATATTGCAGTCACGGAATATAACGGTTGTGTTTCACTTTAGTGGCCAGAATTGTTTGATAGTCGAATCGGTCTCTCTTGCTATGTTGTCATTGACATGCCCTATGTGTAAAGATTGGGCAATAATATACCTTTTGCGGGTGTAAAGTAGTACTTTACCGCCCGCGGGTCCATTATCACCCACGGGCCATAAAGTGCACTTTACCGCCCGCTGTTCTCAAATCCATTATATCCACACATCCATTTGTGAAATACCTATATTTGAACTCTCAGCTGATTCTATCGTTATGATTATGATACATGTTATATTGTTCATCCGATTCCAGCTTCGCTATAACTTCCTTCTTTGAATAGTTGCTTTCTGCCTGTCTCAAGTTTTTAGCGAAAAGATGACAATCTAAGCTTCTTTTTTGGATGTGATGTATTGCTAGACAGCAACCATCAGATCGATTGACAACGGCAAATTCAGGTAGCTATATACTGGGTATACATGTTACATCTCAAGGAATGAATCTCTGTTAGTGAACGAAGAGTTTTACTCTTACGATAATTGCGATATTCGTACGGTAATTTTAATATGTAGATTATACACATAAACATTGCGCTTCTCTTGAAAACTGAATTTATGAGTGACATATGAATTGTAGTTTGTTGAAATCTAGTCATTTCTTGGGAAATAAACCACAAGTGCATAAAATTTTGTATGCATCACGTGCGTAAAATGCGTTTATGGCCTTCAGCGGTAATGGCCCTCGGCTAGCGTCATCGGGCCATTATTCACGCCACAGGCCATAAAAGCCTACTTTACGCCCTTGATACATAAATAATTATGTGACAGAAAATTCACCTTCAGCAAAATCGTTATCGTTATTGAATTTTGGCTTTCTCATAATGGTAGCAAGAAATGTCTCAGCAAGAATTTCAAAATCATAATTTTCCTCAGTGCACCTGAAAAACGAGTTTTCCTTATTCACAGGGACTCTCTGTTGTGTGGTGGGGAATGTGGGATCAGGGAAGAGTTCCCTACTGCAAATGCTGCTCAAGGAGTTGCCAGTGAAGAAAGGGAGCATGGAATTGAATGGTCAGGTGTCTTATGCCTCTCAAGAACCATGGTTGTTCGTGTCCAGTGTGAGAAATAACATACTATTCGGACAACCGTATTTGAAAAACAGGTGCGTCTCGAACACAGAAAACTTTCAAAGATATGTACTTGAAGAGCGAAATAATTCAGTTCAATTTTATTCATGAACTTGATATAAGTAACGAAGAATTGATAACTTCAATGCGGAATGAAATAAATAATAATAACAAAAAATGAGAATATAAGACACGACGCGGTTATTGAAACTTTTTAAGCACTTCCAAGTGATACTGATCTAGAAGTTATGACTCGAAAACTGACTGTTAGACAATTTATTCTATATAATAAACGATGATCCTGAATATCTCACAATCCGAAATGGTCTTTAAAATCTACCATTTAATCATGGAATCTGATGGCATGATCCTTATCTCGTTATCAAATGGCGAAATTAAGTTCAAATCACCGCACAGGAAAGTGCTAGTTTTCAATGATTTTGCTCAGGCTAGTGATTTGCACAGGTGTTTTTCGATAAATATACACTCACCGGCAAAATAAACCGGCCACCAAAAAATCTTCCCAAATTGTACAGCCTGTAACTATTTTAATCCTTGTCCGATTTTTGTGATCAAATCGTAGATTCGTGTTCCGGAATGTTAGCCTGAATATTATTAGCTTTCCTGGAGAGCTGATGACTTGATCATTATACAGGGAAAAACCAAAGTTACTCTTTCACCTTATAATTCTCAGCCACCTGTGACGAAATTGCGTGATTGAACATGGCTTCATCATGCTTCGGATTGAAGTGTAATCCCTTCTTGACACAAAAGTTTTTGAATCACGTCAATATCTTATTTTTAAGAGAAGATAGGAGTGTTTTAAGGAAGTATAGTTTTTTCCACCTTTTTTGCCAATAATCAGGACTTACATGAACTTATTGATTAACAACTTCAAGGATTATTATCACATATTTCTACCTTACTTTCTTAGCACTTACTCAAGTAGCCTTGGTTAATTGACTAAAATTCTCCTTGAAGGGCGAATCGTAGCTCTTGAAGAGTCTCTGACAAGGCTGGGCGAAGGCGAATGAGCCTCTAGAGGATTCCAGGACATTCTGGTATCCCGGGGAACGAGGAGGCAGACAGACTAGCCAAGATCGGTTCAGGAACGACACCCATTGGACCAGAACCGATATTGGGAATACCTAATAGTACGGCTATGTCCTTCATGAAGGAAATGCTACAGAGGCATTTCCTTGAAACATGGCGGGACACACCAGGAATGAGACAATCAAAGCTCCATATAAAGGTACCTTCAAAAAGGCTCACGAGAGAGATCCTGTCACTTGATAGAAGGGATCTCAAGATGGTAGTTGGGCCCTTAACTGGGCACAACCACCTCGACAGGCACCTAGAACTCATAGGGATCAAAGATGATCCCATCTGCAGATGGTGCTAGGAGGATGATGAAACATCATCACACATACTCACTGAATGCCCCGCGCTGGTGCATCAGAGGAAAGCTGCCTTTGGGAGCATTGTACTGCACCCAAAGGATGTGAAAGTGACTCAGCTGAGGAAGCTGCTGAATTTCGTCGAAGAAATCGGCATGCCCAGCTGATTCACAGGACAAGTGGGCGCACAATGGGCCCGACTGAAGAGGCCTGAGTGCAGGGGTCTACGCACCCGCCCACCTGTGCAGAGAAGAAGAAGAAGAAGAAGCCTCTAGAGGTCACTCCTAAGATAGTAGGTTCTGAATTATTGTTATTGAGAATTAAAAAAAATCTATACTTTCTTGAAACTTGTGTGAAGAAGGAACAAAAGAGGATCACACTTCAATTTAAAACATGATGAAGCATTGAAACAGAAGGTTGGAGAATGGTTCTGAATTATTGTAAATAAAAATTTTAAACATCCATACTCTCTTGAAACACTTGTATCTTCCTTCAAAAAGTGGTTATCGACGTGAATAAAAAACCATCATGTAGAGAAGAGATCACTCTTCAATCTAAAACATAATGAAGCTAACTTAAACCACTCACCTTTCCCACAGGGCGTTAAGAAGTTGAGGGTGAAAAAGTAACATTCGTTTTTCCCTGTATAATGATCGAGTCATCAGATTTTCTCAGGAACTAATATTCAAGCTAACATTTGGAAACATGAATCTACGATTTGGTCGGAATTTCACCAAAATCGGACCAGAATTGAAAAAGTTACAGAGCAAACAATTTGGCTAAATTATTTGGTGGCCGGTTTTTTGCCGGTGAGTGTATAATTTCGTTATCAGATGATGGTCAAAATTTGCAGCTGGCTCTTGAACTATCAGTATTTATAAATAATAAATACGACGACAATCATACAAAGTTATTTTTTCTGCAACCGACACAAAAGTCGTCCATTTTGATACCAAAATTAGCTCTTGAATTGACGTTTCTATTACTGACACAAAAATAGGTATGTTGCTAGGCAACATATTTAGTTCCTAGGAGCTAAAGTTGAATTTTAGTTCCTAGGAGCTAAAGTTGAACTTTAGCTCCTAGGAACTAGAAAGGATTTACTGGACGTCATCAAGAATAAACAACATTGTGACGGTTGGTTATTTGGGTTGAGCCGCATACCCGATTTGTTTCCGATTTCAGCAGATTTGGCATTTCATACCCATGCTGGAGATATAAATACACCTCATTATAGTTTAGTATTGGAATTATAAACATCTCAGCTAAGTATTTCTGTTTGATCAGGGAAGCCTTCAAGATTCGAATACTTGCTTGATCTTTATTTCATTCGTTATTCTCGGGATGGAGAACTTGTTTTTGAATAATCACGGCAAGCAATAGTTTTTTGTCTCAAACAACGATATTGTTCAAGCTTCATTTGATCATCAAGGCAAATACAGTGTAGTATGGAGAGGAATACATAAACAATATTATTATTGTTGATATGCTCACTACCCTAACATTTTCCACGTCTTGTTCCTATAGCTGGCACTGGCGCGGTATTTGCCATTAGAGCACCTGGTCCATACACAAATATGTCACTCTGTGGTTGTATTTATATCATTGAAACAATATTGAAACTACAATTCGAACATCCTTGAAAACCTAACCTGCTGTTAATGCAGATAAAATATTCTTACCACATGGATTATTTGTCAATATTTGTTGCATTGCATACATATGGCACGGCATTGGTGGTTACTTCACATGTTTATTTGTGTTAATTGTTTCGGTTGCAGAAAAAATAGCATGTTTCATTCGGATCAAAAGTGACTTTGTTCGACTCGCAAATTTTGCTTTCGCTCGGCTTCGCTAAACGCTCCGCCTCGCAAATGCAAAATTCGCTTGTCAAACAAAGTGTCACTTTTGATCCTAATAAAACAATCTACTATTAGAGGACCTTCTTCATGGCTGAACTATTTTTCAGATATAGCGATATCGTCAAGTATTGTGCCTTGGAAAGAGACTTCAAACAGTTCCTACACGGTGATAAGACCCTGGTAGGGGAAAGAGGAGTATCTCTCAGTGGTGGACAGAGGGCGAGAATAAATTTGGCGAGGGCAGTGTATGTTGATGCGGACATTTATCTATTTGACGACCCACTTTCTGCTGTCGACACTCATGTTGGCAAACATCTTTTCGAGCAGTGTATAAAAGGGTATTTGAAAGGGAAAACCAGAATATTGGCCACTCATCAGCTGCAGTTTTTGAAACAAGCCGATATGATTATAGTACTGAATAATGTGAGTAACCACTTATTTTGATGATCAACACAAAATTAATATATTTTATGCACGACTGGGCGTAAAGTAGCACTTTACCGCCAGGTTTTGCAGACGTAAAGTGGCACTTTACCGCTTGCGGACTACTTTACCGCCCGGCGTTCCTTATTATGTAATATTACAGGTCTTTTGATATTTCTGAGATGCAAATATGATCGAACCTCGGATCGAACCCAAAATAAATTATCTGTGATGACATTAATTGACAGCGAATATAATAATCTACTCCTATTTCAGAAAATTGACTGAGTTACCATGGTAACGTCGATTCCATCAATGATATTTCTCACTGCAGCAAGATGTATTCACAATGAAAAATCAAATATACCGGTCGTGCATAAAATGTATGTATATCGCGCGTAACTTACTTTTATGGACTTAGACACGCTGCGGTACATAAGAGCCTATACTTTACGCCCTCGATACATAAAGAACTGTTTTGGGTTATTTCATTGACTTCAACAACTTCAATTCACTTACTCTACAAATACACTCAGTTTCATAAAAAGTGACGCACTTGATATTTGACCTATCTTCTTGAAAAAAAAAAATAGAGGTGAACATTTTTTTCAAAGCCTCCTTGATGGTGGTGGAATAACTCGGACCATGATTTATTCATAATTTTTGACTCACCCTGTGTGATAATTGAGTAATGGCATAGAAAGTGCTTACACCCTATACGAAATAGACTTCTTTTGCGAGCATTTTGTTTTTTTATCCATTGATTTATCTCCGAAACTTTCCGAATTACAGCGTTTTTTGCTGAATACTTGCAGATTACCAACTTTCTGAATTTATCGAGAAACAATTTTCTAATGAAATAAACTGATACCAATAATTTTAAAAAACATTTTCATTAAATGCAAAACCTTAACTCATCCGTAAACAAGACATTCGACCATTCAGGAATATTCCACTGTCCATAATTTTCAACAAAATTTCTTCTAGCAGCACGATGTTCGGGCAATAATTTGGGACCTTTTGCAGGTTTCCTAGCTTTCAAATTAACTTCTTTTAGACGTCTACATACATACATAGAAGCGATCATCTCTTGGAGAAGTTTTTCGGGGGCGACCAGAACCGACCCTCCGAGCGGTGCTTCCTGTTTGTTCGGACTTGCGGATTGCTCTACGAGCAGTTGCTTCATGAACTCCTACTGCAAGAGCGGCGTAACGTTCACTACGCCCATCGTTCACTAACGCAACTAATCTTGCTACTTGTTCACAATTTATTTGAGGCATTTTATGTAATTTTAGTCAATAAAACAAGACACTTAATTAATGACACAACGACAAATGGTCAAATATGGAGGCATACAACAAATTAGTTGCTATGGCAACGGCATTTGTTTCTTTAAAGACAATGTGATCCTACCAGAGTACAACCCAATCCATTTTGAGTACTCTGATCCTTCAATAAATTTAATTTGTGGGATATGCGTAAGGTATCAGCAAAAAAGCTGTAATTCGGAAAATTTTAGAGATAAATCAAAATGCTCGCAAAAGAAGATTCTTTCGTATAGGGTATAAGCACTTTGTATACCATCACTCAATTAACACACAGGGTGAGTCAACAATTAAGAATAAATCATGGTTCGAGTTATTCCACCACCATTAAGGAGGCTTTGAAAAAATGTTCACCTCTTAATTTTTTTTAAGACAAATGCATTACCTACCAACAAATAAAAAAAAATCGGCCTACTATTTTTTTTTAAGAAGATAGGTCAAATATCAAGTGCGTCACTTTTTTTGGAACTGAGTGTATGTTCTTTGTAATTGAATGAATTTAAATTAAAGTAGATTGGTACCTATACTTACCGAGGTACGACCTAACTTATAACTTATCATAACCTGTGATATGTTTGTTTAGGGAACAGTGGAAAAAATTGGTACTTATGATGAATTATCTGATACTGCACTTGAATCACTGAAGAGGCAAGAGTCGAAAGAAGAGATCAAAGACGTTGGGGATAACGTGAAGAAAGATATAGCTGAAAGGTTACAATCTATCGCATCTGTAGGGGTAAGTTGGTGATATTCAGAATTTTTTATACTTTATCTTTTTTTGTATGTATCTTTATAGAGTTCCGTTGGTAAAGAGGTGGAAGATGAAGAACAACAAGAAACCCAGGAGTTGATTGAAAAGGGGAATTTATCAACATCCTTGTACATCGAATATTACAGAACAGGAGCTAGTGTTTTATTTTTGATATTTATGGTTGTTCTTTTCCTGGTTGCTCAAATGGTTTGTAATGGCTGTGATCTATGGGTAGCACACTGGTAAGACTAAAATCAAGTAGTACTTCCAATACAAATAATAATTTTATCAATTACAATGGGCTTATATCACAAAAAAAATGTATTTCATAATTCGATAGAACTCACCCAAACTAGCTCACCACCGCAAACCGTTTCTTGCTGTGAGCTCCCTACGTTTTATAAAAAATTATTGAAATCCCCGATTTTTCGGACCTCTGAAAACGAGGCGATGATGTGACTTCAAAATCCTTATACTGAAACAAGACTATTCTAGACAGAGATGAATGATACATGATTTCTGACAGAGTGAATTAGCGCGAGATCACAGATGAAAGAATTAATATATCAGTTGCCTCAGTCTCCGTCGGGCGTTTGGTATTTTCTTTTAACTGTGGCGAGATGAGGTTTCTACGTCATCAGAGGGTCCGTTTTCAGAAATAAAACATTCCAGTTAATTTTTCGATCGAATTATGTCGTCAATCATTATTTATGTATAAAAGGATCATTATAAACATGATTTGAGTTAAAAGTTCTACTAAGGTGTACACGCCCATTAAAAAACTGAAAAATTCTAAATCAATTTTCAAAGTCGAGTTTAGATTAACTTTCATGATCTCCAACCGTGCTTCAACCTCAAAAATGTCATTCTCTCATAAAATTACATAACAAAATTACCCTATTATCCCAGTCGTTTCATTCGTCACTGCTCCATCAGTCATACTATAAAAAAAAACTAAAATCATCTATCAAAAACTATTGTAATTTTCAACTGAAATTCAGTTCGCAGAATTTTCACAAACTAATAATGAACGAATAAGCAAAATTCAAAATATTTCTTCTCGATAATAACATGAAATTGATCTCATTTGATTATTTGATGTACGAAACCTTTGTCTAAGTATTTCTCCCGATGATTCTATATAATGTTAGTTGTGAGGTCATTAGATAATAACCTCGATAATTCAATTTGTAAACAAGAGATTACAGACCTTTAGATATGTTTTAAGAAGAATTACTATCAATATGACAATAAAATACCTATACAGGTTGTTCCTCAATGGTATGCTAATATCCAAGGGGCCGATCCTTCGACCCATTTCAAGCACACAATTTTATATGAACATTTGTCGTAAACGTCCTAACTTTTGAGATACAGGGTGTCAATATTGAAAATATGCACTGATTATTATTTTGTCCACCCTGTATAGCTTTCCGTGCTGGCAAAATTCAGTCTGCTATGTGACTGAATTGGTATACAAATTTCAAGATGTTACACCCTGTGGAAATCCAGTAATGGATGTCCTGAAGGGAGTACTCAGACATCAAAATTGGAAGTCTGGTCTCGTTTTTTCGTTTTTTCTCGAAAACGAAGCGTTCTATCGAGTATCAACAATAGGATCTTTTTTGTACAGGGTGATTCACCATAAATGTCCCCCCCTCTAGCTCACTTATTTTTCAACCGATTTAAAAATTTGAAAAATCATCTGAAATGGTTTTTCAGAAATTTTTTTCTCGTTGCATCAGAAAATACAAGGTGTTCGGAACAAACGATCTACAGGGTACTATTTGATTTTTTCATTCATTCATTTGATTACGGGAAATATTCATTTAGTCCAATAAATGAAGGAGGAAAAAAAGGCAAAGTTAACGTTAATTACGCACTATTTTCATCTTCCGGTTGGAAGTAGCTTTTGGTAACTCATTAAACATGAGACAAAGTTTGACTGGAAAACGCGTGCGATGGCGGAGAAAATGGCCCCAAAAGACCAGGAAAATAGGTTTTCAGCCAATATCTCCTAAAATATGGCAGTTAGAGATTTTCGGTTCAGATAAAAAGTTCAGTTAATTTTCTACAAAAATGATCCTCATCATTTTTCTTGAAAATTTGCCCGGTTTCGAGAAAAATGGAACGAAGCGCAAAAAAATCACCAAAAAAAGTGCGTTTTTTCCTTGACCCTGCTTTTTCTAATTTTATTGAAAAATGGACGACTTCGTCTACAAAATTAATTGCACAATCGAAAAGTAGACCTTATTAGCTTTCAAATGATGTATCATAGAAACCAATCAGATCATGTATAAATTTTTTATTGATGGTTGTTCACAAAATTTCCCCGCGTTCCAAAAACAGCAAAAAATTGGGATTCAATAAACAAAGATTGAATGAAAATTTAAAAAAATTAGGGTATACAAATTTCAGAGATGACAAAGGACCTTATGAGGACCCATAATCAAGAAAATTTTGAGTAAATTAGTGCAATACAAAAAAAATAGGAACAAATTCCTGGCGAGGTCAAAATTGACCGGGAGCAGAAAGTTTGACCCATTTTCCGATATGGCCAAAAGAGTCAAGCGTGACTCAATTCACAGGGTAAGATAGCAGCAGAATTCCTCTTTCACATGAACTTTAAATCATGAGAAAATATGCATTTTCAACAAAGTTATTGAATAATTTGTCCCCCCGCCGATGTGTAAATACACGGACTGTGCTCTCCGGCATACAACAGAAGCTCATTATCCGAGGTGCGCTTCGTGCCGTTTTTCTCGAAACCGGGCAAATTTTCGAGAAAAATGATTAGGACCATTTTTGTAGAAAATTAACTGAACTTCAATTTTTATCTGAACCGAAAATCTCTAACTGCCATAATTTCAGGAGATATTGGCTGAAAACCTATTTTTCTGGTCTTTTGGGGCCATTTTCTCCGCCATCGCACGGGTTTTCCAGTCAAACTTTGTCTCAAGTTCAATGAGGTACCTAAATCTACTTCCAACCGGAAGATGAAAATAGTGCGTAATTAATGTTAACTTTTTCCCTTTATTTATTGGACTAATTGAGCCGTTTACTTACTCGCTGAAATTGAAAATAAGCCAAACCAAGTTCAGCAGCACTAGAGTTATAATACATCTTGTATTATTCAGACGGACAGGAATAGAAAAATATCTTGTTCTACAGGACATATGAGGAACGACTAAGTTTCGAAAACCTCATTTTGAAGAGTTACATTGGCACTCACCATCCCAACTCCTCGGCAGACCTCTTACGAAGACTTACGGTCAACACAACCGCTTTCGAGGAACTGTATATGGATGAAAATTTCTTGCCCACCCAGACGAACTACATGCTGGTATACACCGTATTCATCATAGGGGCAATACTTTTGACTACGAGCAGGTCCATTTTGTTCTACAAGATGTGCATGAACGCATCTAAGGGTTTACACAATAAGATGTTTGGGAATGTACTTAAGGCACCCATGTTCTTCTTCAACACTAATCCCTCAGGTAATATTTCCCTGCTTCGTCATATAGGGTGTAAACATAAATCCATGTATATATTGTCTCAAAGTAGAGTGAATTTAATTAAGGAACGACTGGTTGAGTAAACCTTCACGAAAAATATTTTTTTCATTTATTTATTTATCTATGTGACTTCCAGTCAGAATCAAGTTCTGTTATAATGAAGTATAGTTAATAATACTACCTAAAACTATATAATTATAAATAATATAATATTTGAACACATTAAGTATTAAATTTTGACAAGTCATTTCATATTGGTGAGCAAGAATCAATTTGAATATGAATCAAAAGTTGAAAAAATCATCTATTTCGTTCAGAAATGATAAAATTTTCAAGTTAGTATTTGAATTCCATTGTATTTCTGCAATTTTTTATGTTATCTGGTAATTTGTTCAATTCGAAAAGAGCAGCGTGTGTCAATCTTTTTTGGCCTATAGAAAAATTATTGATATCTGGATGATATAAACCATGTTGTCTAGTTTCGTAATCATGAATTTCATTGTCTCGTATTAAATTAAAATTGGATTTCAATCTTTTATTTATGATATTGTATGTAATTTTCATATTTTCAATTTCAAACATTTCTTCTAATGAGAATGATTGAGTTATTTTGAACAATTGATTTGTTGGTGTATCATATGGTAAACTATACAGTATTTTCAATGTATTTTTATATAATGCAGATATTTTATTGACATTGTTTCTTGAACAGTTTCCCCAAACATTTAACAAATAGTTTATACGACTGAGTATATGAGAATATATTTGCAACTTTTTTATCCAGCTTGGGACATCTTCACAGAGGGCTCCAATAATAGGAGATATTTTTTTCGTCAAAACATTTATATGTTTGTCCCACTTTTAATTATCATCAAACCAAATCTCGAGATACTTTTCCTCATTAGTTTGTTTCGAAGATTCATTTTTAATTCTGAGATTAAAATTTATATTTTGTTCATTTTTTTGTTGAAAAATCATTCAGTTTTATCAGTAGGTATTTATTGATGAAAGGTTTGAATGCAGCCATTTTTTAAATCTCATCAAGTCTGTTTATTATATATTCTAAAATTATAGGATTCTTATATAAAAGTACAGTATAGTCTGCATAAACATTATAATTACTTTCTATGTTTAAATTTTCGTGATATTTTGAATACCTAATGAAGATTGGTCCTAAAACAGATCCTTGAGGAATATTCATGGCCTCAGTTCGTAGGACTTAATGGAAAGTGGAAAACTTCAAAACCGAGGTTCAATCTTTTCCTGGAAGTGCTAAACACTGTATGGGGACGATATGAAATCGATTTGATCGTTATTGTATTATTGTGCCCCAATAGAAATTATGTATTTATACAAAAAAATTCATAACACAATTTCTATGTTTTCGGGTTGATTGCAATAACAGTAGTCCCTGAAATGATGATTCAGAATTAATTAATTCCTGAACTACTTGATAGTTGGATCTTTTGGACTACCTGATAGGTATCTAAGATATCCTAAATAGTTATTTATTATACAAGGGAAAAAAGTTGTAGATTTTAGCTCCAGGTTGTGTTGTCTCCCGACGCTTAGCGGAGGGAGACAAAAAACCGTGAGCTAAAATCTAATATTTTTCCCGTGTATAATACACTATTTTTTTCTGTGACAAAAGGAAGAACGAATCAATATTGAGAAGATATTACATTATTTCGAAATCTGAAAATTATCGACGTGAAATTTCAAGTTTTTAGTAGTATGGACACCTGCGTTTTATAGGCATCTTTATCATTCTTTTGAAGTAATCAAATATCTGATGTCACTTCTGTCAGTTCAATTCTGTGATTTAATTTTGAAAAATTGCGAATTCAGTAGTTGTTTAGTAATATACGAAACCGCGAAGTCGAATGGAAGATAAAAGGATTTGCAGTTCTTTCTCGGAGACGGTATTATTGACTCATTTTTCGGAACTATAGCACAACAAAAGCCATTAACAAAGTATATATATGTGATATATATCCGGGATAAAAGTACTCACTTTTTTCCCACGAGAAAAAAGTAATTTATGAAAAGTGACATTTTATAACCTGCCAACAGAGATGAAATGCCAAACTTTTTTCCCGTCACAGAAAAAAAAAACACTTTTTGAAAGTCCCTTCCTACTTGATCAGAAGCTATAGCTTCCTGAGCTGGATCTCAAACGTCAAAATATGATGTCTATTGAAAGTTGAACTTTGTATTGAATTCTATTAGGAGTGATTGATGCAGAAGCAATCGGAATAATCTATGCATCACTTTGCATCTGTTATAATATTTTGTGGAGGGAGTGGTAATGTTGATCAAATTTAAATTAAGAAAGAGTTCTGAGCACAATGCTGCTTGAAATCGAGAGAATCTTCTTGGGGAAAATTCAGGAGTATAAAAATACTTACACTTCAAAAGGTTTATATACGAGAAGTTTCATTATTGTATCTTTGAAACAAGAATATCTTTGATAAAAAGGAACTCTTCATTAGTGACCAGTACAGGGTATCCCAATTTGGGCACTTTTGCAGGGTATCTCCCTTATCAGTTAAGATAGAGCATTGCGGTTTTCGCGACAGTGTGCTACTTTTTTATGAAATTGATAATGGCGCAAGCAGAATTGTGATAGCTCTTCCGGTTGTCGTGATACAGGGTGGAATTGAAAAATATCACTTTTCAGTCTCAGTTATCTTTGAACTTATCGAAGAAGTTAAAACTTGTTTTTATAGAGTTTTTCTCGTAGAATCCAGTGGCGTAGTTATTTTTTTGCTAGCACCTTTTGTTTTTTAGTTATGGAGCAAACATGTTTTTTTAAATGGAAAATAATTGTATACAATTATATATTTTCGGAAAGCCCACTTCATGCTCAATGTATATATGAAATAATATACAGGGTGTTCCATTTAAAAAAACATATGTTTGCTCCATAACTAAAAAACAAAAGGTACTAGCAAAAAAATAACTACGCCACTGGATTCTACGAGAAAAACTCTATAAAAACAAGTTTTAACTTCTTCGATAAGTTCAAAGATAACTGAGACACGGAGGGTGCCTGAAAAGTGATATTTTTCAATTCCACCCTGTATCTCGACAACCGGAAGAGCTATCACAATTCTGCTTGCGCCATTATTAATTTCATAAAAAAGTAGCACACTGTCGCGAAAACCGCAATGCTCTATCTTTACTGATAAGGGAGATACCCCGCAAAAGTGCCCAAATTGGGATACCCTGTACATTGAAATAAACTACCTGTTATTTGAAAAGGTGATTAGACTCAGTGAGTTCAACAAGGCAATCCATGAACTCCTATACAGTGTGTCCCACTTACCACCATGGGTATCTTTTTAACGGTGAGAGATACGAGGTCGGTTAAATTACACCAAATGTGGAGTTTGTCAAGGCCAACTATAATGTGAGAAAATATTTTGATAAAATCTATTTGTTTTTGTTTTATACGCAAAAAACAGATTTTGATCATTTTCATGTCTCCTCCGTAACTTCTTTATTTATGAGAATATTCAAATAGGAATTTCACATTCTCATGGCAGTTTTTCAAAGTGATTTCGAAAAAAATATGAAATTAATACCAACTCTTCTAGAATTTGAGATATCAGTACCAACTTTAGTTTTTCAAATGTAGGTCATAGCTCACTATGACTTAGTTAAAAATAACTTTTTTTTCTCTTACAGATGATGTGTCGCAGTGATAGTTTTGTGTTGATAACAACGGAGGTATCGTTCGTTTATACAAAAACAAAAAATTATTTGAAAGCCGCCATCATGAATTAATGAATTTTAACAAAAAAATCATGATCTCCGACCTCAAAAACCCCCACTTACCAATTTTGAATGGAATCGGACCAAATCTTGTCCGCCATCTTGGAGCAGCCATTTATTCTAATTTCAGCAAAAATTCCATAACTCCGATTAACTTGAAATTTTGGCAGGTGTTCATAATTTCGGTGACAATACCTTATGGAATTTTTGTTGAAATTAAAAAAAATTGCTGCTCCAAGATGGCGGACAAGATTTGGTCCGATTTCATTCAAAGTTGGTAAGTGGGGGTTTTTGAGGTCGGAGATCATGATTTTTTTGTTAAAATTTATAAATTCAAGATGGCGGCTTACAAATAATTCTTCATTTTTGTATAAATGACGATACCTCCGTTGTTATCAACACAAAACTATCACTGCGACACATCATCTGTAAGAGAAAAAAAAGTTATTTGTAACTAAGTCATAGTGAGCTATGACCTACATTTGAAAAACTAAAGTTGGTGCTTATATCTCAAATTCTAGAAGAGTTGGTATACATTTCATATTTTTTTCGAAATCACTTCGAAAAACTGCCATGAGAATGTGAAATTCCTATTTGAATATTTTCATAAATAAAGAAGTTACGGAGGAGGCATGAAAATGATCAAAATCTGTTTTTTGCGTATAAAACAAAAACGAATAGATTTTATCAAAATATTCTTTCACATTATAGTTGGCCTTGACAAACTCCACATTTGGTGTCATTTAACCGACCTCGTATCTCTCACCGTTAAAAAGATACCCATGGTGAGCATGGTAAGTGGGACACACTGTATATGGAATGTAATGAGTTGTATACAATTTTTCTGTTTATTACTTATGTATGTACTTACACCTACTTGCTCTTGATAACTTTTCTCCTACTTTACAGGTCGAATTCTGAACAGGTTCTCGAAAGACATCGGTACAGTGGATGAGGTTTTGCCCAAAGCTGCCGTAGATGCCTTGACAGCATTCTTGGTCATGTGTGGTATTCTTGGCATGGTTTTCTTCGTAACTCCTATCATGATGGTACCGGCAGCTCTCCTTGCTCTCGTTTTCTACTTCTTCAAGTCCATCTACCTATCCAGTGCCCAAGATATCAAAAGAATAGAGGGCGTCAGTGAGTATATTTGATTTTGCAACTTTAAATATCACGAAAATTGATACAGAATGTAATTACACTATTTATGCAGACGATACGGTACTTTTATATGAAAATAAAAATCCTATCATTTTAGAAAATATAATAAACAGAGACTTGATGAAATTTGAAAATTGGCTGCATTCAAACCTCTTATCAATAAATACTGATAAAACTGAATATATGATTTTTCAACAAAAAAATAAACAAAATATAAATTTAAATCTCAGAATTAAAAATGAATCTTTGAAACGAACTTATGAGAAAAAGTATCTTGGGATTTGGTTTGATGATAAATTGAAGTGGGACAAACATATAAATGTTTTGAAGAAAAAAATATCTCCTATTATTGGAGCCCTGAGAAGATGTCCCAAGCTGAATAAAAAAGTTGCAATATAATTCTATATTCTCATATACTCAGTCGTATTAACTATTTGATAAATGTTTGGGGATACTGTTCAAAAAACAATTTTAATAAAATATCTGCATTATATAAAAAGACATTGAAAGTACTGTATCGTTTACCATATGATACACCAACAAATCAATTATATAAAATAACTGAATCATTCTCATTAGAAGAAATGTTCAAAATCGAAAGACTGAAAATTACATACAACAATATCATAAATAAAAGATTGAAATCTAATTTTATTTTAACACGAAACAATGAAATTCATAATTATCAAACTAGACAACATGGTTTATTTCATCTTGATATCGCTAATACTTCTATAGGCCAAAAAAGATTCACCCACGCTGCTCTCTTGGAATATAACAAATTACCAGATAATATAAAAAATTGCAGAAATACAATAACATTCAAATACCATCTTAAAAAATTTATCATTTCTGAACGAAATAGATGACTTACTTTTGATTCATATTCAAATTGATTTTTGCTCAGCAATATGAAATGATTTGTCAAAATTTAATAATTAATGTTTTCAAATATTTTATTATTCATCAGTTTATTATAATTGTATAGTTTTAGGTATTATTGTTAACTATACTTCCTTATACCAGAACTTGATTCTGACTGGAAGTAACATTTTTCAATAAATAAATAAAATAAAATAAATAAACTCTCCCGTTAATGGATATTGACATCTCCAAGAAACTGAACTCCTTGGGAAAAAGAACTCTCTATGAAACTTTTATAGTAGACTATTCCCTCTTGATCTCGAGAACCAATCAGAATCGACCATTTTCACGGTTTCTTCTGTATTCTAGCGAGATTTTTTGTTTATTAAATTTTGTCGGACTCGCTCTACCAATACAGAAGCCGAATTGACCCACACATGACCAACAAACCTCGTTTATCAGCGATACAATTTTGACATCGTGTCTGGTCAAGATTGCTTTGGATTTAAATCTGAGACAATAACCTGAGTTCCTACTTTATTTTATTTACTTATAATTCGCGTTAGTGAGATATTTTGTACGAAAGGCGAGACAATTTTATTCTGGCTGGACGTTTCATGTGTAATTTAAAAAGTTTGCATATTTGTTGACGGTCTGACACAATGATACTAGAATTCAAATTCCTTTTTAAAGTAATCTTCTTCAATCACTCAACTCATTGTGACTTACTGAAATAATTACCAGCTGATGTAGCGCAACTGTTAGGGTTGTTGCGCGAGGATACGAAGGTCGATGGTTCGAGCCCTCGGCGACGATATCTTTTTTTTAATCATTCCATGTCACATAAATTCAATTTATTTTGTTTGAATTGGATAGAAATTGTATACACTCTTTCGAGAGCAACCATCTCCAAGATAATAAAAAAAATATTGTTTATCAAAATTGTACATTCCACTCTGTGAATAACTATATAAGTAGGTAGTTAATTTCTCAAAAAATAAATTCTGTATTTCATTACTATCATTATGTTCTTCTTCGCAGTTCGAGTTGGAATATACTCAAATTATGTTTCCTATTTCATATATATTGTCTCATTCAATCATGAAATAGTCATACGAATACAACTCGTGATACTATTTTTCCTGGAAATATTCGTCGATTGACATACTCCAGCTTGCTGCTCTAATTTCGCTCATGACATTGATCCAAAACTACTCGCCTACGGCTCGTGGTTTTGATAACAATGTCATTCACGAAATTACTAGGCAACAAGCTGTCGTAACAATCACCGAATATTTCCGGCAAAATATTATCACTTGTGGTATTATATTATGAAAATATATCCGCCACCTTGGAAGTAACTTCAGCAGATAAGAGGTTTGTGAAGATGTTTTTTGATAGGTGTATTTTTAGATATGGCTGAACGAAGCTTTTACTGCAAAAAATACCATTAATAGTAGACAGCTCTGAAGATCAACTCTTATCATGTAGCCACTCAATTGTGGTCGAAGTAATTCCTCTAATTAAATGACAAAAAATATCGCCAGGATTCACTGTTATATCCTTCAAAATCAACTATCTTTTTTACCCCATAAACTTTTTTGTGGTGCGCCGCTGGTGAATTCTGAGATACGAAATGAATTCTTTGTTTTGTTTATAAATTTTTTTGTCTCTTGTAATTTTCACGCATCTGCGATCGTTATCGAGAAAAAAGTAAAATCAATTTTTGTGATTCGCTATATTTAATTAAAATTTTCAACGGAACAATGAAAAAGCGAATTAGTGGGCTTTGACTGCTATTTTCATTTTGACGTTTAGGTTTGTTTTGAAGCATTTGACATTATTTGAAAGTTGGTGGATGTCTCATCGTGTATTTGTTTAACTTTAACGCTCTGTAGATCGGTAACGAAGCGTTTGCGGACACATGTTTATGGACAAAAACGTCTTATTTTGACCTGAAAAATACGCCCCTAAAATCTTGATACTGAATTTTGAAACACCCTGTATATTGTACCTCCTCGCGTACTTGGTCGCCTACTAGGTTTTCATTTAGATCGACAATGGTTAAACCAATTGTTGCCCAAAATATTCTTGAGTCCAGTCACTCTATTACTTTGGATAATTTGAAACTTGTTAAGCATATAAGGAACATTAGGGAATTGAATGGAAAGTACCCAGCGAGCACAAAAACATCTCAGAGATGTTAAAAGTACGAGATTTCGAGACAGTGAACCTCCACTGCGATTTTCTGTTCACACATGATTAGAACTATTATAGAACAGCCAATTTCCGCCGCAGGCGACAATTATCGAGATGTTCTTGATATGTCACAAAACTACCTTGTCCCTAGTTCTTTTTAAAACCTTTTCATGGACACAACAAAACATTTTCAACGCGTCTTGCGCACATTAAATCGCTGTAAAAAAAAACATTTTCGAGGTATTTTTCTGAAGCCTCTTGTCAAAATGAACTTTTGCATTAGGATTCCATTTCCCTTGAATGAAAAAATGCATTAAAAATAGATTGAACATAAAAATATTTCCTTGATATGAAATTACTTTCTTAATCGGTTCCTGAGTAGTGCTTACTACACACAGACATATAATTGGAAATAGGTTTCCCAATTTTTGAAATGTTCTCCACAATGCATAATTTTGCAACTGCGGAGAAGCTGCGTGCATTGATAAATTCGTACTTTCATATATTGATTACACTGAGGCACCGAACATCACATCTTGCATCTGATGGTCATTATTACAAACTAAAAAAGTCTTCTAACACAATAAACTTCACCAAATTCCTTTCTGTTCGTTAGCAGCGTGATGTAAGCGTGACACGCTGCAAACGCGAATGCCAATTGCGAACAAGAAGAACAAAATCGAAAACAAATCAGAATTCATCGTATTGTGACGTAAGCATGAGACGTTGTGGTGGGGCAAACAAAGAAAGGGCACAAAAGAACAAAAACAATACTTCAATATCCTTCAAAGACCTCTTTGGTCAGTGCATATTACGTCTCAAAATAACATCTTCATGCCAACATTTTCAAAACATCCCAAAACATCCCAGGGATGTTTGTGCTTGCTGGGTATAGTTACAAAAATCATAATAGGGATCTGTTGATGAACCAACATTGATGTCCCATCCCTCAATCCAAATTCTTTGAATCACTCGAAATCGATGTTTAGTAAAGCAATAGTCTCTCTGATCCATTGCATAGTTGCACAACAATCACTCTCGCTAGTATAATTTTTGAAGAATATTGCTAAATATACTAAAGAGTCAAACAACTCTTCATTTTTTATTTCAGTTCAACTGAATATGATAACTTAGTTGCTGAAATACCTGTGCAAGCGTTTTTGGAAATTATTGGGTTCCATTTTATATTCGATTATTCAATCACGGTCTCCAGAACTTCACTTTAACGAACAGCACTTATTATTCTGAACATTGAGAATGGTCAGGTCGGTCTTAAACATTCTTCATCATCATTATTATACCATTTAATAATTTGTGTTTATGGTTTTCATCACGTTTCAGCTCGCGCACCAGTGTTTTCCCATGTATCGGCCACCCTTTATGGTCTATCGACTATTCGTTCCTCAAAGGCAGAAGAGATGGTAATCCACGAGTTCGACTCTCTACAAGACCAACATACTTCAAGTTGGTACTTGTTCATAGCTTGCAGTGGAGCCTTTGGGTTCTACATGGACTGTATCAGTACCACATTCCTGGCATTGGTTACATTCCAGTTCCTCGTCTTTGAAAAGTGTGAGTATCGATAGTTCAACAGGGATATTCGAATAATATAACCAGATGATGAATGGTCACGTGTACCCAGTTGGTGATTTTTTCGTCAGAGACGTCATACTGATTTCTGACGTCACTATGACGTACTTTCTGTGACGTGATAATCTCGTCATCATTACGACGTTGAGTCAACGTCACTTGGATGAGTAAAATAAGACGTCAGTTTCATGACGTTGCAGGGACGTTCTGAACAATGAGTATTTCTGTTTTTTTTTCGCAGATGGTAGCATTGGGGAAGACATAGGTCTTTTGATCTCCAGTAGTATGATCCTCATAGGCATGCTTCAACTGGGGGTCAAGCAGACCACCGAAGTAACTTCGAACATGACCAGTGTGGAAAGAGTCGTACAATACACGAAGCTTCAGAAGGAAGATGAAATTAGTCCCGAAGCAACGAGTAAACCCAGTAACTGGCCTAGTGCTGGAAAAGTCACCTTCAAGAATACCTATTTGAGGTATACTTTGGAAGATCCTCCGGTCTTGAAGAATCTTAACATGATTATACAACCCGGTGAAAAAGTGAGTCGTTATGAACTATTCATTCGAATAACAATTTTTTTTCTCTGTAAACTCTGACTATGTTGGATTGGTTTATCGTTGTCTTATAATTAATAATTTTCTAAAGGGCCAGTTGTTCAGTCAGGAAAGATCTGCAGACTTATACGAATCCTGTCTTTCTGAATTATGAATAATGAATGAATTATGAATTATGTCAATTTGATACGAATTCGAAAAAACTTCAAATGAATATACAGAAGTGTTCAACTTCATCTTTCAGTCGCTCACGAAATGCCATATTCTGTCAGGTTATACAGAGTGGGCCTTTGAAAACGAAACAGAGGCTCTGTAGGTGGCCAAAACCGGATTATGAAAAGAATCTGAAACAAGTCATCTACATTTTCGAGGGGGACATCGTCCTACAATATTTTCAGCCCTGCGGCGTTGCCGCTGCTAACGAAAAGAAGCAACAACTTTGTTATTTCAAATGGAACACCTTGTATTTCATTGCATTTTTAGATTCTCCCCGAAGAGCTGATTTCATCAATGCATCACACTCGGGGTCTAGCTGTAATGGTTTCTGGGATATAAAGTGTTCAAAATCGAGATTTTTCAACTTTGACATTTTTTTGTGTCGAAACTATTCATTATTGGTCGAAACGGCTCTCATCTCCCTATCTCAACTTGTGATTCACTATCTACTAACATTTAATTTGAACAGATACAGGGTGATCAGAATTCTGAATCTTGAACCAGCCTGTATTTGTTTCAAATAAATATCGGTAGATAGTAAATCACAAGTTGAGATAGGGACATGAGAGCCGTTTTGACCAATAATGAATAGTTTCGACACAAAAAAATTTTAAAGTTGAAAAATCTCGATTTTGAACACTTTATATCCCTGAAACCATTACAGCTAGACCCCAAGTGTGATGCATTGATGAATTCAGCTCTTCGGAGAGAATCTAAGAATGCAATAAAATACAAGGTGTTCCATTTGAAATAACAAAGTTGTTGCTTCTTTTCTTTAGAAGCGGCAACGCCGCAGGGCTGAAAATATTTTAGAAAAATGTCCCCCTCGAAAATGTAGTTGACCTGTTTCAGTTTTTTTTGATAATCCGGTTTTGGCGACCTACAGAGCCTCTGTTTCGTTTTCAGAGGCCCACTCTGTATGATCAACAATCAGAATAGGTCGCGTGCACGATGACCGACCCTGGAGGCAAAATATTGAAACACAACCTCATTCATCTGTGAATTATTGAAACACAACCTCACTTTTTTATTTGGTTACAGAGGAATCAAAAGGTTGAAATAGTTTTTCATAATATTTTGGCATACGAATCGTGTTTCTTGCGTTATTCATTAATTCAAGCATGCCTTCGCATTGTACTGTTGTACAATGCACAAAAAATGCAGCAAGAGACTAAGGAATATGATTTTTCAGGTAAATAGTAATCTCACATAGTTATCATTATGAAATGTTGTCATTCTTTATTAAAATTCCTTCTGCCTTCTGCCACTTCTGCAATACAAGCTAATACTGCTGATAGATTGAAAATGTCTACAACACACACGATCGTCAGCATGTCAGACCAGTCCTCCGGATTGATTGCATGAATCCAATCTTCTTGCATTATTCTAGAAATTTCAGGTATATTTCTATTAGCTCTTATTGCAGAAGGAATTCCGATGAGAAATCAGAGAAATAACCAAATTTCAAAAATGAATACTATATGTGAGTGAATATTATAGGTACTTACTTTCAAATCATAATGTACCATCTGGATTCCTTCATCTTCCGCTGCAGTTTTTGTGCATTTTACAACAGCACAATGTGATGGCATGAGCGAATTGATGAATAGCGGAAAAATACGATTCATATGCCAAAATAATTGTGGAAAACTATTTTGATCACTTGTAAACAAATAAGAAAAGTGACGTCGTGTTTCAATGTTTTGCCTCCAGCGTCGGTCATCTGACAGTTCTTGCACGCAACCCATAGCTCAATTTCATTTCATAACCATCGATATTTTATTTTGTAGGTTGGTATAGTAGGTAGAACAGGAGCTGGTAAATCTACGCTGATAGCTTCCTTATTTCGACTAGCTCCAATAGAGGGCACCATCGCTATAGACGATATCGACACCTCCACAGTCAGCTTGGAATATCTCAGATCGAACATCTCTATCATCCCCCAGGAACCTATACTTTTTTCGGCTAGCATCCGTTATAACCTGGATCCATTCGATAAAGCCGATGATGAAACTATCTGGCGAGCCCTATCAGACGTAAGTATTAAAGATATTTGAATGATACTTTCATTAAATGTATTATTTTTCAGCGAGTTATACGCATCATTTTTCCTAATGTATCTTCCTTATACACGGTGTTTCAAAAAAGATAACCCCCTTTGCTAGGTACAGGGTGATTCACCATAAATGTCCCCCCCTCTAGCTCAGTTATTTTTGAACCGATTTTGAAATTTGAAATATCATCTTGAATGATTTTCGATAAAGTTTTTTTCCGCTAGATCAGAAAATACAGGGTGCTCGGAACAAACGATCTACAGGGTACTATTTGATTTTTTAAATGGAACACCCTATTTTTCATTGTATTTTTAGATTCTCCCTGAAGAGCTGATTTGATCAATGTATCACACTTGGGGTCTAGCGGGACTGATTACAGAGATATAGGGTGTTCAAAATCGAGAATTTTAACTTTAGGATTTTTTTTGTGACGAAACTATTCATTATCGGTCACGCGGTTTTCATGTCCGTATCTTAACTTTCTATTTACTATCTACTGACATTTAATAATTGGAACAGATACAGGGTGACCAGAATTCTGAATCTTGAACCACCCTGTAAATGTTCCAATTAAATTTCACTAGATAGTAAATCGAAAGTTGGGATGGGAACATAGAAGCCGTTTTGACCAATAATGAATAGTTTCGGCACAAAAAAGTCCAAAAGTTGAAAAATCTCGATTTTGAACACCCTATATCTCTGTAATCATTCCCGCTAAACCCCAAGTGTGATACATTGATGAAATCAGCTCTTCAGGAAGAATCTAAAAGTACAATAAAATACAGGGTGTTCCATTTAAAAAAATCAATTAGTACTCTGTAGATCATTTGTTCCGAGCACCCTGTATTTTCTGATGCAGCGGGAAAAAAATTCAGAAAAATCATTTCAGATTGTCTTTCAAATTTTTAAAACGGTGCAAAAATAAGTGAGCTAGAGGGGGGGACATTTATGGTGAATCACCCTGTACTTAGAACACTGCAAAATAAGTTGGGCTTGCTCAGTAAGAACATATTGTAACGACATCCGTTTTCAAGATACAAAAGGTGATGAAGAAAATATACGTTTACACATTTTTTACGATTCTGTCAAAACTACATTGTACTGAAATTTTGCATGGATGTGTTTTGGAAGCTAATGACACATCATTGAGACAATATTCCAGGGTAGGTATAAAATCCAGTTATTAGCCTCATTGGATGAATTATATAAAATAGATTTTCTTAAAGTTTCATATAATATAATAAACAATAATCTGAAATCCAATTTTATTTTGATAAGAAACTCAGAAATTCATGGTCATCACACGAGCCAATCGAACTTATTTCATCTTGATTCTGCTACTTCTATAATTGGCCAAAAAAAATTTACTCACGCTGCTCTATCTGAATTTAATAAATTACCACATAATATAAAAAATTGCAGACATATTTCAAAATTTAAAATTGAATTTAAAAAATACATGATTTCATTACGAAATGGATAAAATTGATACTTTGCCATCTATTGATTAGTCCCTGTGGCTATTTTCATGACTTGATCGATTTAGCATTTTTAGATTTTTTAGATATTTTTTTGTTGTTGTTGTCACCTTATATTATTTTATTATTGTTGTTTGTAATCAACTTCCTCATACCAGAATTTTATTTCTGACTGGAAGCTAATTTTTCAATAAACAATAGACAATAAGAATCTGAAAATACAAATATGAAAATACAAAAATATATCGGAGGCCATACCATTTCTTAATCTACAAAGGATTATTATTTTTCGCATGAGATACTGGGCATCTATTATGCATTCCGAGATCTTGTCTTGAACGTTTTGTCATGGAATATCACGTATCTTTGGGCCTTTTTGGGGTATACAAGACCTGATGTGCTATGAAAGCTGACATTTGGTGTGGGAGACTGCATAGGATGATCAAAAATGTGAGATATGACAGAAAGCCAAGCATTTGTAGCTTACCCAAACCGAATGTGGATGCCATTTTGCCAGAGCAGCCAGGAAAACTAGTTTCTATGGACTTATTTGGTCTCTTACCACCTATCGCGAACATTCCCAGGTGATGCGATCTGCTTTGCTACATCATATGAATTTGTTTTTGTATCTCACTCTCGTATGAGGGCGCTAGTTACACGGTTCGTACCGAGTATTTTCAAACATAACTTTTTTGAGATTAGATCTTTCAGTCCAAATTCAATGTGAAATTGAACATCATTCAATTTTACACCAAAATGATACTCTTGCTAACACCCGATACTGTGTACCATTTCCGGAACATTTTGATTTGAAAATGAATGATGTGATGATATAAATAAGGTATGTATAAGAGTGAGTCTCATGAAGAACTATTACCCTTGTAATTATATATCAACAATATATTTCCGATGCTGAATTTCATGAATCACAAAAAGAACATTGGGATAAATAAGACCGAAAAGATGTGTTACACAGTTTGGTTGTATCTTAAGGTAAAAGTCTATGCTACATGCTACAGAAGGTAAATACACGTCTAGAAATGCAAGACAAAATTGAACATCACTTGAATGACCTAATAGCTGATCTATTCAGGAGAATAATGCATTCTCAAGAAGAAAAGATCGTTTATTCGTGGAAACGGACATTTTGAACATTTACTCTAAACCTCGACTCTAACTGTTTCAATATTTTGTTTTTTAGGAAAATTCATCTCAGTTTTCTACCTGTTATTCTTTCATAAATTATAATAACTTTGACACAAGAATAAATTTTATTGTTTTTGTATTTGAATAAATAGGTAATTGAACGCAATATATAATAGTTATTTTATACCAGCATCAGCTATTACTCCATTATCTCCAAATCAACATATCTCGGAAAAGGTACACAATTTTGACTGAAAAATCTAACCTCATTGAATTTATTATTAAAATTATTCGGTACTAAACGTGTAACTAGCGCCCTCTATGAGAGTCAGTTATGAAAACAAATTCATGCGATGTGTCAGCTTCCAGAACAGATCCATACAGAATGTCATGGTAATGTTGCCAGTCTAGTTTCGACATAATCGTAAAAAATGTATAAAAACATATTTTTTTCAACCACCTTGTATCTTGAAAACGGATGCCGTTATGACATTATTTTACTAAGCAAACCCAACTTATCTTGCAGTATTTTACCTACCCTAGCAAAGTAGGTGACCTTTTTTGAAACACCCTGTATATCGAAGTACCTATAATTTTTTTATGTTTCGTTTATAAACTAATCATTTCAGTGATTTCTCGATTTTCCCACATTTCTTTAATGAATTTCGATTTTAGGTGGAACTGAAGAGTTCCATTGAGAGTCTGGACCAGAAAGTGAGCGAAGGAGGTTCAAATTTCAGTGCTGGGCAAAGGCAACTGGTCTGCCTTGCCAGAGCCATCATAAGGAACAACAAAATCCTGGTGATGGATGAAGCTACTGCCAACGTTGATACAAAGTAATTTTCCTGTTCTTTACTCTCATATCACTTAGTACTAATAAGGGTCTAAACGAAACTTTACTATGTTTCGTTGAACTTTCAGAACTGATAGAAGAAAAGCTTTCAACAATTTAGGATGTTCGTAGATTCCTCACCATAGATAAAATATATGTTACTCAGCATTGTTTTAGTTCCAATTAAGCAGGAAATTACTCGTAATTATTGGATATTTTCAGTTCGAAAATCATACTGTAACGTAGGCTACACGCTGTTTGAAGCATAGTTATACCGAGCATTTGATTGAGTTTGTTCCAAATAAGATTTCTGCAAAAAATTTAGTCGTCTCTGAATACATCCCGAACTATTAGAAATTACTGAAGGAAATGAGATTTTAATTCTCCACGAATACATCCCAGGCAACCAGATGACGTACCAGTGACGTCTTTTTTACGTCACTTGAATGACCAAGGTGACGTCAGTAGTTGACGTCGCATTGACGTGATAATGACGTGAATAAATCACAGCCCAATGACGTCATATTACTCACGTCGTATTGACGTCATTCACTCACCAAACTGTGACGTCCGACTGACGTCATAATGACGTCAAAATGACAAATAAATTTGGTGATGATACGTAAAAAAGATTCCTATAACATGGTGTGATTAACACCGCTAGCCTCTGATGACATTATATAATATTGATTATGCATTGTTGAGTCTGCTTGGTGGGATGGAAAGGATGTTGGCGAATTTGGCTTCACTTTGTTGAATAATGTATATTGATGCATTCTTTGTCACCCAACAAAAATCTAAATAGTAAATTATTGAAAAATTTCCTATATATGACGAAGCTCACCAAATTGGTACGTCACACCGACGTGATTTTTGGACGTCATAGACATGTCACTGCAACGTCCTAAGAGTAACGGTTTCATTATAGGTATACCTGAACAATCATTTTTATATATACATAGCTTGTTGGTTTCCGAGATATACAGTGTGTCAAAAGTTTTTTAGAAAAAAGTTTTTCTACTACTTTTCGGGTATATTAATGAATAGAATAAAACTTGCATGTTGATTCGCATTCATGAGTTATACTTCTGTTCCACATGGTAATATATAAGTATCCATGGTTTAGAGACGGTCTGGAAAAAATGGACGTCGACAGGACGTCCCTGTAACGTCATGAAACTGACGTCTTCTTTTACCCATCTAAGTGACGTTGGCTCAACGTCGTAATGATGACGAAATAATCACGTCACAAAAAGTACGTCATACTGACGTCATAAATCAGTGTATGACGTCTCTGACACACTGTATAAATCCCAAGCAGCCTAGCCCAAAGAGTATTGAGCAGCTCGGAACACCGTGAAATCGTTCTCGAATGATAAATGTTGATAAGAAGTATTCACTGAATAGATTTTTTTTCCAGTACTGATTCTCTGATCCAAAAGACAATCGGGAAGAATTTCAAGGACTGTACCATGCTGACCATAGCCCATAGACTGAATACCATCATGGACTACGATAAAGTCCTAGTTATGGAGATGGGAGAGGCAGTAGAGTTTGCTCCTCCTCACGAACTATTACAAATTCCAGAGGGGTATTTCACGAAAATGGTTGAACAAACTGGCCCGGTGATGGAGGCCCATTTGAGAAAAGTGGCCGAAGATGCCTACCTTACTAAGTAGTTCATATCGATATACTCATAACGAATTTTTCTTAGAATCACAGCGAAATATTTTTGCCACTGAAGCGAATTGTACTTTTAGCAATTTTATTATACCTACCTGAACCTGTTGTTACTTACTTATTAATTGTTCTGATCAATCTTAGAATATATATTTTTTAATGAAGAATTTTTAATGAAACTGCATTTTTGTTATCTAATATACAGTGTGTCCCACTTACCATGCTCACCATGGGTATCTTTTTAACGGTGAGAGATACGAGGTCGGTTAAATGACACCAAATGTGGAGTTTGTCAAGGCCAACTATAATGTGAAAGAATATTTCGATAAAATCTATTCGTTTTTGTTTTATACGCAAAAAACAGATTTTGATCATTTTCATGTCTCCTCCGTTACTTCTTTATTTATGAAAATATTCAAATGGGAATTTCACATTCTCATGGCAGTTTTTCAGAGTGATTTCGAAGAAAATATGAAATTTATACCAACTCTTCTAGAATTTGAGATATCAGCACCAACTTTCGTTTCTCAAATGTAGGTCATAGCTCATACTATGACTTAGTTACAAATAACTTTTTTTCCTCTTACAGATGATATGTCGCAGTAATAGTTTTGTGTTGATAACAACGGAGTTATCGTCATTTATAAAAAAACAAGAAATTATTCGGAAGCCGCCATCTTGAATTTATAAATTTTAACAGAAAAATCATGATCTCCGACCTCAAAAACCCCCACTTACCAATTTTGAATGGTATCGGACCAAATCGTGTCCGCCATCTTGGAGCAGCCATTTTTTTTTAATTTCAATAAAAATTCCATAATGTATTGTCACCAAAACTATGAACACCTGCCAAATTACAAGTTAATCGGAGTTATGGAATTTTTGTGAAATTTAAAAAAATGGCTGCTCCAAGATGGCGGACAAGATTTGGTCCGATTCCATTCAAAATTAGTAAATGGGGGTTTTTGTGGTCGGAGTTCATGATTTTTTTGTTAAAATTTATAAATTCAAGATGGTGGCTTCCAAATAATTTTTTGTTTTTTTATAAATGAACGATAACTCCGTTGTTATCAACACAAAACTATTACTGCGACATATCATCTTTGAGAGGAAAAAAAGTTATTTGTAACTAGGTTATTGTGAGCTATGCCATAGATTCGAAAAACTAAAGTTGTTGCTGATATCTCAAATTCTAGAAGAGTTGGTATAAATTTCATATTTTTTTCGAAATCACTTTGAAAAACTGCCATGAGAATGTGAAATTCCTATTTGAATATTTTCATAAATTAAGAAGTTACGGAGGAGACATGAAAATGATCAAAATCTGTTTTTTGCATATAAAACAAAAACGAATAGATTTTATCAACATATTTTTTCACATTATAGTTGGCCTTGACAAACTCCACATTTGGTGTCATTTAACCGACCTCGTATCTCTCACCGTTAAAAAGATACCCATGGTGAGCATGGTGAGTGGGACACACTGTATAAAATTCTCCTGTCCCGGTCACGGTGTTAGTGGTCGAACTCCTCCGAAACGGCTCGACCGATTCGTATGAAATTTTTTGTCCGTATTGTAGGTATGAGAATCGGTCGTAATCTATTTTTAAAATCAAAAATTCAAGATGGCCGATCCAATATGGCAGACGAGTATTGTTATCCGATTTCATTCAAAATTGGTATTTGGGGGTTTTCGGGGTCGAAAGATGGCGAACCAAATATAGCGGACGAGTTTTATGATTATGGTCATCAGATTCCATTCAAAATTGGTATCTGGGGGTTTTCGAGGTCGGAGATTATGATTTCTTCATCAAAATTAGGAAATCCAAAATGGCGGATCCTATATGAAGGACGAGTTTTTTAATTTATGGTCCGATTATATTAAAAATTTGTATCTGGGGATTTTCGGGGTCGAAGATTATGATTCATTCGTCAAAAATAGGAACTCCTAAATGGCGGATCCAATATGGCAGAAGAGTTTTTCAATTATGGACCGATTCTATTCAAAATTGGTATCTGAGGGTTTTCGGAGTCGGAGATTATGATTATTTCGTCAAAATTTGGAAATTCAAGATGGCAGATCCAATATGGCAAACGAGTTTTTTATTTATGATCAGATTCCATTCAAAATTTGTATCGGGGGGTTTTTGGGGTCGGAGATTATGATTCTTCTGTCAAAATTTGGAAATTCAAGATGTCGGACCCAATATGGCGGACGAGTTTTGTAATTATGGTCAGATTCTATCAAAATTGGTAACTGGGGGATTTTGGAGTCGCAAATTATAATGCTTTCATCAAAATTTGAAAATTCAACATGGCGAATCTAATATGGCGGACAGGTTTTGTAACTATGTTCCAATTCTATTAAAAATTAGTATATGGGTGTTTTCGTGATGAGAGATAATGATTCTTCCGTCAAAATTGAGAAATTTGAGATGGCGGAACCGATATAGCGGACAAGTTGTTATTATTCTATTCAAAATTGGTATCTGGGATTTTCGGGGTCGGAGATTATGATTAAAACGTAACAATAAGGCAATTAAAGATGGCGGATCCAATATGGCGGCCAAGTTTTGTGATTATGATACGTATTCAAAATTTGAATCTGCAGGTTTTCGGGGTCGGAGATAATGATCTTTTTCTTCAAAATTGGGCAATTCAAGATGGTGGATCCAATATGAATATAGCCAAACTCGAGGCCAAACTGAAAAGAAGTAGAAAATTGATAGTAGTTTGAAAAACTGAAGAAACACGATTTTATGAATAGTCACACTAAAAAGAAGTAGAAAATAAAATAACGAAAGTCTGTTGATGAATATTCAATTGAAAAAATATTTTCTAAAAATTAGTGTTTATGGCAAAACATCGTTTGCCGGGTCAGCTAGTTTGAATATATTTCTATGACCTCTATTTTTGAATTTTCAAATTCAAGAAGCGCATAGGGTATTGGACATTTTTTCATAATTTGCCATAAGCATTTCATCAAACTCAGGGCGTTTTGAGATTTTCTATTTGTTTCTATGAATACAAATATTGGGACAACTCATCTGATTTGTCGATTTGTCGATATGTCTCCTCTTTATATTACAAAAAATTGAAAAAAATCAAAAAGGCTATGCCACTTCAAGATGATTGAAAATTAAATGATGAAATCAGTGTGATGGTGGTATCGGAACAAAAAATTGTATGGAGGTGACGTTAGAATTATTACTTACAGTGTGGAACTCTGACTGGAAAAAGGAGTTTCTGCTCTGATACGCTTTCCCCAATGGTGCCATTCGATAGTACACCTTGTTCCAGAGCTAACAGAATAATACATTCTGATTTTCTTAGGATTTGTATTTTGTAATCGTTAATTTTCAAGTCACTTTCATATAAATCATTATAAATGAGATGCCCACCCTGTAGAGTATTGTTGATTGTCAAGTAGTCAGGTATAGAGGTATCAATTATTCCTATTTTTTCTTGAATTTATGATTTTCCCTACACTTTCTTATCTATTAATTATCCATGACGAATATATTATGAATGTTGATACACTATTATATACATGAATTTGATTTCCTGAAGATATACAAGGTGTTTATGGAATTGGAGCGATGAATGAAGTGGATAATGGAAGACGAAAAATAGAATGGAAAAAAATCATTTTGGAAAGTATTGAATTTTGAAGTTTGGAGCTTCAATGAATTATTGAGATCACTGGAAGTACACAGTATATCATCCATAATGTCTGTAACATACAGGGAAAAAGTTTATTATCAGTCTCGAAATATCAGGTTGTCTTCCAAGGAAAGTTCGAACGAAGGTTCTCCCACCATCGAATCCATGCCGAAAAAAGTGGAAAGGATGATGAATAAAAAAGCGGCTTATGCGAATGTTTCATCGAAACATTGTAGGAGAAAAATGAGCAATACATAATCTTGGTCGTTTTATCGATTCATCTATATCTTTATTGTTTAATGTTCCAATATTTTTTATTTTTGAATCGAGATTGACACATGTCACGTGATCACTGGTATGGCAATAATTTGAATAATATGACTATGAAGAGGAACAGAGTATGGAGTTAGTTGGCAAGATATCAAAAAAAAAATCGAGAAAGTCGCTTAGAATTAAATTTCTTACCAATATCAACATACAGTTTTTTTAAATTTGGTAGAAGTCCATGGTTTCTCGAAGTGAAGTAAAGTAGTAACTACTAAATAATACTCGAAATCATCTCCACGATATTTTAATATGATCAAACATATATTATGTCCATCCTCAGCCTAATCAAAAAGTGCTACATAAATTATATCCTAGCATGAATGTGAATAAGTGTAATCAGAAATGGATTATTGAGAATGGAGTGCTTACGTGGGAATGAAAAAAGATTGGTTACATCCCAATATTATTGAATTTTAAAAAGGGGAGGAGGAAAGCATTTTTGCAAAGGCAAAGGGGAACCCAATAAACTCCAAATCTAGAATTATGGTAGAAACCACGGAAACCACTGTGCACCTTGTGTTGTTTTTTTCAGTGGTTTCCACCAGCATTAATATTTTATCGTAAAAAGTTCACTTCGTGATCACTTTTCCGAAAAACTTCATCAGATTTCAGTAAGATCAGGCAAAACGCCTTCAGAACTGCTCTTCAATTTGGAAAAATCTGAACCAAAATCGTTCTAATAAATTTTCAATATCGACCTGGCTGATAAGTATTTTTCCACTGGGTTCATGTAAATTGATTTTCTGTACATTTTTGTTGAAGGCTTATCTGATCGTAGTGATTACTTCAGAGAAAAATGAAGAAAAAGTATGGCATATTATTTATAGCATAATGCCAACGTAATTCAGTTTGATTTTCCATTGCTTGTCACTTATTTATCAGAAAACCTTGACATGGAATGTGCTGTTTTGTTTTCTGATACAAGAATGTTTCATGCGAAATCACTCATATGTTTTTCCAGTGAGCTGGTATTTCAAGTTATTTCAAGTTCAAAAATGAAAAACATCCA